TGAATGCCTTTTGACCATAAACTTGAACGTTTCTCCTTTTTCTAAGTCTCTCAGCTGAGCCTCTTCTACCTCACAGGGTTCCTCTGAGGACAAAACAGGATATCACCCTCCTAAAATCCCTGGAGGGAGTGTCATGGGGAATGGATATTATGCTGTTGAGTTCAAATCAACACAGGAGCAACAAGAAGTACAATCTTTAATAGAATAAAAAACGTTAGCACAGGAAACATATCCCCAAATACTTTCAGGCCCGTTATACAAAAATATAACTGGCCTGGGAAGGGAGAGTTGTATCATGATTGACACAAGGGATGGCCAATCACCATTCAGCAAATATGGTTTCTCCTTAAGTGCCTGTCACCTCAGTCCTGGAGACTGAATGTGCCATGATGACAATCAATATATGCTTGTCTGTCTGCACCTTCAGTCAAGAGAGGCTCAGGTTCGCTTTCCCGCTCACGAAAAAGTAGGGCTGAAGGGTCTCTCCTGAGAAGGAGGCTGCTGAGAATGTGTAGAGGAGGACTGCTGTATCTGCATCGTAAAAGGACACCCGTCTCCCTTCAAAGTTCAGGGTCACTCGGATCCTCTTGGGCTCCTCACTTGGAAGAGGGAACTCATGGGGGGAGGATAACTCGTACACACCGTCCCACTTCCCCAAACCCCAGATCCCTTCTGTAGTATCAAAACAGAACTCACCCTTCCTCTTCACAGACTTTCTGGCCACCCCCACCGCCCACCCCTCCTCTTTTCCCACAATGACCTCCCAGAAATGTCTGCCTGATGTGAAACCCTCACATCCCAGCACATAGCCATATGTGTCAAATCTCTCAGGATTGTCTGGCAGGTCTTGACGCACTTCTCCATCTCTCACACTCTTTCGATCCTCAGACAGGATGAGGGCGGGATTAGCTGTGTCAGGATCCAATGTTACATTTTCTGTGGGGGCAGAGGAGGAAAGAGGTGAGAAACAACGTCAACTGGGAAGCTGACTTTTCTTTAGTCACATGACAGAAATAGCATCCCCTCTGAAATGAACAGGGTCTCCGTGGCTCTGCATTTGAAACAGGGATGTTCATCAAGTTCTTAATGATTCTTGAAATATTTGCAGTTCTTTCAAGTGTTTGAAGTACTTAACACACATTCTCTACATAGAACCCTTGCAACTTCCCTGTAAGGTAAATCAAACTTACTATGCTCATTTTTCAGATGGGAGGACTGAAGCTGAGAGACAGTGGCTTGTCTAAGGCCACCCCACCCCCACAGTTCATGGCAGAAGGCTCCTCTAGTCCAACCCACTGCAATACAGGAATCCCAACTAAAGTATTCATGACAGCCCCCCCCCCCACCTCTGCTTATAAACCTCCAAGGAAGGAGAGTCCACCACCTTACGAGGGACTCCGCTCCAGTGTGATGCAGGAGTCCCTGGGAGGTGTTTGGGCCTATGGTTTGTTTTTCCCAGGCAAACTATGAGCAGTCAGCCAAGAACAAATTTGATTATATCTTGCAGTTTTGTTAGAGCAATGCAGAAAATTGATAGTTCTATTACATCGTTGATATGAATGGCTTTCTTTTCCTATGAACTGTGTTAATCGTTAATTCATTTATTGTTGCAATCCTAAAATAAAGCGCGATTTGTTGTTGTTGTTGTTTAGTGGTTTAGTCGTGTCCGACTCTTCGTGACCCCATGGACCAGAGCACGCCAGGCACTCCTGTCTTCCACTGCCTCCTGCAGTTTGGTCAAACTCATGCTGGTAGCTTCGAGAACTCTGTCCAACCCTCTCGTCCTCGGTCCTCCCCTTCTCCTTGTGCCCTCCATCTTTCCCAACATCAGGGTCTTTTCCAGGGAGTCTTCTCTTCTCATGTGGTGGCCAAAGTATTGGATTCTCAGCTTCACGATCTGTCCTTCCAGTGAGCACTCAGGGCTGATTTCCTGCAGAATGGAGAGGTTTGATCTTCTTGCAGTCCATGGGACTCTCAAGAGTCTCCTCCAGCACCATAATTCAAAAGTATCCATTCTTCGGCTATCAGCCTTCTTTATGGTCCAGCTCTCACTTCCATACATCACCACTGGGAAAACCATAGCTTTTACTATACGGAACTTGGTTGGCAAGGCGATGTCTCTACTTTTTAAGATGCTGTCTAGGTTTGTCATTGCTTTTCTCCCAAGAAGCAGGCGTCTTTTAATTTTGTGACTGCTGTCACCATCTGCAGTGATCATGGAGCCCAAGAAAGTAAAATCTGTCACTGCCTCCATTTCTTCCCCTTCTATTTGCCAGGAGTTGATGGGCCCAGTGGCCATGATCTTCGTTTTTTTGATGTTGAGCTTCAGACCATATTTTGCGCTCTCCTCTTTCACCCTCAATAAAAGGTTATTTAATTCCTCCTCACATTCTGCCATCAAGGTTGTGTCATCTGCATATCTGAGGTTGTTGATATTTCTTCCGGCAATCTTAATTCCGGCTAGGGATTCATCCAGTCCAGCCTTTCGCATGATGAATTCTGCATATAAGTTAAATAAGCAGGGAGACAATATACAGCCTTGTCGTACTCCTTTCCCAATTTTGAACCAATCAGTTGTTCCATATCCGGTTCTAACTGTAGCTTCTTGTCCGACATAAGAGATTTCTCAGGAGACAGATGAGGTGATCAGGCACTCCCATTTCTTTAAGAACTTGCTATAGTTTGCTGTGGTCAACACAGTCAAAGGCTTTTGCATAGTCAATGAAGCGGAAGTAGATGTCTTTCTGGAACTCTCTAGCTTTCTCCACAATCCAGCGCATGTTTGCAATTTGGTCTCTGGTTCCTCTGCCTCTTCTAAATCCAGCTTGCACTTCTGGGAGTTCTCGGTCCACATACTGCTTGAGCCTTCCTTGTAGAATTTTAAGCATAAACTTGCTAGCGTGTGAAATGAGTGCAATTGTGCGGTAGTTGGAGCATTCTTTGGCACTGCCCTTCTTTGGGTTTGGGATGTAGACTGATCTTCTCCAATCCTCTGGCCACTACTGAGTTTTCCAGACTTGCTGGCATATTGAGTGTAGCACCTTAACAGCATCATCTTTTAAAATTTTAAATAGTTCAGCTGGAATACCATCACTTCCACTGGCCTTGTTATTTGCAGTGCTTTCTATTTTTTTTTTATAAGATATTTATTAAAATTTTCAAAATGTTACAAAAAGGAAAAACAAAGTAGAAACAGAAGAAAATACAAAAAGTAAGAATAGTTAAAGTAGAAAAAAAACAAAAAAAACAAACCCCTTCCCACCATATAAGAAAAAATTCAAAATAAGAAAAAAATGACAAAAAAAGAAAAATACAAAAATCCCAAACCTATAAAAACATTTAAAAACAAATTCATTATTTTCAGATCCTTAACTGTCATTACCTTCTTTCTTAGACTTCCTCCTCCTCCCTTTCTTTGTATCCTAGTTATTAATTATCCCAGCAAATCCTTTCCATGTTTCATAAAATTCTGACATTGCATTACCCTAGACTATTTTGATTTTATCTTTCTATAATAAAATAAACCTTAAAACTTAAAACTTAAATCTTATCCTTACCAGCTTCTTATAATCATAATATTCTTTCATAATTCTTTAAGCATCTTTGCTAAAGCCAAGTAATTTCATTCCAACATTTTTCTATCATTCATCAATTTTATATTTGCAGTGCTTTCTAAGGTCCATTTGACTTCACTCTCCAGGATGTCTGGCTCAAGGTCAGCAACCACACTACCTGGGGTGTACGAGCCATCCATATCTTTCTGGTATAATTCCTCTGTGTATTCTTGCCACCTCTTCTTGATGTCTTCTGCTTCTGTTAGGTCCTTACCACTTTTGTCCTTTATTATGGTAATCTTTGTACTGAATGTTCCTTTCATATCTCCAATTTTCTTGAACAAATCTCTGGTTTTTCCCATTCTATTGTTTTCCTCTATTTCTTTGCATTGCTCGTTTAAGAAGGCCTTCTTGTCTCTCCTAGCTATTTTTTGGAAATCTGCATTCAATTTCCTGTATCTTTTACTATCTCCCTCGCATTTTGCTTGCCTTCTCTCCCCCGCTATTTGTAAGGCCTCGTTGGACAGCCACTTTGCTTTCTTGCATTTCCTTTTAATTGGGATGGTTTTCGTTGCTGCCTCCTGTATAATGTTGCGAGCCTCCATCCATAGTTCTTCAGGGACTCTGTCCACCAAATCTAAATCCTTAAACCTGTTCCTCACTTCCACTGTGTATTCATAAGGGATTTGGTTTAGATTGTATCTTACCGGCCCAGTGGTTTTTCCTACTTTCTTCAGTTTAAGCTGGAATTTTGCTGTAAGAAGCTGATGATCTGAGCCACAGTCAGCTCCAGGTCTTGTTTTTGCTGACTGTATAGAGGTTCTCCATCTTTGGCTGCAGAGAATATAATCAATCTGATTTCGATGCTGCCCATCTGGTGATGTCCATGTGTAGAGTCGTCTTTTGTGTTGTTGGAAAAGCGTGTTTGTGATGACCAGCTTGTTCTCTTGAGAGAACTCTTTGCCCTGCTTCATTTTGATCTCCAAGGCCAAACTTGCCAGTTGTTCCTTTTATCTCTTGATTCCCTACTTTAACATTCCAATCCCCTATAATGAGAAGAACATCCTTCTTTGGTGTCACTTCTATAAGGTGTTGCAAGTCTTCATAGAATTGGTCAATTTCAGTTTCTTCAGCACCAGTAGTTGGGGCATAAACTTGGATTACTGTGATGTTAAAAGGTCTGTCTTGGATTCGTATTGAGATCATTATATCATTTTTGAGATTGCATCCCAGTACAGCTTTCGCCACTCTTTTGTTGACTATGAGGGCCACTCCATTTCTTTTACGGATTCCTTGCCCACAGTAGTAGATATGATGTTCATCCGAACTGAATTCACCCATTCTCGTCCATTTTAGTTCACTGATGCCCAGGATGTCAATATTTATTCTTGCCATCTCATTTTTGACCACATCCAACTTACCCAGGTTCATGGTTCTTACATTCCAGGTTCCTATGCAATATTTTTCTTTACAGCATTGGACTTTCCTTTCGCTTCCAGGCATATCTGCAACTGAGCGTCCTTTCGGCTTTGGCCCAGCCGCTTCATCAGCTCTGAATCTACTTGTACTTGTCCTCCGCTCTTCCTCAGTAGCATGTTGGACGCCTTCCGACCTGAGGGGCTCATCTTCCAGCGTCATAACTTTTATATGCCTGTTGTCTTTGTCCATGGAGTTTTCTTGGCAGGGATACTGGAGTGGCTTGCCGGTTCCTGCTCCAGGTGGATCACGTTTGGTCAAAACTCTCCACTATGACCTGTCCATCTTGGGTGGCCCTGCACGGCATAGCTCATAGCTTCTCTGAGTTATTCAAGCCCCTTCGCCACGGCAAGGCAGTGATACATATACACACAAAACACACACACACACAAATTATCACCTTCAATGCAAAGACCCCATTCTGGCTCCCCAGACCTGATTTGGCCATATATCTCGTCTTTTTCTTCACTGTTCCTCACATTTATGGAAAAGGTGGGCAGTGGAAGCATTATGAAAAGCCCATTTAAAAATTGGTCAGGCTGGTGGACATTAGGATGAAGATCTGCTCTGCAGTCCTCTCCCTCCTCCTGCCATGTTGTGGAAAGTTAGTCAAGTGATTTCTTTTTAAAGACACACTTTTGCACTTTGGAAATTATATGGGATGTTGGATGTTGCTGGTGCTGCTATTAGTCTTTTTTTGTTAAATGTAGTGGGTTTTTCTAGTTTATTGTATTGATTAGATTTTACATATTTTACTCAGTGTTTTGTAAAAGAATCCCAGAATATAATTTTAAAGATAAGTAAGAGTTTCCTTTATGCTGCCATCTGCTGCACCTTTTCCAGCTCTTATGGATCCCTTTTTGTGGTGTCCAGGATTAGGCCGGACTGGACTTCTGTCTTCCCATTGGGCTTTTTTCCCTGGTCTGTGGTGCAATTCTGTCCTGCTCTTTAAGTTTACTCAAGTTTCTCTAGTTTAAGCAGTGACGTCATGTCTCCCCTCCTACACAAAAGCTGAGGGAAGACCCCCAATCTTGCAGGGAAGCCGGACCCCTGGAGTTCACACTCAGGCAGCCCCCACCTCCCTCCCGTGACGCCAGAACCCATTTACCTTCTCGCCCCCAAAGGTTGTTGCAGCCATTTTCTGAGCTATTTGTGTTCATGCATTTCCCACTCTTACACCTTACTCTTACATAAAAGGGGTGGGGATCTTGTATGGCTCAAAGGGATATTTCCCCCTCATGTGCCGGGAGCCTTTGGCTTCAAACCACCCCTGTGTCTTATTGAGATTGGGCACAGAAAAGCCAGCCATCCTGGGCTGGGGGCTTCCTAAGAGTCTGCAGGATCAGGCCAAGAGCTCATCTAGCCCAGCATGCTGCTCTCACGGAACAGATGCCTCTGGGAAATAAGGGGAAATACAGCTTGGACGGAAGAGGTGCAGTGGCCTGGTCTTTTGATAAGTGGATCCCCTCTCTCCTGAATTAGTGTCTCTGCTTGACCCGGAAATGTACCTTTTCGCAGCTGAAGTCCATATTCCACAGTGTCTGGGAGAGAAAAGGGAACAGATATTTAGCATCACACCATCATTCAGATCACAAACCTGGCAACAACAATATGAGCTCATGAGATAGTAGCCAGGTGTTGTGGACTCCAATTCCCATCATCCCTAACCACTGGCCATGCCAGCTGGAGATTATGGGAGTTGCAGGTAGAACTACCTGAAACTTGCCATACTGGCTATCCCTGCATAAACAGGGCAGGGGTGATATCAAGGTTCAGTCCTGCCCAAATCTTGGAAGGAGGAGCAAGACCCCCAGAAGATCTCCCCACCAACAACAAGGTCCAGACACCCCTGTTGCAGGACGGGAGGCCTCAACCCCAGTCCCCTCTGCTCCTGGCTGGCTCCTGGACAGCCCCCCTCCCTCCTGCACCCCTTACATCAATCTCAGGGCCAAAGGAACAGGAGAAATGCCCCAAAAGTGAGATGTGTGAAATCACCCAAAGCCTGGCTGAGAGATGGGAAGAGGTCAAGAACAACTTTTTTCAGGCAACCCACAACTTAAGGGAGGGTTACATTCCTGGAGATTGTGCATAAAGGCAGATCATGCAAAGTCAGAATGACCCCCGGAATCACCCCTGCCATCAGAGATCTCAAAACGGTCCCTTGAGATCTCGCAGGAGCCTCTCAGAACCAAGTAAGGTCTTAAAAGTGATTTGCATGGTGGCCAAACCCTTCATGGCAAGAGCTTTCAAGCCCTTTACCTTGCTGACTGGAATCTGGGAGGCTCCCCCAAGATCTCGCAAGAGCTTCAGGAGCCCAGCAAGAAAGTTTAATCCTCCTCTTTCAATTGCGTAAGAAAAATCTGTTGTGAGTCATCTACATAGCAAAGTGTGGTTTCTAGATATTGAAAGAGAATGAATAAATAAATAAATAAATAAATAAATAAGCCTTCTATTTTCCAGGCATGGCTAATATTCCGTATGACCTGGAGCCTGTCATGAACACTTCTAAACGTCCAGTACAAAGTACTTTCAGCCCATCTTTACTACCTCTGAATTTCTTCATGACTCCCTCCAGGAAGGGATTTATATCACAGAACTCCCAAATCTTCCACTTCAGGGCAGGAGGAAAAGCCACAGGAGGATCCTCTAAGTTCTCCTTCTCCTGAGACCTTGGATGAGAAGAACAAAGTGAAGCCACCATCCTTCCAATGCAAGGAGCTTTCTGACAAGGCAGGTGTCTCATCCTGATGATAAAGGCACCATGAAGACTTGGGAGCAGGGTTTTTCCTATGCATTGGCTCCCAGTACGTTTCCAAGCACAATTCAAAGTGTTGGTGCTGACCTTTAAAGCCCTAAACGGCCTCGGTCCAGTATACCTGAAGGAGCATCTCCACCCCTATCATCCAGCCCAGACACTGAGATCCAGCGCCGAGGGCCTTCTGGCGGTTCCCTCACTGTGAGATGCCAAGTTACAGGGAACCAGGCAGAGGGCCTTCTTGGTAGTGGCACCCGCCTGTGGAATGCCCTCCTACCAGATGTCAAAGAGAAAAACAACTACCAAACTTTTAGAAGACATCTGAAGGCAGCCCTGTTTCAGGAAGCTTTTAATGTTTAATAGATTATTGTATTTTAATATTCTGTTGAAAGCCGCCCAGAGTGGCTGTGGAAACCCAGCCAGATGGGCGGGGTATAAATAAATTATTATTATTATTATTATGGCAAAAGGAATCTGTGGATCTAGAGAGCACCTAACAAGTTGAAGGAAAACCGACACACACCTGCTTCCAAAATATACTGAAGGAAATATAGGAACAGGAGATTGAAGGTAAAGAAGCTGGGTCCTTACACAAAGATTTTAGGACTAAACCAGTTTTAGTGAAACATTTCAAGTGATTAATGAGCAAAACTAAATAGATCTGGTACAGTCAAACCTCGGCTGTTGAACGCCTCTGTAGTCGAACGTTTCAGCTCCCGAACGCTGAAAACTCGTCCTCCGTCTTCGAACACGCCTTGGAAGTTGAACGTCTGACGCGGCTGTTGACTGTTGTTTCTGGAGCGTTTGCCCCAATGGGAGAGTGCGCCTTGGTTGTCGAAGGTATTGGAAGTTGAATGGTCTTCTGGAACGGATTGAAAACCAAGGTACCACTATATGTGCATTTCTGAAATATAAGAAAGTTCAGAATGCTTTAGAATGACTTTTGCAATTAACATTAAAAATGTACTTTAGCAGAGTGGTTATATATTAAAAATGGAGAAAATATTAGAAATTAAAGCAGTATTTTCTAAACATTGAAGTTTTTCAAAATTCATTAGTGTTTGAAGTTGTCTGGAGGACAAGGCTCTCAGTGGCTACTATTCATGATGGCTGGATCAAAGGCAATGGTGTCTCTGAACTGCAGTTGCTGAAACCACAGGAGGGAAGTGTCCTCTGGGGCTCAGATCCTGCTCACGGGTTTCCTACTGGTATCTGGTTATTCACTGTGAAAACTAGATGGGCCACTGGCCGGATCCAGCAGAGCTCTTTCTCACCTTCTTATGTTTGAGGAAGAATCTGCAAGAGCCTGAATACACTGGATATTTAAGTGTAAGTTAGGACTACACTAGTTTTAATGAAGCATAAATGAGTAGAAGATAATAGATTTGGTATGTGCATTTCTGAAATATAAAGAAGTTCAGAATGCTTTAGAATGGCTTTTGCAATTAACATTATAAATGTATTTTAGCACAGTGGTTATATTTTAAAAATGGAGAAAATATTAGAAATTAAAGCAATACTTTCTAAACATGGAAGATTCTCAAAATTCATGAGTGTCTGAAGTTGTTTGGAGGACAAGGCTCTCAGAGGCTACTCTTCACCATGGCTGGGTCAAAGGCAGTGGTGCCTCCGAACCACAGGAGGGGAGTGTCCTCTGGGGCTCGGATCCTGATTGCGGGTTTTGCACTGGCATCTGGTTAGTCACTGTGAAAACAGGATGCAGGACTTGATTGGCCACTGGCCGGATCCAGCAGGGCCCTTTCTTACCTTCTTATGGCTGAGGAAGAACGTGCAGAAGCCAGAAATACACTGGATATTTAAGGGTAAGTTATAGTGAAGATATTTACAAGCCCCTTTGGGGTGCCCCCCCTTTTTGTATCAATTGCAGAGTAATTGAATCCGTCACAGAGAAGGGCCTCCAGAAATATGCAATGGGAATGGCTTCCAGTCTGTGATTGTAGATGGGACCAATAACTACAAATGACTAGGAAAATGTGTCCCTGTTTTTGTCTGTGATCTTGTGGAATGGATGATGGAGTCCTAAGCTATCTCTGGAAGGAGGAACTGGACAGTGAGTTTCCCACCTGTTAAACAGGAACTTTCCTGGCAGAATAATAAGGCAGGGGTTTTCCATCACTTACCTCTGCAAGAAGCTTCCAATATCCTGGAGGGAAAGAAAGAAAGACGTCAGTGGAGCAGTCAGTTATAAATACTAAGCAGCTGAGTGGCAACTGCTGGAAATCACAGGTTTGGAGAGCACTACTGTTTTTTAGGCTTCTCAGAGACCTCTGGTTGGCCAATGCAAAAACACAATGCTAGAATGAAGGGGCCTGTGGTTTGATCTAGCAGGGCCCCTTCTGCGTCCCCAGGAATGACACCTGAGGGAGCGTGGAGGACCAAGAAATGCCTGTAATTTGAAGCAGCACACTCCACCCTCTCACATCAGGATGAGGCCTCACCTGCAGGAGTTCACTCGCTGGTTCCTGAAGCTTCTCCTCCATCTCCCGGATGGTGTGTTCAAGAGAGGAGAGTTCCCTGGAGAGTCTGGCCAGCTGCTCCTCCCTTTGGGCTGCAATCTCCTTCTCCACCTCTGCCATCTGGGCCAGAATACGTTTCTCCTGTTCTTCCAGAAACTGGTGCAGTCGCCTGAACTCAGCCACCATCTTTTCCCTCTCTGCATCTGTTTGTTTCTGCAGCAAAGAGGTTGAAAGAAGAGAACAGTGGGCCAATATCAGGCATCTAGCCTCCTGTTAAAGGATGAGGAGGCCAGTTATCCCAATTCCCCTGGAAGGCAACTTCTGACATATTCAGCAGAGAAAGAGCTTTGTAAAAACTTACAACCCACCCCCTACTTTAAATGGTCTTTCATGCTCTGTAGGAGATCAGGCTGATAAAAAATAAACCACTTTCTGTATTCCATATTCATTTTCCCCCCAGATATTGATTCTAGACTATAGCATTTTTCATCTTAAAGCAGTAACAATGGTGCTTACAAGCAGGTCTTGGCTTTCCTTTTCTGTGTTTGCTTTAAATACTAGAATTTTCTCTCTCTCCTTCCTCACATTGTCTAGGCAGCTGCTGATCTGATCCTGAAAAGAAAACAAAGTCCAAGTTGGGCTGCGTTACACATTAACAGGCAAGCTGATTGTATGTTTGCTCCCTGCCCCACATCCCTGGGTCTTTGGCAGAGGTTCCCCTTTTTCATCCCAGATGAGGCAGAAATGGGGCTGCCCTGTATCAGAGCTGAGAAACATGGGGGTTTTGCTATTTGTCCCCCACACTGAACACACCTCCAACATCTCCCCCTCCTTTTTATAAAATTAATCCTAAATGTTGTAATATTTTGTCCCAGAGGAGTAACTGCAGCTTGCATTCAGGGGGTGACTGGGGGCACTTTAATCCCTCAAAAAAAATATATTTATCGTATAAAGTTTCATAAGTTTAGTCTTATCAGGCTGCACAAGATCTCTTGCTGGAGGATTCCTTTTGGGCGGCAAGTAGAGAGAATACATTACAACATCATCATCATCATCATTATTATTATTGCTGCTGCCAGCCCCTCTTGTCAGCAGCTCTTCCACCCCAAGAAAGACCCATTGCCTTTTCCCACCTTGTACTCCTGGGACGCCTCCTCTAGAGGAACCACCTCGTGCCTTTTGTGCTCCTTGGATACATGACACACCACACAGACGGGGCTTTGGTCCTCCTTGCAGAAGAGCTTCAGGGGCTCCTGGTGCTTCTCGCAGATCTTCCCCTTTCCTTCTCCCTCCTCTTTCTCCCCGAGATGGCTGAATTTCTTAATTATTTCCACAAAATTTGCCAGCTGCTGGTTTCTCCTGATGCTGCCTTGCTCCACTGTTTTCCTGCACTGAGGGCAGGAAGCCTCTCCCTCAGATTTCTCCCAGCACTGGATCAGGCAGGATCGACAGAAGTTGTGCCCGCACTCCGGGATGATCACCGGATCCCTGAAATAATCCAGGCAAATGGAGCAAGTGGCTTCCTCGCTGAGATCGCGGACGGGACCCTCAAAAGCAGCCATGGCTGCTGCCTCGCCAGGAAGAGAGAGCTGGTTTCGTTTTCTCTCTTTTGCGTCTGTAATGGGCGTGTTCCCTTTCCAGGAAATTGAGGTGCGATTACTCAGAATCTCTGCTGCCTTGGAGTTGGGTGGAGCTCCATATATATATATGGATATATATATATATATATATATATATATATATATATATATATATATTGATATATAAAATTGAATGCTCATCCATGGTGGCTGCTCGTTTAAGGAACCATTTCCATGCGAGAGCTGGTGAAGTTTGTTGTTTTTTTGTTGACTATCAGCATGTCAGCCTCAGACTACTTTGCAAGCTAATGAATGAATTTCCGCCCCTCCCCCGCCTTGCTCCATTCACACTCATCTTTCTAGTTAGTAGCCCCCACATACAGAGGAGAAACAGCCCAACCCTCCATCCCGGTGCCAGTTTTCAGCGAGTCCTTTTGACAAAATCGCCAGCGTCTGATAATGTGCAATAATAACCTCTCAACGAACTCTGCAAACGGCCTTTGCAAACAGCTCAGCTAATGGTATCCAGATATTTGCCAATAACACCGCAGCGCAGCTATTAACATCGGGTGCTTTCAATTAGCCCCATTTTCTCAATGAATGCAGCCCTTTGTCAGTGAAATATCACTTTAGTCAGAGAGAACATGAACCAAACAAGTTCCTCTTTTGGAAAAGCTGCCTGGGGGAGGGACAAGAGGCGGGGTTCCTCTCCTGACTGACCTAACAGAAAGCCAATGAAAATGTGGCCAACCCCGCCTGCCGCTAAAGATCATGCAGAGGAGCAGGAGTCAAACTAGGGACTCCTCTGATTCACAGCTCAATATTTTGCCTTGCATCTCATCAAAGACCATATTTGAAAGGTCAGGAAAAACTGGCAGCAGGCCACAGCAGAGAAAATACCCTCTTTCCAGCTACCACCCAAGTTTCTCTTATATATTTAAAGTACGTTATCCTGCAACTTTCCAGGTACTGTAGTTTATATCCATCAAAAACAGTGACACTTGAACCGAACCACCTTGGATTAGTTTATCCATGCCTTTTCTTCCCTGCACATGTCACAGCTGAGTGTAAAATGAATTGGAGGCTGCAGTCTTGGTGTAAACCTCCCCCCCTTACATCTGTTTTCAAATGGACACACTGTTGGGTAACGCAAAATCAATTTGCAGTGAGCTTTTATTGTTGGAATGATACCAGTTTATTGCTTGCGGTTCATTTAGAAGTGATGCAGAAAATAGATGTTGCATCTTTTATAATGACATCTATTGTACTGTTGCTATAAATTGCTTTCTTTTACTACAGATTGGTTTGAGTCAAGATCTAGGAAGTGTCACTCCCACTAGTAACCTTAAATGCAGGCGCCCATCCTGGCTCCCTGCATCGGATCAACTATATGACTTGTCTTTCTCTAGACCACGAGACTCTTCATTTCAGGGTTGTGGGTTCGTGCCCCACACTGGGTGAAAGATTCTTGCGTTGCACAGGGTTGTTTGATGACCCTCACTGTCCCTTACAACTTCTACAAGTCTATGATTCTATGTTTCTCCTAAAACTGTGCCTCCATTAGACCCTGACATTTACTTTTTTGCAGCTTTAGTCCAGATTCCACAGCGTCTGGAGAGAAAAAAGGGAAGAGAGATTTAGCATCACACCATCATTCAGATAACAAACCTGGTAACTACAATATGTGCTCATGTGATTGTAGCCAGAGTGGTGCATTCTAGATGTTGTGGACTACAAATCCCATTATCCCTAACCACTGGCCATGCCAGCTGGAGGTTATGGGAGTTGCACTTGAAAATACGTGAAAGCCACCATGATGAGCATCCTTGCATATGCCAGGGCAGGGGCGATGTCAAGGTTCAAGCCTGCCCAGACCTAGAACCTGGTGTCTCCTAAGGTGATGTCTCTGCTTTTTTAAGTACCCGCCACCTTAAGTACATCTTAAGTAAAGGTAAAGGTAAAGGTACCCCTGCCCGTATGGGCCAGTCGTGTCCGACTCTAGGGTTGTGCGCTCATCTCGCTCAAGAGGCCGGGAGCCAGCGCTGTCCAAAGACACTTCCGGGTCACGTGGCCAGCGTGACGAAGCTACTCTGGCGAGCCAGCACCAGCGCCGCACACAGAAACGCCGTTTACCTTCCCGCTAGTAAGTGATCCCTATTTATCTACTTGCACTTAGGGGTGCTTTTGAACTGCTAGGTGGGCAGGAGCTGGGACCGAATGACGGGAGCTCACCCCGCCGCGGGGATTCGAACCACCGACCTTACGATCAGCAAGTCCTAGGCACTGAGGTTTTACCCACAGCGCCACCCGCGTCCCTCCTGCATCTTAAGTACCCGCCACCTAAAGAACAATAAAACTATCAATGCATATCCTTGCCTTCTGGCCTTCCTGAGGATGGGCTGTGGGAACACCTGCCTCAGGCAACCCATCAATGGATGTTCATTGTCCCCCTACAAATGCTGTGTACTTGACTGTTTATCCCAAGGATTATGGGGGAGGGTGGTATTCAAGTTGAGTACGTGACCTCTCCCGTAGAGAATTATGGAGGAAGACGATGTCCAAGTCTGCCTTTCCTTTTGAAGCAAAATGTCATTGAAATGGGGTAGAAATGCCCTCACAGGAAGTCTTGGGTTTGCAATTTTGGGAGAGGGAAGACTGTCTGCGGCGCTGGGGAGCGGGCAGGCTGGCGAGGCCCCCTAGATTTAGAGGCCCTAGGCTTCAGCCTACTTAGCCTATACATAAAGCCTAGCACCCAAGTCACTACAGGTCTGGTTTTCCAAAAACTGAAACACAGCCAGGGATTATTGGGGGGGGTACTTTTGTGGTGAGGGCAGAACTGAGTAATCAGTGACACAGCTGGTCAGTTAGTTAAGTGTTATTTATTTATTTATTTGAATTAAGAGGCCTGCTGCCCTCCCTGCTGCCCTCTGTCTACACCCATGGCAGACATCTTTGAGGGGAAAGACGAGAAAGCAGGAGTCATGGCAGAACCCAGACTGGATTTAAACCCCCCTTCAGAGCTTCACTGTTGACACAGGAATACCTGAACATGAGCTGCAACATAAAAGAACTTCATAATGAAGGCTTGGGAGCACATCTCTGAAGAGGGCTTTGCAACATGGCGCAAATGCTGAGAAAATGGATAGGGAGATTTTTCATGCATGTTATACAAAAGAATAAGAGGGGATCTGTAAAAAAAACACATATAGATGTATCTGATTGTTCACAACAAGTCACCTTAGAGAAAATAATTGTATAAGTGGGAATTTACTACCACCCCCTGAAATTCCCCAAATTGTTTCTGTTCTGTCCTTGGAACTTCTTTCAGAGGCTCTTACGTTCTGGGGATTAGCAAGTCAAGTCAGGGAGACGCCTTGAGAAAACTTTCCTGGAGGTCCGTAAGCAAGGCAGAGGGGCTTAGAAACCCTTTGCACAGCAGGATATAGGGCACCAAAATTGTAAGCCCCCCATCTTGCTTTCTGGGCTGTGGATGCTCTCGTGAGATGACACACATGAGATAGATCTGTCTGTCTGTCTGTCTGTCTATCTATCTATCTATCTATCTATCTGTGTTTTGACGAAGCACACAAGGCTGTGATTGCTTAATTGAGTTACATGCAAATTTTGGCCCTCTTTGGATAGAGATATTTTGTTGGAATTGCCACATAAGATGAAGGAAAGGGATTTTGGTTGTTTACAGCTAGTGGAGGTCATCTTGGGGGAGGGAAAGGGAAACTGAGAACAGGATTAAGGCTGAGGGGGGTTTTAACCAATGTCCTTTCAGAATCATAGAATTGCAGCGTTGGAAGGGACTACGAGGGTCATCTAGTCCAACCCCCTGCAATGCAGGAATCTTTTGCCCATTGTGGGGCTCAAACACACAACCCTAATATTAAGAGCTTTACCGAATGAGCAATGTAAGGCCAGTAAGATTATGGTCTCGTCTTTATAAAGCTGTAAGTCAGACTCGACTCTCTTTTGGGAGGCTGGAGAAAGAACAGTATCAGAACCGGAATAAGAGCAGGGTTGTTGCTGTTTTAAGCATTAGTCTGCTTATTTCCCCCGGGATGCGGGTGGCGCTGTGGGTTAAACCACAGAGCCTAGGACTTGCCGATCAGAAGGTCGGTGGTTCGAATCCCCGTGATGGGGTGAGCTCCCGTTGCTCGGTCCCTGCTCCTGCCAACCTAGCAGTTCAAAAGCACATCAAAGTGCAAGTAGATAAATAGGTACCACTCCGGTGGGAAGGTAAACGGCGTTTCCATGCGCTGCTCTGGTTCGCCAGAAGCGGCTTAGTCATGCTGGCCACATGACCCGGAAGCTGTACGCCAGCTCCCTCGGCCAATAAAGCGAGATGAGCGCCGCAACCCCAGAGTCGGTCACGACTGGACCTAATGGTCAGGGGTCCCTTTACCTTTACCTGCTTATTTCCCACTTTGCACCAACTGAAGCAGCTGATTCTCAAGGGAAAGCATGTGGCAGGTTTCAGGACTGACAGGAGAGCCAACCAATCAGTGGTGTTTACCAACCTTGCCTGAGAAGGTAGACTTGGCATCATGACTGGCAGGAAGTCTGGCCAATCACTGTCCTGCAAACACTGTTCTACTTTGGGGGGGGACAACCCTTGAGGGAGAGCTTTCATTCTTTCCAGAACTAACTGAAAGTTCTTGAAGATTCCAGAAGATTTTGGATACTGCAAGAAGCTTCCAGAAGGCTGGAAGTTTTTCTTTAGTCAAGGCCACATCTGTGAGAGGAGCTGCTTCAGTTCTTACAGCAGCTGTATGAAAACTGTGCTTAGTCTGCATTGATCTGGCAAGCAGACAGGATGCAAGAGAGAGTTGCATGTGGGTTTTGTGGGTTGCAAAAAGCAAAGCCCAGAAAACTCTAAGGAAGGAACACTTCAGCAGATGAACTCTGTAAATGAGAACTGATATAAGTAAAAAATCTGCTCCTTTTCCCTTATGAGGTACCCAAGAACCCATATAGAGTCCTTAAGTGGGTTCACTATCAGTAGGAGAAAATAACAGAGACCAGCCAGAGAATATTGAGAAGCAAAGCAGCTAGTAAGTCTGATCTTTATTAACTGTTGCAACAGGGTGCTCCCCCATACGCCGGAGAGAGGAGGAGGACCCAGAACAAAGGTGTGCCCACCCTTATATAGACATTTTAAATTGCCCACCCTGGAGTCCAAGACCACCCCCAGAAAAATCATACATACATCACAGAAGGGGTGTAGCCCAAGACCACCCCCCAGATACATCATGCCTACATCACAGAAAAGGCGGTCTACAACAGAAATCTGAGTGTGTTGTTTATCTCCTGTCTGGCAAGTTACCTGATTGCATTATCTGGGTTTTGGCCACTCTTTTGTTATTATAACTACTTAATTCCTGAATCTAGCTCACAAGTCACAGGCTCACACCCTGTTCATATCTTGAATGTGGATTTGTGAGGACAGGATTTGTGAGGAAAGAGACAGAGAAATATTTGAGGTCAATTTGTTCAGGACCTAATCTGTGGGGTTTCAGACATGTGGTTTATATATACAGTTACGAACATTTAATTTTTTTATATATGACCTTAAAATTCTTATAACAGGAACCATTAAGCTTTTATGACCCGATGGTAAAATACTTGTGTCTGTAATTAACTGAATCTGTGAGTTACTGGCTTCGTTGTCTGGGTCAGAGCTTCTGAAGCGCTTTGATGTTGCACATTGCTCTGCTGATTTAGGACAGGTGGCACTGAGAAGCATATTTAGCAGCAAACCTGGAACCTTTTCTGTCTCTACCCTCAGAGAGTGCTAAGTGGCCTTTGGCGGACACATAAAAGATGGGCTGGAGGGTCTCTCCTGAGAAGGAGGCTGCTGGAAATGCGCGGAGAAGGGCTGCTGTATCAGCATCGTAAAAGGACACCCGTCCCCCTTCATAGTTCAGGGTCACTCGGATCCTCCTGAGGGGCAGCAGAACTTGGGGGAAGAATAACTTGAACAAACTGCCCCACGTACTAAAAACCCAGATCCCTTCAATAGGACCAGAAGAGAAACCACCCTTCCTCTTCACAGACTTTCTGGCCACCCCCACCCCCCACCCCTCCTCTCTTCCCACAGTGACCTCCCAGAAATGTCTGCCTGATGTGAAACCCTCACATCCCAGCACATAGGTTTCTGTGTCAAATCTCTCAGGGTTGTCTGGCAGGTCTTGATAGACGTCTCCCTGTCTCACACACTTTCGATCCTCAGACAGGATGAGGTAGGGATGTGCTGTGTTTGGATCCAAAGTTATGTTTTCTGTGAGGGCAGAGGAGGAAAGAGAAGAGAAACGACATCAACGGGGAAGCTGACTTTTCTTTAGTCACACTACAGAAACCTCATGAGAAGAGAAGACTCCCTGGAAAAGACCCTGATGTTGGGAAAGATGGAGGGCGCAAGGAGAAGGGGACAACAGAGGACGAGATGGTTGGATAGTGTTCTCGAAGCTACCAGCATGAGTTTGACCAAGCTGCGGGAGGCAGTGGAAGATAGGAGTGCCTGGCGTGCTCTGGTCCAGGGGGTCATGAAGAGTCAGACATGACTAAACAACAACAAATTGAAGCCAAACCCAGTAACACCTAGGAAGCGTCATTCCCACCTTCAATGCAGAGACCCCATCCTGGCTCCCCAGACCAGATTGATATGACTCATCTTTCTCATCTCTGTTCCTCACATACATAAAAAGAGGCTTAGAAAAGTTTCCAGGTTGTTGTTGTTACAGAGATTTTTGGCTAAATAACAAAGAAATAGCTAGAAGGTGACTGGAGGCATGTCCCCACCACCACACAAGCAGGAAAAAAAGTCCTAGCTAAAGACAATGTTATTAGGTAAAGGTAAAGGTAAAGGTAAAGGGACCCCTGACCATTAGGTCCAGTCATGACTGACTCTGGGGTTGGGGTGCTCATCTCGCTTTACTGGCTGAGGGGGTCGGTGTACAGCTTCTGGGTCATGTGGCCAGCATGACTAAGTCGCTTCTGGCGAACCAGAGCAGCTCACGGAAACGCCGTTTACCTTCCCGCCGGAGCGGTACCTATTTATCTACTTGCACTTTGACGTGCTTTCGAACTGCTAGGTGGGCAGGAGCTGGGACCGAACAATGGGAGCTCACCCCATCGTGGGGATTCGAACCGCCGACCTTCTGATCGGCAAGTCCTAGGCTCTGTGGTTTAACCCACAGCACCACCCGCGTCCCAATGTTATTAGGAGTCTGTCAATAATAAAAACTAACGTTTGAGTGTATGGCAGAGGAGGAGACAGAGGGAGTAGAGTTTGGGCTCTGTCAGCTGACATCATGTCGGTGGTCCTGGCTGCCTCTCTCTGATGCCAAACCGTGGACTTGCCTGTTGTGAATGTTTAAGCTCTGTCAATCTGTTGATATTGGCAAATAAAAAAACTCAAAAAGGATGAAATGCCATAAACCTCCAATGATATCCTTCAAAAGGAAACCTCTTTGTGTCAGTAGTTCCATTCTCTCCCATGCTGCAATGTGTGTGTGACTACTAGACCACATGCTCTGTGTGTTGACATTCCATTCTTTGGAAGCATGAGAAACGGAAGATAGTCCTATGACTTCCTAATTCCGTCCTTTGTTTCCTGTCTGTTTGTTGCTCTCTCGGAGGAGAAGAGACGCGCCATAATGGCTCTGATCTTTGTTTTCATCCTGTAAATAAATCACTAAACCCTGATGTGACATTGCACCGGTCTTAGCTTAGGCTAACTCTGCTAATGACTACGTGCATGCATTTTCGGATGTATGTCATGCCTGGATGTCCGGAGGCAAAGCACCAACACTTCTCACTGACAAGAAAATTGGAGGAGTATAACACCCTAGGTACAATTTATCACTTCCTGAAAGTGACAAAAACCTGCACAGGAGACATGGAAAGTGGAAACGGGGACTGGGTGGGGGACTGGGTGGGGGTGACAGATGGGAGATCCACAGTAGCCAGGTTTTTTGAGAAGCAGATTTCATCACTCCTGAAATTGTGCCTCCTTTAAAAACCTGAAATTTACCTTTTCGCAGCTCAAGTCCATATTCCATAGTGTCTGGAAGAGAAAAGGGAACATAGTTTTAGCATCATGCCACTGTCTTGATAACTAATCTAGTAACGACAATACAAACTCATGAGAATGTAATTTAAAACTATCCGAAATCCGCCATGCTGACGATCCCTGCATAAGCCAGGGCAGGGGCAATGTCAAGATTCAGGCCTGCTCAGACCTTAGAAGAGGAACAGGACCCCCAGAAGATCTTCCCATCAGCAACAACCTTCAGGTGATATCAGGAGCCCAGGCTGCCATCTTGATAACACAGCACACAAGTCGTAATTAGCTGGAAGATTTACAATCAGCCTCAGACGCCCTATTGGAGCTTCTGTACCATATGATTCAGTTGACCCTTCTGAGGAGTTCTTCCTGCTTCTGCAGAATATCCTGAACCTATAACCCTTACTTTTCTGGTTTTGTTTCCTTTCTAATCTCTTTCACATATGTCTACTCCTTGGGCTCATAGGATTAATTGCCTCCTCTTCCGGTGAGGAAATGCTTCCCTCCTTCATTCTGAGCCAGCCTGTGCTTCTTGAGTGAGTTGGCTTCTCTACATAAGTCTTATCTGCATTTCTTTCACTGTCAGGGGAAGGGGTAGTAGACATGCGACTGCTACCAGCTGCCTGAGAGAAATGCAAGAGTTCCTGCTGCTGGCTGCTTAACACATGCTGTGCTTCTCTACTTGGGACAGATGTGTTCATGACACCAGATATCTCTGTTCCAGGATGGGAGGCCTCAACCCCAGTCTCCTCTGCTCCTGGCTGGCTCTTTAACAGCCCCCCTCATTCCCTCCTTCTGCCCCCCTTACATCAATCTCAGGGCCAAAGGAACAGAGGAGATGCCCAAAAAGCTGTAGGTGAGGCTACCTGGGAAATGGGTGAGATGCATGAAAGCACCTAAGCCCTGGCTGAGAGATGTGAAGCAGTAAAACACAACGTTTTACAGACGACTCACAACTTATGTGAGGGTTACATTCCAAATGAGATCTGGGACGTTCCCACAAGATCTCAATAGAGCCTCTCAGAGTCCAATAAGCAAGGCAGAGGCAGAGCCCAGTAAACGATAATTTCCTACCTCGCTCTTTATCTGTTTTTTAGCGATCCATGTAAAGCTGTAATTGCAGAAGTAAAAGCAGCATAAGTTGCGACTTCTGCATATGAAAGTATGGCCTCTAGATATTGAAAGAGAATAAATAAATAAACCTTCCATTTTCCTGGCATGGCTAATATTCTGTATGACCTGGAACCTGTCATGAACACTTCTAAACATCCAGTATAAAATATTTCAGCCCTTCTTTACTACCTCTGAATTTCTTCATGACAGCTTCCAGGAAAGGAGTCATATCACAAAAGTCGCAGATCCTCCACTTCAGGGCAAGAGGAAAAGCTTCAGGGGGATTCTTAAATTTCTGCTTTGCCTGAGACCTGGGAGAAGAAGAACAAAGTCAAGCCACCAGCCGTCCAATGTAAGCAGCTTTCTGACAAGACAGGTGTCTCATCCTGATGATAAAGGCATGATGACTTGGGAGCATCTAGATGACGTGTGGATCTAGAGAGATCCTAACAAGCTGAAGGAAAACCGACACACAGCTGCTTCCAAAACATGTTGAAGCTAATATAGGAATATGAGATTGAAGGTAAAGAAGCTGATATATGCAAATTATTTTTTAAAAAGAAAATAAATTAAAGCAGCATTTTCTAAACATGGAAGATTTTCAAAAGTCATGAGTGTTTGAATATGTCTGGGGGACAAGGCTCTCAGCGCCTACTATTCGTGATGGCTGGGTCAAAGGCAGTGGTGCCTCTGAACCACAGGAGGGGAGTGTCCTCTGGCGCTCAGATCCTGATCGCGGGTTTCTCACTGGCATCTGGTTAAGCACTGTGAAAACAGGATGCTGGACTTGATGGACCACTGGCCTGATCCAGCAGGGCCCTATCTCATGTTCTTATGTCTGGGGAAGAAACTGCAGGAGCTTGGAATACACTGGATATTTAAGGGAAAGTTATAGTGAAGATATTTACAAGCCCCTTTGGAATGTCTCCCCTTTTTGTATCAATTGACTCCATCACAGAGTCTCCATCACAATCAAATGACTCCATCACAGAGAAGGGCCTTCAGAGATATGCAATGGGAACGGCTTCCTGTCTGTGATTGTAGATGGGACCAATAGATACAAATGACTGCAAAAACGTCTCCCTATTTTTGTCTGTCATTTTTTGAAATGGATGATGGTGTCCTAAACTATTTCTGGAAGGAGAGAGTGGACTGTGAGTTTCTCACCTGTTAAAGAATGTTCCTAGCATCATAATAAGGCAGGGGTTTTTCATCACTTACCTTTGCAAGAAGCTTCCAATATCCTGGAGCAAGGCAAGGAAGGAAGGAAGGAAGGAAGGAAGGAAGGAAGGAAGGAAGGAAGATTTCAGTGAAGTCAGTTTTGCACAGAGCACTGTGATCAGTTTGTTATTATTATCAATTTTGTATACCACCCTTTAACCGCAGGCCTCTGGGCGGTTGACAAGATAAAATCACTATATAAAAACATAAAATTCATAATAAGAGGGGCTGGGAGCTGGGGGCACTGCTATACAGTGGTCCCGCTCCTTCCTCCTTGGCCGTGTTCAGAAAGTGGTGGTGGGGGATGAGTGTTCAGACCCCTGGGCTCTCACTTGTGGGGTGCCTCAGGGTTCTGTCCTCTCCCCCATGCTTTTCAACATCTATATGCAACCACTGGGAGAGATCATCAGGGGGTTTGGGCTGGGTGTTCATCAGTATGCAGATGATACCCAGCTCTACCTCTCTTTCAAATCAGAACCAGTAAAGGCGGTGAAGGTCCTGTGTGAGTGTCTGGAGGCGGTTGGAGGATGGATGGCGGCTAACAGATTGAGGTTGAATCCTGACAAGACAGATGCCCCTGGATGCGAACTTTGCCCGGGAATGCAAGCGAAAGTCGCGCAGCAGCAGCGGGAGGCCCCATTAGCGAAAGCATGCCTCATGTTAAGAACGGTTTCAGGATAAGAACAGACGTCCAGAACGAATTAAATTCGTAACCGGTGGAGGTACCACTATATTATGAAGGCGCCAGGCGAACTTCGCAGGGGAGAGCATTCCACAGACGGGGGAGACACTGGAGAAAAGGCCCGTTCTCGTGTTGCCAAGAGATGAATGCAGCCCTTTTTCAGTGAAATGTCACTTTATTCAGAGAGGGCATGAACCAAACGAGTGACTCCATTGAGAAAGCTGCCTGGGGGAGGGACAAGAGGCAGGTTTTCTCTCCCAACTGACCCAACAGCAAGCCAATCAGTGCTGTGTAGAAAGCTGGTCTGAGAAGGAAGAGTTGCACCATGACTGACACAATGGCCGGCCAATCTCTATCCTGCACATAGGGCTTCTCCCTGGAGAGAGAGCAGGGCTGGAGGGTCTTCTCCTGAGAAGGTGGATGCTGGGAATGCATGGAAAAGGGCTGCTGGATCTGCATCGTGAAAGGACAGGTGAGAGTTCAGGGTCCCTCAGATCCTCTTGGGCTCCTCAAGCAGGGACAGAACAGGGGCATCAGAAGAGGAGGCGCCCTATTCACTTCCTATTTCCCCACCTCCCAAATCCCATCCTCAGGGAGGAGCGAACTTGCCCTTCCTCCTCAGCCCTCACAGACTGCCTGGCCACCCCTACAGCCCAGTGCTCCTCACTTTGCTGTTTATGAAAGTGGTTTGGCTCCCTTACCACCACCCCATGTGAAATGACGTGGTTGGGACTTGGAGAGTGAAATATACTCAGAGTCGAGAGTGGATTTCATGCTCTTTATTCAGCTCATAGTGGTGAGGAGGAATGTAAGTCCCCTCAAAGTATCTGCTTTATATGCATTATTTACACAATGGGCTGCACGTGATTGGCTAATTCTGGAATTCTCCTGTAGGCCAATCAGGTTGTGGATTGGGTGGCTCCTGCAGACCAATCATCCTGGTCTGCTCCTGCAGACCAATCCTGCAGACCAATCATCCTGCTGCATTGTTCTAGGACCAATCAGACTGCTGCATTTTGGATCCTATTGTTCTAGGACCAATCAGACTACTGCATTTTTGGATCCTATTCAACTCAGTACATAACAGAGAGCAATTTGGGGCTGCCTGTCTGGGAGGACAGACATTTGGTAATGTGGCCGAGATTGGCCCCATTGGGGAGAAAGCCGTGTCCCTGATAGGGTTGCTGAATTTCCCTCATCCCGTTGCAACTGAACCATAACAGCCTGTCGTCGGAGGCTTGGGCCGTGCAGCTATTAAGCTGCTTGAAGCACAAAAATGTATTTTTTATCAAATTTAAATACTTCACGGTTGACCTCAACATGTTACTTTCAATTGCAATTGGTCCTAGATCAAACAACCGCACAACATTCTGAAGCCATTCTGAAGTTTTTAATGTCTGACGTTTTACTATGTTTTGTATGTGCTGTAAGCTGCCCAGAGTGGCTGGGGAAACCAAGCCAGATGGGCAGGGTATAAATAAGAAAATTATTATTATTATTATTATTATTATTATTATTATTATTATTATTTTGACTAGAATAATGAGAGTCAGGACTGGAAGTTTTAATGGATAATGTGAGGTAGGCAAACCAGCTCCTTGAGTTGGAACCTGCCTGGTCCCATGGGGAGCAGTTCTCTCAGAGTCCTTCTCCCATAAAGACCCTTATGGATCTGTAACTGCTTGGCATTAGGCCTTCTGGCTTTCCTGCTCATTGCAGATATATCTGCTTGTTCACTACAAAGCACCTAAGAGAAAATAATTGTATACTGTATATGGGAATTTACCACACCCACCCACCCTAAAATTCCCTTCTTCTTTTCCGACCACTTGTAGCCGAGTAAGATTGTTTTCCATAAACACAGTTTTAGCAATGAGTCCGTAAGTGACTGTGGAGGCCAATTCTGGATCTACATGTCCTTCCACTGTGGGGACATTGGTTTCCAGGTGGGAGTTGATCCCGGTGAGGGTTTGCCAAGCGTGTCTTCCTCTTGGCATGTTTCTCCCTTGCGTCCTGAGTTCGAGTGTCTTCAAAGCCCATGACACCTTTGGTAAAGGCTGTTCTCCAACTGGAGCGCTCGCAGGCCAGTGTTTCCCAGTTGTCGGTGTTTATACTACATTTTTTTAGATTTGCCTTGAGAGAGTCTTTAAACCTCTTTTGTTGACCACCAGCGTTACGCTTTCCATTTTTAAGTTCGGAACAGAGTAGTTGCTTTGGAAGTCAATCATCAGGCATCCGCACAACACGACCAGTCCAACAGCCAGTGAAGGTCTTGGGGAAAGGAAAGAAAAACTGAAAGCAGGAGGGAAGTTTTAAGCAATGCCTATTCAGAGAAGTGATGAGGGTATTCTCTATAGAAAGCTGTAAGTCAGACTTCATTGACTTTTGGAAGGCTGGAAAAAGTACTACATCAGAACAGGCATGAGTGTAGGGTTGATTTTGTGTTTATTATTAGTCTGCTTCTTTCCCCCTTTGCTCCTCCTGCACCAACTGAAGCAGCTGATTCCCAAGGGAGACCATGAGGGAAAGACAACAGGCAGGTTTCAGGACTGACAGGAAACCCAACCAATCGGTGTCATTTACAAAAGCAGCCTGAGAAAAGAGAGTTGTACCATGATGGACACTCGGGTCAGCCAATCACTGTTCTGCCAATACAGCTGCCCCTTCAAGAAGACTTAGTTTGAAAATGTGGTGATGAGTATCTGCTTGTCTGTCTCTACTGCTGCTGCCCTGCCTCACGGCGGGATCACATTCACCCAGTGCTATACCAGCTGCACTGGCTCCCTGTGGAATACAGGATGAGGTTTAAGGTGCTGGTTTTAACCTTTAAAGCCCTACACGGCCTAGGACCCTCGTACCTACGGGACCGCCTCTCCTGGTATGCCCCAAAGAGGACCTTACAGTCTGCAAACAACAAAACCTTGACGATCCCGGGCCCCAGAGAAATTAGACTGGCCTCGACTAGAGCTAGGGCCTTTTTGGCAGTGGCCCCAGCCTGGTGGAATGCTCTCCCACAACGGACCAGGGCCCTGCAGGATTTGACGTATTTCTGCAGGGCCTGCAAGACGGAGTTGTTCCGCCAGGCCTTTGGGCAGGATGCAGTTTGACTTACTTTGCTTTGTATAAAAACAAGCTCGAAGGAGGCCCCCAACCCACTCACAGGTCCTTGCATGCTCAGTGGAAGCAGTTGGTCCTGGCAAATATTAACCACTCTCAGTTCTAACCTGATAATTGCCACCTGCCCAGATTTTAATTTGTCTGAATTAATTTTAAGATGTATTTTAATTAATTGATGCATATTGTGTTGTTTTTATGAATATTATTATTAATATTATTATTATTATTACTACAGTGGTACCTTGGGTTACATACACTTCAGGTTACATACGCTTCAGGTTACAGACTCCGCTAACCCAGAAATAGAACCTCAGGTTAAGAGCTTTGCTTCAGGATAAGAACAGAAATCGTGCTCCGGCGGCACGGCAGCAGCAGGAGGCCCCATTAGCTAAAGTGGTACCTCAGGTTAAGAACAGTTTCAGGTTAAGTACGGACCTCCGGAACGAATTAAGTATGAATTAACCACTGTATTATTATTATTATTATTATTATTATTATTACACTCGAGAGATTGTCAGGTGGCCTTTGGCGGACACATAAAAAAAGGGTTGGAGGGTCTCTCCTGAGAAGGAGGCTGCTGAGAATGTGTGGAGGAGGGCTGCTCTATCAGCATCGTAAAAGGACACCCGTCCCCCTTCACAGTTCAGGGCCACTCGGATCCTCTTGGGCTCCTCACATGGAACAGGGGCCTTACGGGGGGAGGAGAACCTGTACCCACCACCCCACTTCCCCAAACCCCAGATCCCTTCTGTAGTATCAAAACAGAACTCACCCTTCCTCTTCACAGACTTTCTGGCCACCCCCACCCCCCATCCCTCCTCTCTTCCCACAGTGACTTCCCAGAAATGTCTGCCTGCTGTGAAACCCTCACACCCCAGCACATAGGTATAGCTGTCAAATCTCTCAGGGTTGTCTGGCAGGTCTTGACACAGTTCTCCCTCTCTCACACTCTTTCGATCCTCAGACAGGATGAGGTAGGGATGTGCTGTGTCTGGATCCAAAGTTACGATTTCTGTGGGGGGAAAGAGAAGAGATACGACATCAACTGGGAAGCTGAATTTTCTTTTGGCACATGACAGAAATGTAATTCCCTCTGAAACGAACAGGGACTTTGTTACCTGCGTTTGGAACTAAGATACTCCACAAGTTCTTGGGTCATGTGGCCAGCATGACTAAGCCGCTTCTGGCAAACCAGAGCAGCGCACAGAAACACCGTTTACCTTCCCGCCAGAGCGGTACCTATTTATCTACTTGCACTTTGATGTGCTTCCGAACTGCTAGGTTGGCAGGAGCTGGGACCGAACAACAGGAGCTCACCCCGTTGCAGGGATTCAAACCGCCGACCTTTTGATCAGCAAGCCCAAGCGGCACAGTGGTTTAACCCACAGCGCCACCCGCGTCCCTGTGGAAAGTGCTAACGGGGGGGAAATAAGGCATGGACAGAAGAGCTGCAATGGTCTCATCTTTTGAGAAGGAGATTCCATTTATCCCGAAATTGTGACTCCATTCAACCCTGAAATTTACCTTTTTGCAGCTGAAGTCCAGATTCCACAGTGTCTGGCAAAGAAAAGGGAACAGAGATTTAGCATCACACCATCACCCTGATGACTAATCTGGTAATGACAATATGAGCTCATGCAATTATAGCTGGGGAAGCCAGAGTGGTGAACTTTAGGCATTGTGGACTACAGTTCCCATCATCCCTAAGCATCGGCCATGACAGCTGGAGCTTATGGGAGTTGCCATTTAAAATGTCTAAAACCCACCATGCTGCCTATACCTGCATAAGCCAGGGCAGGGGCGATGTCAAGATTCAGGCCTGCTCAGACCTTAGAGGAGGAGCAGGACCCCCAGAAGATCTCACCATGAGCAACAATCTTGAGGAGATGTTGTTGTTGTTGTTGTTGTTGTTATTCCCCGCCCAGCCACTCTGTGCAGCTCACAGCATATATTGAAATATAGTAAAACATCAAACATTAAAAACTTCCCAATACAGGGCTGCCTTCAGTTGTCTTCTAAAAGTCAGATAGTTGATTTATCTCCTTGACATCTGAAGCATGGGGGGGGGGCGTTCCAGATGGTGGGTGCGACTACAAAGAAGGCCCTCCGCCTGGTTCCCTGTAACCTCACTTCTCGCAGTCAGGGAACCAGCAGAAGGCCCTCAGCGCTGGACCTCAGTGTCCGGGCTGAACGATGGGCGTGGAGACTGGGCCGAGGCCGTTTAGGGCTCTAAAGGTCAGCACCTAGACTTTGAATTCTGCTCAGAAAAGCACTATGAGCCAATGAAGATCCTTTAGAACCGGTGTTATATGGTCCTGGCAGCCGCTCCCAGTCACCAGTCTAGCTGCTGCATTTTGGATTAGTTGTAGTTTCTGAGTCACCTTCAAAGGTAGCCCCACATAGAGCGCATTGCAATAGTCAAAGTGGGAGATAACCAGAGCATGTACCACTCTGGCTATATGTTGCAGAGTCAGGTAGGGTCTCAGCATAGCTGTCAACGTTTTCCTTTTTTTAAGGGAAATTCCCTTATTCCGAATAGGATTCCTCGCAAGAAAAGGGAAAAGTTGACAGCTATGGGTCTCAGCCAGTGTACCAGATGGAGCTGGTAGACAGCTGCCCTGCACACAGAATTGACCTGCACCTCCATGGACACATGAGAGCCCAAATGACTCTCAGGCTGCACACGTGGTCCTTCAGGAACACAGTTACCCCATTCAGGACCAGGGAGTCCCCCACACCTGCCCGCCCCCTGTCCCCTCAAAACATAAGTTCTGTCTTGTCAAGATTCAACCTCAATCTGTTAGCCACCATCCATCCTCCAAGCACCTCCAGACACTCACACATCACCTTCCCTGCCTTCACTCATTCTGATTTGAAAGAGAGGTAGAGCTGGGTATTATCTGCATACCGGTGAATGCCCAGCCCAAACCCCGGATGATTTCTCCCAGCAGCTTCATACAGATGTAAGATCTGGACTTCCCTGTTCCAGAACTGGAGTTCTCAACCCCTGTTCCCTCTGCTCCTGGGTGGCTCTTTGACAGCCTCCATTCTTCCCTCCTTCTGCCTGCTTTACATCAATCTCAAGGCCAGAGGAACTGAGGAGACGCGCAAAAGGCTGTAGGTGAGGCTACTTGGGAAATGGGTGAGGAGTGTGAAAACATCTAAGGCCTGGCTGAGAGATGTGAAGCAGTAAAATACAGCTTTTTACAGACAATTCACAACTTACGCAAGGGTTACTTTCCTGGGGATTGTTCATAAAGTCATGCAAAACCAGAATTCCCTCCCAAATCACCCCCTCCATCAAAGATATTGGATGGCCCCACAAGAGCCTCTCAGAGCCTAGTAAGAAATGCAGAGGGCTCTAAAGTGATTTTCCTGGAGGGATTAAAAGCCTCCAGAGCCTGACAAGTGATGGTTTCCTGCAGCCTTGCCGCTGCCCCCCGAGCTTGTGGGGCAGGCGGTGGGGGGAAGCGCTGCTTTCCCCCACCACCAACCTCAAAGATCCCTGAAGCCTTTGGAGCGTAGCTTCGGGGACAGCCTTTCAAGCCTCCGCAGGGTGGCGGGGTGCCTTCACCTCGCCGCCCTGCGGAGCCTTTGTGCAGCCCTCCCGAAGCTAGAACAGTGAGGAGGGCTGCACAGCACCCCGTCTCGATGTTTTGGCTTCAGGGACAGCCTTTCAAGCCTCTGCAGCCTTCCCAAAGCCAGAACAGCTTCGGGCTGCAGGCAGCTGTCCGCAAGTCAGCGGAGCCCGGCGGGAACTCCCGCCGGGCTCCGCAGGCTTGCGGAGAGCTGCCCAAAGCCCGGGGTGCACAGCGACGTGCTCCCCGGGCTTTGGGCTGCAGGCAGCTGTCCGCAAGCCTGCAGAGCCCGGCGGGCTTGCGGATAGCTTTCTGAAGCCTGGAGAGCGAGAGGGGTCGGTGCACACCAACCCTTCTCGCTCTCCAGGCTTCAGCGAAAGCCTGCATTCGCTCCATAGGACGCACACACTTTCCTCCTTCATTTTTGGAGGGGGAAACGTCCTATAGAGCGAAAAATACGGTAACTATATCTATTTATTTGTGATCCACATAAAGCTGTGATTGTGTAAGTAGAATTAGAGTAAGTTGGGAGTCCTTTGTATATGAAAGTGTGGCATCCTGATAGTAAAAGAGGATAAATACATAAATCTCATTTTCCTGGCATGGCTAATATTCTACATGACTTGGAGCCTGTCATGAACACTTCTAACCATCCAGTAAACAATCCTTACAGGCCTTCTTACAGGCTACATTACCTCTGAATTTTTTCATGACACCCTGCAGGAAGGGATTTATATGGCAGAAGTCCCAGATCCTCCACTTCAGGGCAGGAGGAAAAGCCACGGGAGGATCCTCTAAGGTCTCCTTCATCTGAGAGCTGGGGAAGAAGAACAAAGTCAAGCCTTCCAATGCAAGTAGCTTTTGGACGATGCAGGTGTCTCATCCTGATGATAAAGGCTCTCATAAAGAATTGAGAGCAGAGATCTTCCTATGGCAAAAGGGAGCATCTAGATGACGTCTGGATCTAGAAAGCATTGAAGAAGTTGGAGAAAAACTGACACACACCTGCTTCCATAATACATGGAAGGAAATATATGAAGATTAGGTGATGGACTTTATGGAGCTGGCTGTTCTCACCGGGAGAATCCGCTACCAGATAGAAGAGGAATATCAAGGTCTTGGGTTACACCCCTTCTGTGATGTATGGAGGGGTGGTCTTGAGCTCCAGGGCCAGGGATTTAAAATGTCTGTATAAGGCCTTGTGCGCCATTGTTCTGGGTTCCTTCTCCATTCCTGCATGTGAGGGGAGCACCCTGTTGCAACAGATCAATAAAGATCAGGCTTGTCCCAGGACTGCTGCCGCCAGCACCGCCAGCGGAGAGGAATCGGGGGTGCCCGGGGAGCCTATCAAAGGAGCCAAAACACCCCCCCACGACCTTGATTGAGCCGGAAAGGCACCCGACCACCCCCACCAGCCGAGGGGAGCTCCAAGACCAGGAGGACAGTGGAGCTAACGCAAAGAGGGAGAAAGAAAGGGGAGAGAGGAAGAAAAGAAAGAAAGAAAAGGAGCCCCAAATTTACCGCTGCTGCCCCCATCTCTGCTGACAGGAAAGCAGAGGAGAGGTAGGTGAGCACGGGAAGGCAAAAGAGGCTCCGGAAAAAACACGTGGCTGAGCCCCACCGGGAGCTCCAGCAGCAAGGAAAACACAGAGAAGCCGCATAACAAAGGGGATTTCCCCCCCTTTCTTACTTTGCTTTTTTTTTTTAACCCCTTCCTCCCCTCCCTCCCCCTTTAAAATATATGTATATCTTTTTTATCCTTCCCCCCCATATACCTACTTTTATCACTTTTCTTTTTAAAAGAGGGGCCACTGCTGCTGCAGCCACCCTTTATTTGAATCTTTATTTTTATTTCTATCTTTTCTACACACTATTTAAAGACACACTTTTCCACACACACACTCTGAATTTAAACCTCATTTTATTTCCACCTCAAACTCCCCTCTTAAGAATTAAAATGGCAGTACCCAGAAAACAGCCCTGAACCATCACAGGCCATTTCCTGGGACTGCCACTTAGCCCAGACTTTCCACTCTCTTTTACCTATCCTCTTTTACCTATACTTTACTCATTTTTTAAAAAAATAAAATAAAAAGCTCTATCTATCTATCTATCTATCTAAAGACAACCCCCCCTTTTTTTAACCTTTAATTCTCATTTTTATCTTTTACCCGTACATTTTTAATTACTTTTTTACAAACAAAAAATAATAACAATAATTAGGGGGAAATATTATTATTATTTTTTTAAAAAAAAAAAACCCCCAAAAACCATACAATTATTATTTTTTCGCCCCTCTTTCTCTTTTTAAAGCCCTTTCTTTTCTATTTGTTGGCTTGTTCTTGAGGGGGGAATCTTTCGCCCCCAGCTACGACCACCACTCTCTTTTAAAACAAAAATTTCCTCCATATCACTGCTATTGCTATTGATACTCTCCCCCTCAACTCCCCCCCTTTTTATTTTTCTATCCCTTTTTTCTCTCCCCCCTCTCTCTTCACCCCTCCTCATTTTTTCCTTTTACCCCACCTTTCATTTTCCATCCCCAATTCTGTTCTCTATCCCTTTAATTTTTTTAAATCAACCCCCCCTTTTTAGCCTGTTCATCAGTTTGTTCTTGAGAGGGGAGCCCTTTCCCCCCCACCCCCTCTTTTAAAATAAGACTTTCCCCCATACCATTGCAGCAGCTCACCCTCCCTCCCTCCCCTCTCTTTTCTTCTCCTTCCTTTTCCCACCCTTCCCCCTCCTCCTCTCCTTTTCTCTCCCTCCTCCCTCTCTCCATCCCCCCCTTCCCCTAAAGGAAACACATACACACATTCATATCACCCTATCATAATTTGCCCCCCTCATACTATAGCTAAAACTACTGCTGCATTCTAATACCGCTGATATTACTGTACTATCTCTCCTCGCTCTTTCAACTCTCTTTTGTCTCTCTCTCTCTCTTCTCTTTTACTCCAATCTCCCCTCTCCCCCCGCCTCCCCCCTTCTTCTTTCTTTCTTCTTCTTCTTCCCTTTTTTCTCCCTCCACCCTTTACATATAGCCTATTTGTCTGTCTCTGTTTCTGAGCGCACTCCCAACCCCAACTTCCACCTTAACTGGACCCCAATACCCCTTTTGGGCATATACAACCCCCTCCTAAACACATATTTCCCTGGCCCCACCCCTCTAATCTCTTGCATCTCTACCTGCTAACCCCCCCCGGTATATGAACTGTCTGTCCGTTAGTCTACCCATCTCTGCTTACCTGCCCCCCCCACCTCGGTGGCACCGCTGAGGCATCCACAAAAGCCCTAGAGAAGTTCTTAAAACACAGGCTAGAAGTGACACAAATGACCACCTAATCCAAACGCTCTGTAAAAGCCACCAGCCAGCAAAGCCTGATCAGCTCAGCAACCCAACAATACCCAGGAATCACCACTGCCACAACTCCTAACCACCACACGCCCTACCCCAAGAGGACGCCAAGCCAACCTCAAACCAAAACCATCAGGGAGACCGAGATGACACCAACCAGGGAGATGGCAAACAATGCTAAGATGGTAACTCCCCTTCAAGATGATGACCACCCAATAACGAATCGAGATCTGAGGGAAATGGAAGCAAGATTAGAAGCACGATTAGAAGAAACACTGAAGGCCACAATGGCTCCCATGCAGGTACTAATCAACAATCTAACCTCCAAAGTGGAAGCTCTAGAGAACAAGAACCAAATGCAAGAAAGAATAATAGAGCAATACCGGGAGGAGAACACACGTGTGAACAAGAAACTGGACGAACTGGTAAACCAAATGGAAGCAGAACACAGAGAGATGAAAATTAAGCAAGCCGACCTTGAAGACCGCAATAGACGTTGTAACATCCGCTTCCGCAACTTTCCTGAAAAAACAGAGGAGAAAAGCCCAGCAGACCTAATTATACGCTGGCTGAAAAACACAATCCCAAGCCTGAAACTTGAGGCAGATGACTTGGAGAGGGCTCACAGAGCCCTAAAACCTATGCCAAAACCCAGCGCCCCCCCAAGAGACATCATTGTATGCTTCACACGCTACAAAAAGAAGGAAGAGGTATGGTACCACCTCAAAAACTCAATCAACCTTCGATATGGAGAAACCCCCATTCTGGCCTTACAGGACCTATCTCAGGATACCCTAAACCGGAGGAAAAGCCTGCGCCCATGCACCCAGCGTCTCCAACAAGCAGGGATCAAATACCGATGGGGCTTCCCCTTCCGCCTCATTGTAACAACCAATACAACACAACACATGGCTACCAACATACCTGAGGCCCTGCAAATACTAAAGAACCTTGAACTCGACCTCCCACCGGAATGGCAACCGACAAACCCACCAAGTGACAGCCCCAACCACGAGGAAACAACAGCAAACAACTGGACAACGGTACAGAAGAAAAGAAACTACAGAAGCGGCACAACAACGCAAACCAATACAGGCAAGCATCATGCTCAGAACCGTCCCGCCGGCCATACGACACAAGAAACCAGACCAAGATTAACCAAACCAATTCATCGCAGATGGACAACCCTACAACAACAACAACCCCAGCTGAATGAAGCAACCAGGAAAAAACCACAAACTGAAGGACTGGTGATTCCCCCCCCCTTCCCCTCTCTCCCCCAAAACATAGATTTAGTTAACACCATCAACATCCCCCAGCCCCGCACCCCCACAGGAATCCCCAACCCCACACCAGTCCAGACGACCTCAACCACATTCCCCATCACCCACACCTTCAACACCCCCCTACTCCATACTACGAACAAACAACTCCTCCAACCTTAATAACACAACCCACAATCAGGCTAAAATCTGATACCCAACCAGCACTATGGTGGCACCAGAGCGTACCAGCACCCACATCCCCACCCCAACACACCAACAATGTTGCTCATAACATTGGCAACATTGCTTATGAACCTCATACCTGACAGCGACGTTACAAAGTCACTTCACACTGTCTCACTGATCACCCCCTATCGCAAACAACAGGGGGGATGGCCTGTCCTTGAACATGGCCTTCCACACCAGCTGAGACCTAGGACCAACTGGCTAAATGCCAGATGGCCTAAAATACCCCAAACAAACACCTATATGACTACATATAGGAAACTCTCTACAACTTACCCCCTACTCTTTAACCCAAATCTTACTCTAATCCCATTAGCCCCCACCCACCACACCCTAGGTCAGCGCAACCCCACTGGTTCTTTAAACAACACGAAGAGAGACACAAGACAACCCGAATGGGTTGGCAGAGAATAGCCCACATAATAGATAAGCAAGATGGCTAACCTAAAAGCAATTACATTAAACGTGAGGGGGGCTGTTAACCCCATCAAAAGAAAACGCATCACCTCATACATAAACACCATGAAACCACACATCACCTTCCTACTAGAAATACAAAACCCACCCAAAGGCAGAAAACTCCTGAGCGACCCCGCTTCAGTCAACAGTGGGTCGCACAAGGCTCAGGGAAAGCTCGTGGTGTAGCCATAATACTCAGTAGAGACCTGAACTTCACTGCCACAACAGTCCTCAAGGACAAAAAAAGGCAGATTCATTTTCGCTAAAGGGACACTAGATGGCAAAATCAAACTGACAATCGGCTCCATATATGCCCCAAACACGAAACAATTAGAATTCTTCCAGAAGACACTAAACAAATTCCTCTCCTTCTCTGAAGGGGAGCAATCCTAGGAGGGGACCTCAATCTAAATATGAAAGGTATATCCCTGAAAGATATCCACCCCACAACCCCATGGGCAACCTTCCTCCGAAGGAAACCCCCAACAACCAGGAACTCTTACAAGTTACTAAAAATGCTAAAAAACAGGGGTCTCTATGACATTTGGGGTGAGCAAAACCCGGGAGACATCAGCCATACATTCCAATCGGGACGCCATGATACAGTGTCCAGACTGGACAGCATTCTACTCACACAGGGTCTGATCCCCTCAGTAGAATCAACAAACATAGGTAACATTAAAATCACAGACCACGCCCCAGTAGAAGTCATTGTTAAAATAGGAGAAGGAACACAAACCACCCCATCATGGTCCTTCAGTCCCATCCTAACTACAAACAAACAAATTAGAGAGAGTCTCACAAAAACCCTCCAAAACTACTTCAAAGAAAACGATGTAAACAATATAACAACCCCCCTCCTATGGGACGCAATGAAAGCGGTCACCAGAGGAGCTTGCATAAAGAGAAAACATTCCTTAAAAAACAAACCTCCTCAAAAATTAGCAAAATAGAACAAGACATCACAGCCCTCTCATCACGCTACAAACAAACAGGATCTAAAAACTCCTCAAACTTATGGAACAAAAAGGAGAGAACTAGACTCCCTAGAAATTAACAAAACAATGATCAACATTCTATACTCTAAACAACGTTTCTACGAATATGGAGGGAAAAACTCCAGATTACTAGCAAATAGATGTAGGAAAAAAGCACTCAAAACAAGAATACACTGCATCACCAAAAAGACGGCAACATAACATTCTCCCCCAAAGAAATAACCTCAGAATTTGCAGAATTCTACTCCAACCTATACACCTCCCATAACCCACCAGAGAAGGAAATCAGAACATTTCTAGCAGGACTGACCATGCCTACCCTAACTAATGAGGAACAGGAATTCATGGACAGCCCTATCACCCCAGAGGAAATAGATGCGGTCCTCAAAACCTGAAACCACACAAAGCCCCAGGCCCAGACGGCTTCACAGCAGAATTCTATAAGAAATTCAAAGAACCCTTGATGCCCTACATGACCCGCCTATTCAACGACATCATAAAAGGGGGGCCCCATCCCCAAAACCTGGACCCACTCCAAAATAGTCTCCATCCCAAAACCACTAAAAGACAGCCTCAAAGTAGAATCATACCGCCCAATCTCATTAATAAACCAAGACTACAAGATATTCACATCAATCTTGGCCAACCGCCTAAAAATCTTCCTACACAAGTTAATAGCCCCAGACCAGACTGGCTTTGTCCCTGGCCGCAATATAACAGACCCCATCAGGAAACTACTGAACCTGATCGAACACAGCAAGGCAACCAAACTCCCATTGACAATTATGTCCCTAGACATCCTCAAAGCCTTTGATTGCTTGGAGTGGAAATACATATTAGCAGTACTAACTAACATGAAATTTGGCCCCAACTTCCTACAAATCCTCAAACAAATATACTCCCAAGCCTCAGCAAAATGCAGAACTAACAATATGGATTCTAACACTATAGCTATCCAAAGAGGCACGAAACAAGGATGCCCACTGTCTCCCTTCTTATTTATCCTGGCTCTGGAACCCCTAGCAATCCGCATCCGAGCAGCCACAGACATCAAGGGAGTGGAAATAAAAGGCAGAACCTATAAATTAGGGCTCTTTGCAGATGACCTAATGGTCACAACACCAGACCCCATAAGCACAGCAACCTCCCTAATCAGAGAACTCAACACATTTGCAATGGTGTCGGGCCTACAGGTAAATTTCACAAAGTCAGAAGCTATGTGCTTCAACACCCCTCCTCACACCCAAAAAGAACTCACGAAGGTCACCAAAATAAAACTTTGCCACACCAAGTTCAGATACCTAGGGGTACAAATAACCAGAAACCTCAATAAATTGTACCTCCACAACTACAAGCCCCTGTGGCGACAAATTAACAAAGACCTAAAGAGATGGAATAACATGAACTTCACTCTCTCAGACAAAATAGCCATGATCAAAATGATCACACTCCCAAAACTAACCTACCTATTCCAAACCCTCCCAATCTGGATCCCCTCAACCCAACTTCGCAGTTGGCAGAGAAAACTACACTCTTTCATCTTCTCACATAAAAAACCAAGAATAAGCCCCAAATACCTGCACCCCCCACCTCCAGAAGGAGGATGGGAATCCCAACATAGAAGCATATTACAATGCCAACCAAATACGCCACATAATCCCATATATACTAGAAGATGAGACAAAACAATGGGTACACCTAGAGAGGGACACAATTGAAAACACCTGCACCACAACATACCCACTCCTCCCAAACAAACTAAAGAAAATTCCCACAACACTTAACAGGTACACACAGACCATGCTCAAAGCATGGAAAACACAAATAGGCAAACTATCCCCAACCCCATCCCCACTAATACCCCTGGCGTACCACCCATTATTACACCGTGCAGCACAAAACCTCAATATAAAAAACTTGCGAACCAAAGGCTTATATCTCCTAATAGACTTTATAAAAATAACAAACCCTTGTCAACACAAGAAATACAAGACAAACTAGAAGACACCCAAATGCCCTGGTTAACACAACACCAACTTCATGCCCTCTTAAACAACCCAACAGTAAAATCAGCAGCAACTAGGCCCCTGACAACCTTCGAAAACCTCCTCCTAACAACAAAGGGAAACGGTAAAGGGACGGTATCCGCAATATACAAAATACTACTCCAAAATCCTGTAAATCCCCTAGACGCAATCAAAAAACAATGGGAGAATGACATAGGCTATGAGATTAACCCCACTCAATGGACCAGAATGTGGTCTAACCCCCCTTTAAATCCATATCAACGAAAAGAAAAGAACTCACACTGAAACTCACCTACAGGTGGTACCTAACACCAAGGAAACTAGCGCTAATACACCCAGGAACCTCACCAAAATGCTGGAGAGGGTGCACCTCCACAGGCACATACCTCCACATGTGGTGGGAGTGTCCCAAAATCCAACTATTCTGGACAACAGCCATACAAGAAATATGTAAAATAACTAAGCAAGTAATAGACATCACCCCAGAATTGGCCCTACTAAACATCTTCCAAGACAACAATGCCCATTTACACCACAAAGAACTCATAACCCACCTGCTCTCAGCAGCCAGAAACACCATAACCAGACACTGGAGAGACCTGTCAGGAGTAAGCATGGACCAATGGTACCAAATAGTATGGGAAACAGCCCTACTAGAAAAATTAACTAATAAACTGAAACTGACACGGGGACAAACAGAAGAAGACGCCTTCACCCCGGTATGGCTCCCCTTTATCACATACACAGCCCAACAGGACAATGACAATAATCCACCAACAGCATACAAATCAATATGGCTAACCTGATCCAAAACACCCACCCACCTCACTCACACACGAAAACAAAGATCACCACAGCCAATCACAAGCAAACAATCACACCCTAGGCCAACCCCAACCTCTCTCACCACCAAAGGAACACAAGTGAACAACACAAGCAACGCTGACACCAAACTCTACATACATTAAACATAATAGAAACACCGCCACCCGACCCCACCCCCATCCATCTTCCCTCTCTCCACCCCCCTTTCTTTTTTCCTTTTTTTCTTCTCCCCCTAATGCCTCAACAAATGAAACGGATTTGTAAAAATGTTACATGGGAAAAAAAAAATACGAGGCATTACACTTCTGTAAAACAAGAAAATCCTTAATAAAATATATATATATATAAAAAAATAAAGATCAGGCTTACTAAAAAAAAAAAAAAAAGAAGAAGAGGAATATCAAGAAGATTGGAAGAAATTTAAAGACTATTTGAATAAATATTGTAATATTAAATATTTGTAACTATTTGAAAGAACTAATTAGGCCTAGGATTAAATTAGGATTAAATAAATAAATAAGAAACAGTACGATAAGAAAAGTTAGGAAATTTGATTACGACCAGAATATTGTTATATGGAATAATGGTATTGGAAACTGCTACATTCAATTACAAGGAAATTCAGTTGGAAGAGATTAGAGGAAGTCAAGTAACATGTTTATGAAGTTGGACTTTAATTAACTAACTAAGTCTTATTGTAGGTGGTGGTATATGTGAGGTTTGAAATACTTTATTTCTTTTATTTTCTTATTTGCTTTTTCTTTTATTATTGTCTTCTCTTTTTCTGTTATGTTAAAGTTATGTCTTTGTATGAAATTTGATAAATATTATTGGGGGGAATAGGAAATATATGAAGATTAGATTGAAGGTAAAGAAGCTGATATGTGCAAATTAATATTTAGAAGAAAAATTAACAATACAAGGTCCTTAGAAAGAGATTCAGAACTACATCAGTTTTAGTGAAGCATTTCAAATGATTAAAATTATTAATATATTTAGCCCAGTGATTACATATAGAGTAGGGAGAAATAGTAGAAATTAAACCTGTATTTTCCCAAGATTTAAAAAAGTTGTTTGGGGGACAAGGTTCTCAGTGGCTACTATTGACAATAGCTGGGTCAAAGGCTGCGGTGCCTCTGAACTCCAGTTGCTGAAACCAAAGGAGGGAAGTGTCCTCTGGGGCTCAGATCCTGCTCGCGGGTTTCGCACTGGCATCTGGTTAGTCACGGTGGAAACAGGATGCTGGACTAGATGGGCCATTGGTCGGATCCAGCAGGGCCCTTTTTTACATTCTTATGGCCGAGGAATAACAACAACAACAACAACAACAACAACAACAATAAACAACTTTTATTTGTATCCTGCCCTCCCTAGCCGAAACTGGGCTCAGGGCGGCTAACATCAAATATAAAATCAAACAATAATTAAACTACCGCCTAAAAACAAATCAGGATCAAATTAAAATCTAATTAGTTGGCTTTCCGCAGAATTAGGGTTGGGAACAGTAAATGCTCATCAGGCCCAACTGTTTCCACTGTTCTTATACGGGCCTGTGAAAATTCTGGGAGACCTCTTTCATACTAGTTCTTATACAAAAAAAGAAGGGGAATCAGGCTGAGTTCTGACCAAATGCCTGGCGGAACAATTCCATCTTGCAGGCCCTGCAGAAAGATGTCAAATCCCGCAGGGCCCTGATCTTTTGTGGCAGAGCGTTCTACCAGGCCGGGGCCAAGGCCAGCCTAATCTCCCTATGGCATGGGATCTCCAAGATGTTTTTATTTGCGGACCGTAAGGTCCTCCGTGGGGCATACCGGGAGAGGCGGTCCCGTAGGTACGAGGGTCCTAGGCCGCATAGAGCTTTAAAGGTTAAAACCAGCACCTTCAACCTGATCCTGTACTCCACTGGGAGCCAGTGCAGCTGGTATAGCGCCGGGTGAATGTGATCCCGCAGCGAGGACCCCGTAAGGGGTCTCGCCGTGGCATTCTGCACCTGCTGGAGTTTCTGGGTCAGCTTCAAGGGCAGCCCCACAAAGAGTGAGTTACAATAATCCAGTCTGGAGGTGACCGTTGCATGGATCACAGTGGCGAGATCAGGGCGAGAGAAGTAAGGGAACAACTGCTTAGCATGGCGGAGATGGAAGAATGCCGCCTTTGTTGTAGCTGCAACCTGCACCTCTAGAGAAAGGGAGGCGTCGAGGATTACACCCAAACCCTTGACAGAAGGCGTTGGCACTAATTGCGCCCCCGCAAGAGATGGGAGTTGGCCCCCCAACCCCATATCATCCCGACCCAGCCAAAGGTCCTCTGTCTTCAAAGGATTTAGCTTCAACTGACTGCATTCCCCTCCCCCCGATGGCTGGCAGTGCACAGCTTTCCCTCTCCCCCCCCCCCACTATTCGTGATAATTTGGGGGCTCTGGGCAGATATTTGCACCCCGGCGCCAAATCTACTAAAGAAGGCCCTATGGCAAACCAAACTAAAATGCCAGACAAGCTGGGCAAGGGGGCACATAAAGGATGTTTAAAAGTATCGGGGAGAGAATTGTGCCCTGCGGCACTCCACACACTAAGGAGTGGTGTGATGACAGCTCCTCCCCTAACACCACCCTCTGTCCCTGACCAGAAAGCAAAGAGCGCAGCCACTGTAAGACTGTGCCCTGAATCCCCACGTCGGCAAGGCGGTGGTCCAAAAGTTCGTGATTGACCATATCGAAGGTTGCTGACAGGTCTAAAAGGATCAGCAGCCCTGACCCGCCTCGATCCAGCTGCCTATGGAGATCATCTGTTAGGGCAACCAGAGCCATCTCGGTCCCATGTCCAGAGCAAAAGCCAGACTGGAATGGATCCAAGACCGATGTTTCATCCCGAAATCCACTAAGCTGTTCAGTACGAAAGGTTCAAAGCTGGGCGGTAATTGGATAGATCTAAAGGATCAATCCCCTTCATGGATCACTGCCTTGCCGTGGCGAAGGGGCTTGAAAAACTCAGAGAAGCTATGAGCTATGCCGTGCAGGGCCACCCAAGATGGACAGGTCATAGTGGAGAGTTTTGACCAAACGTGATCCACCTGGAGCAGGAACCAGCAAGCCACTCCAGTATCTCTGCCAAGAAAACTCCATGGACAAAGACAACAGGCATATAAAAGTTATGACGCTGGAAGATGAGCCCCTCAGGTCAGAAGGCGTCCAACATGCTACTGAGGAAGAGTGAAGGACAAGTACAAGTAGATTCAGAGCTGATGAAGCGGCTGGGCCAAAGCCGAAAGGACGCTCAGTTGCGGATATGCCTGGATGCGAAAGGAAAGTCCAATGCTGTAAAGAAAAATATTGCATAGGAACCTGGAATGTAAGAACCATGAACCTTGGTAAGTTGGATGTGGTCAAAAATGAGATGGCAAGAATAAATATTGACATCCTGGGCATCAGTGAACTAAAATGGACAGGAATGGGTGAATTCAGTTCGGATGACCATCATATCTATTACTGTGGACAAGAAACCCGTAAAAGAAATGGAGTGGCCCTCATAGTCAACAAAAGAGTGGTGAAAGCTGTACTGGGATGCAACCTCAAAAATGATAGAATGATCTCAATACGAATCCAAGGCAGACCTTTTAACATCACAGTAATCCAAGTTTATGCACCAACCACTGGTGCTGAAGAAACTGAAATTGACCAATTTTATGAAGACTTACAAGACCTTATAGAAGTGACACCAAAGAAGGATGTTCTTCTCATTATAGGGATTGGAATGCTAAAGTAGGGAATCAAGAGATAAAAGGAACAACTGGCAAGTTTGGCCTTGGAGATCAAAAGCGAAGCAGGGCAAAGGCTAATAGAGTTCTGCCAAGAGAACAAGCTGGTCATCACAAACACTCTTTTCCAACAACACAAGAGACGACTCTACACATGGACATCACCAGATGGGCAGCATCGAAATCAGATTGATTAGAGTGCCTGAAGAACTATGGATGGAGGCTCGTAACATTATACAGGAGGCAGCAACGAAAACCATCCCAATGAAAAGGAAATTCAAGAAAGCAAAGTGGCTGTCCAACAAGGCCTTACAAATAGCGGGGGAGAGAAGGCAAGCAAAATGCGAGGGAGATAGTGAAAGATACAGGAAATTTTAATGAGGGTGAAAGAGGAGAGCGCAAAACATGGTCTGAAGCTCAACATCAAAAAAACAAAGATCATGGCCACTGGTCCCATCACCTCCTGGCAAATAGAAGGGGAAGAAATGGAGGCAGTGAGAGATTTTACTTTCTTGGGCTCCATGATCACTGCAGATGGTGACAGCAGTCACGAAATTAAAAGACGCCTGCTCCTTGGGAAAAAGGCGATAGCAAACCTAGACAGCATCTTAAAAAGCAGAGACATCACCTTGCCAACAAAGGTCCGTATAGTTAAAGCCATGGTTTTCCCAGTAGTGATGTATGGAAGTGAGAGCTGGACCATCAAGAAGGCTGATCGCCGAAGAATTGATGCTTTTGAATTATGGTGCTGGAGGAGACTCTTGAGAGTCCCATGGACTGCAAGAAGATCAAACGTATCCATTCTTAAGGAAATGAGCCCTGAGTGCTCACTGGAAGGACAGATCCTGAAGCTGAGGCTCCAATACTTTGGCCACCTCATGAGAAGAGAAGACTCCCTGGAAAAGACCCTGATGTTGGGAAAGATAGAGGGCACAAGGAGAAGGGGACGACAGAGGACAAGATGGTTGGACAGTGTTCTCAAAGCTACAAACATGAGTCTGACCAAACTGCGGGAGGTAGTGGAAGACAGGAGTGCCTGGCGTGCTCTGGTCCATGGGGTCACGAAGAGTCGGACACGACTAAACGACTAATCAACAACAACAACAACAAAGGATCAATGGTGTTTTCTTTAAGAGCAGCCGCACCACTGCCTCCTTCAACTCCCATGGGAATGTCCCTGTGCCAAGGGACAAATTGATCATGTCACCCAGGGGGACCCACACCTCATCTGGACACACTCTAATCAGCCAGGATGGGGACGGGTCAAGAGGGCAAGTGGTGGGCTTTCCAGCTCGGAGGAGTCTGTCCACATTGGCTGGGGGTATCCAATCGAAGTGGACCGATACTGGACCCGAAGACAGTCGAGGGGCCTCCAGTTCCATTATTGTATCCAAATTGGCAGGGAGGTCACGGCGGAGCAACAAGACTTTCTCTGCGAAAGAGCTCGCAAATGCCTCACAGCTATGTCTCAAATTCATATTTAAATTTTGCTGTCCCTCTAGGGACATTAGAGACCTAATAATACTAAAATGTTGTGCCGGGCGAGAGATAACGGATGCAATGGAGGCTGAGAAGTAAGACTTCTTAGCAGCCTTCACTGCCATCTCATAGGCTTTCATAAAGATCCTATAGGAAGAACCTGTAGAAGCCTGAAATATGTCAAATATTTAAGAGTAAGTTATAGTAAAGATATTTACAAGCCCCTTTGGGATGTCCCTCCCTTTCTGTTATCCATTCCAGAGTAAATGAATCTATCAGGGAAAAGGCAGAAATATGTAACGGAGGAGAATGAGGAATGGCTTCCTTCCTATGATTGCAGATGAGACCAATAGCTACAAATGACTATGAAAACGTGTCCCTATTTTTGTCCATAATCTTGTGAAATGGATGATGGTGTCCTAAGCTATCTCTGGAAGGAGGAACTGGAGAGTGAGTTCCTCTCAAGAACTTTCCTAGCATCAGAATAAGGCAGGGGTTTTCCATCACTTACCTCTGCAAGAAGCTTCTGATATCCTGGAAGGAAAGAAAGAAACATGTCAGTGGAGCCATTTCTGCAGTCAGTTATAAATACTAAGCAGCTGAGTGGCAACTGCTGGGGATCACAGGTTTGGAGAGCACTACTGTTTAGGCTTCTCAGAGACCTCTGGTTGGCCAATGAGAGAACATGATGCTAGAATGAAGGGGCCTGTGGTTTGATCTAGCAGACTCCCTTCTGCGTCCCCAGGACTGATGCCTTTCACCCTTCACATAATGTTTTCATTCCAGCAGCATTTTTATGTGGGGTGGTCTAAGACATGTTATCCTCCTGCCGAAATTTTGAAGCAGCACACTCCACCCTCTCGCATCAGGATGAGGCCTGACCTGCAGGAGTTCACTCGCTGGTTCCTGAAGCTTCTCCTCCATCTCCCGGATGAGGCTTTCAAGAGAGTAGAGTTCCCCGGAGAGTCTGGCCAGGTGCTCCTCCCTTTGGGCTGCAATCTCCTTCTCCACTTCTGCCATCTGGGCCAGAATACGTTTCTCCTCTTCTTCCAGAAACTGGTGCAGTTGCCTGAACTCAGCCACCATCTTTTCCTTCTCTGCACGTGTTCTTTTCTGCAGCAAAGAGGTTGAAAGAAGAGAAGAGTGGGCCAAGATCAGGCATCTAGTCTGCTCTTGCAGGATGAGGAGGCCAGTTATCCCAATTCCCTTGGAAGGGAACGCCTGACATATTCAGCAGGGAAAGAACTTCGTAAAAACGTACAACCCCACTCCTTCATTTAAATGGTCTTTCATGCTCTGTGGGAGATCAGATTGTTCAAAAAGAAACTTCTTCCTGTATTTCATATTCATTTTCCCAGATTCTGATTTAAGACTACAGGACTTTTTCACCTTAAAGTAACAATGATGCTTACAAGCAGGTCTTGACTTTCCTTTTCTGCATTTGCTTTAAATTCTAGAATTTTCTCTCTCTCCTTCCTCACATTGTCTAGGCAGCTGCTGATCTGAGCCTGAAAAAGAAAACAAAATCAAAGTTGGGTTGCTTTCTTCTTTTGTTGGGACTTTTAGTATTCATAATAACAGGAATGTTGAATCATATGCTTGCTCCCTGCCCCCAAGTCTGTGGTATTTGCCTCGGTTCCCCAAGTGCCTTCTTCATTCCGGGAGCCTGTGGCGCAATGGGTCAGTCAGAAGGCTGGTGGTTTGAGCCCAACCAGGGACGGCTGTGGGCAGAATTCCTGCATTGCAGGGGTTTGGACTAGATGGCTCTCAGGGTCCCTGCCACTTGCACTGCCCCACCCTCCAGCCCAGAGGAAGAACTGGGGGTGTGTTACTTCTGCATGCAGGGGGACATTGGGGGCACTGTAATCCCCGGAAAGGGGGAAAAAAATGTTGATTGAACAGAGTTTCAAAAATTTATTTATTCCATTTATTTTATATAAATTTTATTAAAATTTCTTTTTTACAATTTAAAATACTCATTTTAACATCCTTAAGATATCAATGACTTCCCTTCTTCTCTTTCCATGGTTCATTCTGCATATCATAAATCCCTGCATATTTTACAAAAACTAAAGCATTTAACATTCCATTACTGAATCCATCAAAACTTATTTACAGTTGAATTTATCATAATGCTGCCAACATTTTCAAGTGTACACAGTTATTTCGCACATATTCAATAAACGTTTTCCAATATTCTTTAAATGTATGTTCTCTTGTTCTTTATGTTAGGTCTGCAAGCTGTGCATATTCTGCCAGCTTAAGTTGCCATTCTTCTTAGTTGGGACCTCGCTCGTTTTGGGGCTAGAAGTTTACTTTCATAAGGCTGCACAAAAGCTCTTGCTGGAGAGTGACTCTTTCACTGCCAGAGAATAAATTAAAGCGTTTTCTTGCAAGACCCCCTTCTCTGTTGCTAATTCACCCTCATCAAACCCAAAGGAAATTCAGAGAGATTTCTTACCTTGTACTCCTGGGACGCCTCCTCCAGAGGAACCACCTCGTGGCCTTTGTGCTCCTTGGATCTGTCACACACCACACAGATGGGGCTTTCGTCCTCCTGGCAGAAGAGCTTCAGGGGCTCCTGGTGCTTCTCACAGATCTTCCCCTTTCCTTCGGGCTCCTTTTCACCTTGAAGACGGAGTTTTTCCAAAACATTTGCCAGCGGCCGATTGGGGATGAGGTTCCTGTGCTGAATGATTTCCCTGCACTGAGGGCAGGAAGCCTCTCCCTCGGATTCCCCCCAGCACTGGATCAGGCAGGATCGGCAGAAGTTGTGCCCGCACTCCGGGATGATCACCGGATCCCTGAAACACTCCAGGCAGATGGGGCAAGTGGCTTCCTCACAGAGATCCTGAACGGGACCCCCAGAAGCAGCCATGGCTGCTGCCTCGCCAGGAAGAGAGAGATGGTTTCGTTTTCTCTGTTTTCCGTTTGCAAATGGGCGGAACTTGATGGCTCAAGTCCACAGCTGCCTGAAGAGAGGGGGAGTTAGCAGGGACACAGAGTCTTTGGGGCATGGGAATTTATATATTAAAAAGGGCATAAATCCAGGCTGCCGATTTAAGGAGCCATTTTTCAAAGGAGATGGAAGCGATGTTTTTTTCATTTGAAAGCCAGTGAATTAATCTGAATCTTGCAAGCCCCTCCCACCCAATTGCCAAACCAGCCACTGTGATGCACATTCCCACCAGACAATTTAACACCCATCTGCAGCCACTGAGAACATGAGATGGAGGCTGGGGGATTTCTAAGCTGCTCTCCAGCTCCAGCATCTTCCCAGTCTTGTACACCCACTGGTCCCATCTCCAGCCCCTCAGTTGTCTTAGAAAAATATATGTATCTTTTTTTTAAAAGGATTTTTTTTTTAAAGAGGCTTTCCTAGAAAGGGGGGAAGGGGGCACAAGGCTGAAGCATTTATTTCCTCTTTGCTCCACAGAAGAGATAAAAAAGACGACCTGCCTTCACTTCCTCACCATTTGAGTGGTGGAACTATGTCAGAAATGTTCCTGTAATGTCCCCTCTCTTTGGCCGTTGGCCCTGGTCCCGGTTCTTCAGTTGTCTCACTGCCATGGCAGATAAGGCTGAGTTTCACTTGCCCAAAGGACTTTGAATGCATGCTGAAGTTGCAGAGACAAACATCAGAAAACAGTTTAATAAATGTCCCCACCACCCCTCTCCAAGCAGCCCTTGCAAGTTCAATAAAAGCCTCCAGAATTCTCTCTTCAATCCCCTCCACAGCCCCATTGTCATTATCATGTATTCTGGCAAAAGCGGGTAGTATTTTAAGTCCTGCTCAGCACAGACCCATTGAAGTCAATAGGCATGACTAACTTTGGCTCATTCATTTCAATGGGCTTACTCTGAGTAGGACATACTTGAAACCAACCCAGAGAGTGTATAGGATTGCTAGCCATCCTAACCAAGAAGCTTCTCCCATGCATTTTCAACAGAACCCACCAGAATTCTCTCTTCTCCGCCTGACAAGTTTTGCTCTGCCAAACTGGGAGAACTTGGTTCTCAAGAGGCCCTTTTTCTCACAACGCAGCTGAGTCTTCCTCAAAAGGGTCCCCCCCCAACTGCTCAAGCCAGCTAAGGAGGGAAGATGCAGAGAAGAAAAAGAAAACCCACACACTCCACATGCAAGGTTGTTTAGTTGTTTAGTCGTTTAGTCATGTCTGACTCTTCGTGACCCCATGGACAGAGCACGCCAGGCACTTCTGTCTTCCACTGCCTCCCGCAGTTTGGTCAAACTCATGCTGGTAGCTTCGAGAACACTGTCCAACCATCTCGTCCTCTGCCGTCCCCTTCTCCTTGTGCCCTCCATCTTTCCCAACATCAGGGTCTTTCCCAGGGAGTCTTCTCTTCTCATGAGGTGGCCAAAGTATTGGAGCCTCAGCTTCAGGATCTGTCCTTCCAGTGAGCACTCAGGGCTGATTTCCTTAAAATGGATAGGTTTGATCTTCTTGCAGTCCATGGGACTCTCAAGACTCTCCTCTAGCACCATATTTCAAAAGCATCAATTCTTCGGCGGTCAACCTTCTTTATGGTCCAGCTCTCATTTCCATCCATCACTACTGGGAAAGCCATAGCTTTAATTATACGGACCTTTGTTGACAAGGTGATGTCTCTGCTTTTTAAGATGCTGTCTAGGTTTGTCATTGCTTTTCTCCCAAGAAGCAGGCGTCTTTTAATTTCGTGACTGCTGTCACCATCTGCAGTGATCATGGAGCCCAAGAAAGTAAAATCTCTCACTGCCTCCATTTCTTCCCCTTCTATTTGCCAGGAGGTGATAGGCCCAGTGGCCACGATCTTCATTTTTTTGATGTTGAGCTTCAGACCATATTTTGCGCTCTCCTCTTTCACCCTCATTACAGGTTCTTTAATTCCTCCTCACTTTCTGCCATCAAGGTTGTGTCATCTGCATATCTGAGGTTGTTGATATTTCTTCCGGCAATCTTAATTCTGGCTTGGGATTCATCCAGCCCAGGCTTTCGCATGATGAATTCTGCATATAAGTTAAATAAGCAGGGAGACAATATACAGCCTTGTCGCCTCTCCACTATGACCTGTCCATCTTGGGTGGCCCTGTATGGCATAGCTCATAGTTTCTCTGAGTTATTCAAGCCCCTTCGCCATGGCAAGGCAGTGATCCATGAAGGGGTTGGACTCAGCTACCCCCATATTATTTCTTGTACCTTGGGGTTTGCCTGGCCTCTGAGAGAAAAAGCCTGATAAAAGAAGGAGAAATAAAGGCTTTCCTGCCTCTGGAAATTTTAGGGGGACAAAGAAAACTTGAAGGGACAGCACCCCCCGTACCCATGTCACTAAAGGTCTGGTTTTTCAAAAACTGAAACGCAGCCAGGGCTTTGGGGGGGGGAGGACTTTTGGGGAGGGAAGAACCGAGCAATCTGTGAAACAGTTGGTCAGTTAGTTAAGTGTTTTTTATTTATTCACTTGATTTAGGGTGGCAGCTGACCTCCCAACCCCCCTCTGTCTACACCCATGGCGGACACCATTGTGGGAGAAAGGCAAGAAAGCAGGGGTCATGGCAGAACCCAAACTGGATTTAAAGCCCCCTTCTGAGCTTCGCTGTTGACACAGGAATACCTGAACATGAGCTGCAACATACAAAACTGTGCAAGGAGGGCTTGGGAACATGCAACGGAGCAGCGGTACTTTCTCTCCCTGGCGCTGCTGGGCCAGCCCTCTGTTTCCCTTTCCCTCAGGTGAAATCCCCAATGGAGAATGAATCACTGGGTTTTTCTTTTGAGAAATCAGGTTGCAAACAAACTTTATTATAGCAGATGTAAACAAGGAGTTTTGGTTCTTCTTCTTCCACCGAAACACAACAAACAGCTCTGTTTTGTTTCCCCTCCAAAAAACAAATATGGTTTCAAGTTGTAGGCTGTATGCTGTCCAGGCTTAAGGTCACTTTCTTTTACACATCTTCCATAGATCAGACTTCTCCACACACACTACAGGAACCCAGGAGGACCACCAAAGAGGAATTCAAACAAATAGCCAGCACGTGTAGACACAAGTCAGAAAAGCTAAAGCACAGAATGAACTCAGGCTTGCTAGAGAGGTTAAAAGCAACAAAAAAGGCTTTTATGGGTATGTTCAGTAGCAAAAGGAAGAACAAAGAAACAGTGGGGTCACTCAGAGGAGAAGATGGTGAAATGCAAACAGGGGACACAGAAAGGGCTGAACTCCTCAATGCCTTCTTTGCCTCAGTCTTCTCCGATAAAGAAAACAATGCCCGACCTGAAGAATTTGGAGCAAATGATTCAGCAGAGGAAACACAGCCCAGAATAACTAAGGAGATAGTACAAGAATACTTGGCTAGTTTAGATGTATTCAAGTCTCCAGGGCCAGATGAACTGCATCCAAGAGTATTAAAAGAACTGGCAGATGTGATCTCAGAACCACTGGCAGTCATCTTTGAGAATTCCTGGAGAACAGGCGAAGTCCCGGCAGACTGGAGGAGGGCAAATGTTGTCCCTATTTTCAAAAAGGGGAAAAGAGTGGACCCAAATAATTACCGCCCAGTCAATACCAGGGAAGATTCTGGAGCAGATCATTAAGCAAACAGTCTGTGAGCACCTAGAAAGGAATGCTGTGATCACCAATAGTCAGCATGGATTTCTGAAAAATAAGTCATGTCAGACTAACCTGATCTCGTTTTTGACAGAATTACAAGCCTGGTAGATGAAGAGAACGCAGTGGATGTAGCCTACCTTGATTTCAGCAAGGCATTTGACAAGGTGCCCCATGATATTCTTGTAAAGAAGCTGGTAAAATGCGGTCTTGACTATGCTACCACTCAGTGGATTTGTAACTGGCTGACTGACCGAACCCAAAGGGTGCTCATCAATGGTTCCTCTTCATCCTGGAGAAGAGTGACTAGTGGGGTCCCACAGGGTTCTGTCTTGGGCCCGGTCTTATTCAACATCTTTATCAACGACTTGGATGATGGACTCAAGGGCATCCTGATCAAATTTGCAGATGACACCAAACTGAGAGGGGTGGCTAACACCCCAGAGGACAGGATCACACTTCAAAACGACCTTGACAGATTAGAGAACTGGGCCAAAACAAACAAGATGAATTTTAACAGGGAGAAATGTAAAGTATTGCACTTGGGCAAAAAAAATGAGAGGCACAAATACAAGATGGGTGACACCTGGCTTGAGAGCAGTACATGTGAAAAGGATCTAGGAGTCTTGGTTGACCACAAACTTGACATGAGCCAACAGTGTGACGCGGCAGCTAAAAAAGCCAATGCAATTCTGGGCTGCATCAATAGGAGTATAGCATCTAGATCAAGGGAAGTAATAGTGCCACTGTCTTCTGCTCTAGTCAGACCTCACCTGGAGTACTGTGTCCAGTTCTGGGCACCACAGTTCAAGAAGGACACTGACAAACTGGAACGTGTCCAGAGGAGGGCAACCAAAATGGTCAAAGGCCTGGAAATCATGCCTTATGAGGAACGGCTAAGGGAGCTGGGTATGTTTAGCCTGGAGAAGAGGAGGTTAAGGGGTGATATGATAGCCATGTTCAAATATATAAAAGGATGTCACATAGAGGAGGGAGAAAGGTTGTTTTCTGCTGCTCCAGAGAAGCGGACACGGAGCAATGGATCCAAACTACAAGAAAGGAGATTCCACCTAAACATTAGGAAGAACTTCCTGATAGTAAGAGCTGTTCGACAGTGGAATTTGCTGCCAAGGAGTGTGGTGGAGTCTCCTTCTTTGGAGGTCTTTAAGCAGAGGCTTGACAACCATATGTCAGGAGTGCTCTGATGGTGTTTCCTGCTTGGCAGAGGGTTGGACTCGATGGCCCTTGTGGTCTCTTCCATCTCTATGATTCTATGATTCTATGATTTCAAGTGGACTGTTTCCTTATAGACCCCCAAATCTTCCTTTGCCTCAGCATCACAACTGCCTTTTCCTGTCAGAGTATTCCCTCTGAGGACCCTTTTCCTCAGAGAAAACACCGTTTGGGACTGTGTCTTTTCTATCTTTATCAGTGTTCTGTGATTCAGAACCTGAGACCATGTACTGTGAATTTGTGGCTCTCCTCAGCTCTACCCCATGTCAGAATGAACTCTCCTGACAGAAAAAACAACTCTCAGGCCCCCTGAATCTCTCACACCGTCTCTCCACTCCACTCCAACTGCCTTCCTTGGGACTTTGGTCAACCAGGAGCTGTTACTATTGTTACAGAAATTACATCTTTAAAGTTAAATATTACAAAGATTATGCCTGAATATATCCTTCCAACGTGACAGCTCAGGGAAGTCACCTAGCTTTAAAAATAATATAAAATCATCTCCTTTCCCAGTTCCCCCCATTCCAAAGCTATCTTCCCCTTGCAAAAGGACTCCAGGAAGTTCTCAGAGGTGACAATTGCTGGGCTCATTGTTAGCCAAAGGAAGCCAAATCTCATCACCTGACTCGCCTCAGGCTCCAGACATGCAAAGGAACTTCTATTGTACTTTTGGGTGGTGGGTACTTAAGACATATTTGTCTATGCTAATCTTATACCTGAGTCTTGCCCTGTCATGTCTGCTTATGCTAATATTGTACCAAGGACTTGCCTGGACATATTTGCCAAGGTCAACCCCTCCCCTTCGAACTGTATTCTGGGATGTGGTGGGAAAGTTTTAAAAGTCTTTGTCACCCCATCCTCGGGGTTCAAAATTTGCTCTTTTAACCTTTTGCGCAATAAACTTTGGTCTACAGCTATTTGCTCCGGTTGGCTGGACTCCTTCCTTTATTCCGCAGGGACCTGCGGGCTCTGCCCGACGAGCTTGGTGACTGAGCAGCCTCGCACCTAGATTTTTCCTTAACACAATAATAATAATAATAATAATAATAATAATAATAATAATAATAATATATTTATACCCTGCCCATCTGGCTGAGTTTCCCCAGCCACTCTGGGTGGCTCACAATAGAGTGTTAAAAACAATACAGCATTAAATATTAAAAACTTCCCTAAATAGGGCTGCCTTCAGATGTATTTTAAAGATAAGATAGCTGCTTATTTCCTTCACATTTGAAGGGAGGGCGTTCCTCAGGACCGAGGCCGTGTAGGGCTTTAAAGGTCAGCACCAACACTTTGAACTGTGCTGGGAAACATACTGGGAGCCAATGCAGATCTCTCAGGACCGGTGTTATATGGTCTCAGTAGCCAGTCCCAGACACCAGTCTAGTGGCAGCATTCTGGATTAATTGCAGTTTCCAGGTCACCTTCAAAGGCAGCCCCACATATAGCACATTGCAGCAGTTGAAGTGGGAGATAACCAGAGCATGCACCACTCTGGCGAGACAGTCCGCGGACAGGTAGGGTCTCAGCCACTGTACCAGATGGAGCTGGTAGACAGCTGCCCTGGACACAGAACTGACCTGTGCCTCCATGGACAGCTGTGAGTCCAGAATGACTCCCAGGCTGCGCACCTGGTCCTTCAGGGGCACAGGTACCCCATTCAGGACCAGGGAGTCCCCCACACCTGCCTGCCCCCTGTCACAGAGCACATCTCTGAAGAGGGCTTTATAACATGGTGGAGATGCTGGGAAAATGGATAGGGAGATTTTTCGTGATCTTAGCTCCTGGAGTGATCCAATGAAACTGAAGGAGAGCTGGAGGCGCTGCTGTAGGAGTCTTTGAACTGAGAATATCTAGAGTCTAGAGGGTGGGGGTCTCTTCTGAAGGCCCACTTTTCTTCTCCAGAGCATCCAACGATTTGCTTCCCAGCATGCCAGATCTCTCTTCAGAGTCAAGAAGCATTCTGGGTTCCCAATTTCTCCTCCTCCATATTATATCTTCTGAGGATTAGCTACTGTTACGTACTGAGCTGAATCCTAGAACAATAGGATCTAGAACGCAGCAGTCTGATTGGTCTGCAGGAGCCACCCAATCTAGCTCCAGGTGGAAATGAATCAGCGACCTTATTGGCCTACAGGAGCAGCCAATCAGGCTCCTGGATGAAGTGAATCAGCAACCTGATTGGCCTGCAGCAGCAGCCCAGAATTAGCCAATCATGTGGGGCCCATTGTGTAAATAATGTATAAATAGCTAGACATTTTGGGGAAAGTTTCATCATTGCTACTACGAGCTGAATAAAGAGCATGAAATTCACACTCTACTCCGAGTATCTTTCAGCTACCCCTCCCATATTTCAGACATTATCATGGTCTGAGCCTGAGGCCTGATCAAGTCGTTCTTTCAGACTGGGTTACTGCTTTCCCCCCATTACATTATATTGTAATTTTATTGGTCCTGGGCGGGTAGGGTGGAGCATAAGAAAACATTATTATTATTACTACTACTACTACTACTACTACTACTACTATAGTGCTATCATATATCAGAATAAAAAGGGAATAGAAGCTGAACAACTTTGGGAATTGCCTGTAAAAAGCTCAACAATTTTGGGGGTTTCCTTAAAAAAAGAAGAAGCTCAGCAACTTTTGTGGTGTCCTGGTTTTTACTGGATCCCACTCTGGAAGATCATTAAAATCCAGAGGAAATTGGTTTTCCACTCCCTAAATTCCACATGCATTTTAGAAAAATAGCACCCCCAAATGTCATCTTTGATATTACAGCTAACTGAGCCTGAAATATCACCCGGGGCACCTGTGAGGAATGCCCCAAATAATTTAGAGTTAATGAGGCGTCTTATCTCCTGTATTCTCCAGTTTCTTTCCTGGTACTAAATCAAAGGTTTGTTCCTGGTACTGAATCAAAGGTTGCAGAATGTCCTTGCAAACTATGAGTTTGCTTTGCACATTCTTTTTTTTTCTTTTTTTATAATTGTTTAAACTTTCACTTTGGCTGTGGACTTTGACACACACCTGAGGTGCAACACAAAGTAGAAATCCCCGGTCACCTGGTTTCCAGGAAAGGGAACACCCAGTTTGTGAAATAAGTTTTTAACAAAAGACAGCAGAGAAAAAAGTAACTCTTGTGCCCGAGGTAGCCATGGCTGCTGGAGGTCTTGCTGAGGATCTCTCCAGACGTCAGAGGGGAACATGGAGCTTCTGCGAAAAACACCAGGAACCCCGGAAACTCTTCTGTAAAAACCACAAAACCGCCATCTGTGTGATTTGTGACAAAGCCAAGGAACACAAAAAACACAAGGTTGTTCCTCTGGATGAAGCGCCTGAAATATACAAGGTAGGAAATCACATTTTCTATGGAGGTTGGAAATACTAGCTATGAGCAAGCGAGTCCTGCAACAAAATGTTGTAGTGTGTCTCCATGAAAGGAATGCTCCAGTGAGCTTTGTGATAAGAAGAAGAAGAGTTTGGATTTGATATCCCGCCTTTCACTCCCTTTAAGGAGTCTCAAAGCGGCTAACATTCTCCTTTCCCTTCCTCCCCCACAACAAACACTCTGTGAGGTGAGTGGGGCTGAGAGACTTCAGAGAAGTGTGACTGGCCCAAGGTCACCCAGCAGCTGCATGTGGAGGAGCGGAGACGCGAACCTGGTTCCCCAGATTACGAGACTACCGCTCTTAACCACTACACCACACTGGCTGTGTGGAGTATTTTATTAAGTGGAATGGCAGATGCTCCAAGTGTCCCTATTTTCCAGGAACAGTCCTGGATTTACAGAAGCTGTCCCAGTTTGATCCTAGAATGTCCCACTTTTCCTTAGGACGTCCCTATTTTAACCGGAGAAATGTTGGAGGGTATGGTAGGATGTCCCTACTTTCAACAGAGAAACGTTGGAGGGTATGCAACCCCTGAGCCAAGGAGATAAGAAACCGTACAACCTTTAAAAGACATCTGAAGGGAGCCCTGTATAGGGGTGTTTTTAATGGGTGGCATGTAAATAATAAATTTATAACTATTATTATGATGGAATAGAACGCCCCTATTTTCCTCAGAGAAATGTTGGAGGGTATGGAATGAGAACAGGAAGTCCCTCCCCCCCAGAGTTGCCGAATTACAATTACAGCCAAGGCCAAGCAACCCTGGCCATGGCCAGAGAAGCTGGAGGGAAAAAGGTTCTTATACCTGCCCTAAGTTTGGGACTACAGTCATACCTCAAGTTAAATATGCTTCAGGTCAAGCGTTTTCAGGTTATGCTCCGCGGCAACCCGGAAGTAATGGAACGCGTTACTTCCGGTTATCGCTGCTCGCGCATGCGCAGACGCTCAAAATGACGTCACACGCATGCGCAGAAGCTGTGAATCGCAACCCGTGCACGCGCAGACACACAGACGCAGGTTGCATTCGCTTCAGGATGTGAACGGGGCTCCAGAACGGATCCTGTTCGCATCCAGAGGTACCACTGTATTTGTCACCCATAACCAGAGCATTTCTTATAGCTATATTAGAAGTCGTTCTGTAGAATAAGAAAGGGGGAAAGTATCCTTTGGCGAAGTAAGCTGGCCTCTGTTGCTACACCATGTTTATTTATATTCAGAATAAAGTAAAGGTAAAGGGACCCCTGACCATTAGGTCCAGTCGTGGCCGACTCTGGGGTTGCGGCGCTCATCTCGCTTGATTGGCCGAGGGAGCCGGCGTACAGCTTCCAGGTCATGTGGCCAGCATGACTAAATAGCACCCCCCCAAAAAAAAATATTTAAAAGAATGAAGAGTATTAATCAGCCAAAGGCCTTGTTGAAGAGGAACGTTTTCACCTGTCGCCTAAAAGTCTATAAGGAAGGCGCCAGGCAAGCCTCCCTGGGGAGAGCATCACACAAACGGGGAGCCGCTGCAGAGAAGGCCTATTCTCGGGTTGCCACCCTCCGGACCTCTCACAGAGGAGGCCCATGAAGAAGGGCCTCAGATGATGATCTTGGGGTCTGGGTTGGTCCCTATGGGGAGAGGCAGTCCTTGAGGTATTGCGATCCTGAGCCACTTAAAGCTTTACAGTGGTACCTCGGGTTACAGATGCTTCAGGTTACAGACTCTTCAGGTTACAGACTCCGCTAACCCAGAAATAGTACCTCGGGTTAAGAACTTTGCTTCAGGATGAGAACAGAAATCGTGCTGCGGCGGCAGCGGGAGGCCCCATTAGCCAAAGTGGTGCTTCAGGTTAAGAACAGTTTCAGGTTAAGAACGGACCTCCGGAACGAATTAAGTTCTTAACCCGACGTACCACTGTATAGGCCAAAACCAGCACTTTGAATTGGGCCCGGAAGCTAACTGGCAGCCAGTGCAGTCGGACCAAGATGGGTACAATATGCTCAAACCGTCTTGCCCTGGTGAGCAACCTGGCCGCCGAATTCCACACATTAGTCCAAGTACAGTATGTCCACCGGGTCACCTACATCTATTTGCTTATTGATGCTCTCAAAGATCTCCGATAGGCTTCACAGAGGCATCTGATTGGTCAGTGTGAGAAGAGGATGCTAGACTTTGGTCTGATCCAGCAGGCCTCTTGTTCTCTCTTTCTTGAATGCGTTATTTCCCCAAGAAATCAGCAAGGATGCCCTTCCCCAGGATTTCATTTCAAGGAGTGTTAAACCCCACTAACTTATTCAGTCTAACCCATTTGGGTAGCTCAGTTGGTTAGAGCAGTGTTCCTCAACCTTTTTCTGGCCTTGTTTCCTTTCTGTGGCCTCCTGACCTACCAGTAGGAAGGTAGCTATTTTGGTTGCAAATAGAACATGTGTGAGACATATATATATATATATATACAGTAGTACCTCATACAGTACATACTGTACATACAGTAGTACCTCAGGTTACATATGCTTCAGGTTACAGACTCCGCTAACCCAGAAATAGTACCTCAGTTTAAGAACTTTGCTTCAGGATGAGAACAGCAATCATGCTGCGGCGGCAGTGGGAGGCCCCATTAGCTAAAGTGGTGCTTCAGGTTAAGAACAGCTTCAGGTTAAGAACGGACCTCCGGAATGAATTAAGTACTTAACCCGAGGTACCACTGTATATATATATTTTATAATTTCACCTGTGGCCCCCTTGGAATATCCTGAGGGCCCCCAAGGGGCCATATGGCCCACAGTTGAGAAACACTGGGCTAGAGCATAGTGCTGGTAATTCCAAGGTTGCAGGTTTGATCCCCGTACGGGACAGCCGCATATCCCTGCTTTGTAGGGGGTTGGACTAGATGACCCTTGGGGTCCTTTCCAACTCTACAATTCTATGTTGAATGCTGCAAAGTGACATGGAACATACAGGAGACCTCCATAAAACTCAAGTCACAAGCATTGCATTCAACTTTCCTCTCACTTTCTAAATTTTGATATCATAAATACTCAATAAATCAAAAAAGAGAGAAAGAACCAAAGTACAAATCATGTTTCTTTCCAGGATCAACTCTGCAGTCGCGAGGAGATTTTGTGTCAAGAGAGAGAGAAGGTTCTGGCTTACGGAGCAGCCATCTTAAAGGAAAGCCAAGACGAGCTTGTAAGTGCTGGCTGGCTGGCCACTGTGAGAACAGATCACTGGCCTCATCCTGCACTCCACTTCTTATGCACTCCATAGCTCTGCGTGATGCTACCTGCTTTGACATTTCCAATTGCTTGCTAAGCTCAAAGAAAAACAATTCTTTCTGTCCTACGGCCTTGCGACACCTCAAACTTCCCTATGGGGAAAAGTCACAACATCTGAGGCTTTTGAGTTTAGAAAAACAAAAGTTGAGACAAGAGGGACATAAAATTATGCACAGTGTGAAGAAAGCAGATGGACAGAATTATTTATCTCTTATACAAGAACCTGAGGGCATTCAGTAAAACTGAATATTAGATGTTTCAACACACATAATGCAGGTGGCACTGTGGTCTAAACTACTGAGCCTCTTGGGCTTTCTGATCAAAAGATTGGTGGTTCAAATTCCCACTCCCATTGCTCTGTCCCAGCTCCTGCCAACTTAGCAGGTCGAAAGCACACCAGTGCAAGTAGATAAATAGATACCGCTGCGGCGGGAAGGTAAACGGTATTTCTGTGCGCTCTGGTTTCTGTCACGGTGTCTCACTGCGCCAGAAGCGGTTTAGTCATGCTGGCCATTTGACTTCTGGTGAACCAGAGCAGCACACAGAAACGTCGTTTACCTTTTCGTCGGAGTGGTACCTATTTATCTACTTACACTTTGCCATGCTTTCAAACTGCTAGGTTGGCAGGAGCTGGGACCGAGCAACGGGAGCTTGCCCTGTCGCGGGGATTCAAACCGCCGACCTTCCGATTGGCAAGCCCTAGGCTCTGTGGTTTAGACCACAGCGCCACTCAGGTCTAAGAGAGGCATCTGGTTGGACAATGTGAAAAAGAGATGCTGGCTTGATCCAGATTAGAAGGACACTTTTTATGTTCCCTCATTCTTGAGTGTATTCTCTTCCCAAAGCATTGGGGAGGTCTCCCTTCCTTCCTATCAAGGTGTGTTAAACCCCCTACTTCACTTGCACCCTGTAATCTATTGAATCCAACCCATTCAAATGCTGCAAGAGGATATGGAAGGTTGCAGGAGATCTCTGTAAAAAGCACAGGAATGTGAGGGCAAGGAGCAAGCATGCCATTCAACTTTCCCCCTCGGACTTCACTTCAGAAATAGACAATAAAGGAACCAAAAACAAAACAAACTGGTTTCTGTTTTCTCTTCAGGATCAAATTGACGCTCTTGCGGAGAACCTGGAGGCGATGAGACAGGCAGCATTTGGAAGTGGGGAAAAACAGACACGGAAAAGAAGATTCAAGGGCTTCTTGTAAGTGTTGCTGATGTTGGGAAGTGAAAAAGTACAAGTCTAAAAATAATAAATCGGGGGGAAATAAATCCAGAAAGGGTTGGATATTTTTTAAGCACACAAGGCCACCTTGCTTCTATTTGGGGTTGTCCCTTTCTCCTGCAGGAAATGACTGACTATTCCAAGGGTGGGCACCCATAAGCTTCTAAAAAGTTCTTTTCCTGATTAATGTTGTGACCTTTGTAGGGAATTTAAAAGTGCCTTCCCCAGGCAATGCTCAGGAATGACGTGGTCCCTTGATGTTGCAGAACCTGAATATATTCTCCACCCTGACTCCCTTTTCTCCTCCTTCCACCATCTAGCAAATGGAAATGGAAGAGAAGACAGCCTTCCTTGAACTGTCAGTCATCTTAAGCTCTTGGGACGAGGACTGCTCTGGGCCTTTCAGGTACGTCCCTTTCCTCCCATGTCAAGCCTCAGTCTCCGGGCGCAGAGGGAGGAGATACCATTCACTGTCATACCACATAATTTTATTCTATTTATTTTCTGCCTTCCCTCCCATAGTCGCCCAGGGATAGTTCCTTCCCCGGGTGAGGAAAGTACAAGGAAAAATGCTGGGCATTTAGTTTCAAGTGGGAGATGAGAGAGGCATGCTTGCTTAGATCCATTTCACAGATTATGAACACTATTGTCCTTTGCAGCAGAATGAAACAAAAATTAATTCTGCTCCGCCTTTTGCCTGGATTGCAGATCTCCAACACCTTTGCACCTCTCAAAAAGCAACCTTGCAGCTCTTCTTCTATGGGGAGAAATTGAAGAAGGGGATTGAGGAGGAGGAGGAGGAGGAGTAGAAGCCATTGCAGAGCTGGAAACATCTGAAGCTGTAGGAAGGACCTAGAAACATCAAGTGGAGTCTCACTATTACCTTTCAAGTTAAGAAAAGATCAGCCGGCCAGCCAAGGACAGTAATCATCATAGAGGCTGTGGGGAATGTCCTGAGCAGTCTGAAGGAAATCATAGATGGGAGGAACTACTGCCTAGAAAGCGTCTCCTTTCAGGCAGTTGCGTGTCGAGACCCCGCAGCCACCCCCTCGTTGGAAATAACTCACACAAGGACACGGATATTAGGTTTATGTTATTGGGCAAATTTTGGCCACAACTTTATTGAAATTACAGAATGTGAGCAGTATTGGCTTAGCCATTGATTGGACCTGACTATATCTGACTCCTGCCCACTGTGCGGGAAGTCCCCAGTGAGGGTAAGCCACTGGTAGGAGGAGCCCTGTCAATGCGGACCAACTCAAGATCCCCCTGGTGTTCCCGTCAGGGTCGTGTCAAGGCCTTAGCCCCCCAGGCGGGCTTCAGACTAGATCAACACCCCCGGGTTCCTTTAACGGAATACCCTTAAGCATGGAGGGGCAGGTGATGGCCACACCTCCCCTCCCCCACACAAGGTCAAACAATGCCTAACCGCAACCCTAACAAAGTTGTGGAGATTACTACGAGGTAGGTGAAAACCAAGTGGCCAGTGCCAATTTGCCAAGTGGAAAAATTCCTACCAGGCCCCTCGGACAACCAAGGCGACCAACCAAAGTCCATAGCAAGGCCAGTGCCTAACCTGTAAAATAGGGAGGGGGGCGGGTGATTGAGGAAGCGAGCCAAAGAGGAAGTCCTCTGGTTCACTCCTCCGTTTAAACGGCCCCCCTAGCCAGCGGGTTGGCTGGCCGGGCTCTGACGTGGCCAGGATCACCCAGGCAATGGGGGACAAAGTCCCCCGCCCCCAGTGGGGAGTGGGTGGCCATGCGGTCCACCGCAACTCCTCCCCACTGCGAAGTGGAGCGGATCTGCCAATAAACAATTCCCTGTCCCACCCCAAAAATAATTTACATTCATAGGATCATAGAGCCATCTAGCCCAACCCTGTGCAATTCAGGGATCTTTCGCTGGGAGGAAACCGGAAGGGGAATCAGGACTGAATTTTTGTGTCCATAGACACCCAGGCTTGATTCTGGTCCTGATCACAAATTTCTGGGTTGAGCATATATTGTCTGCCTGGCAAAGCCACTGTTGCGCCCCTGTCTCTGGTTGGCTGACCTTAACATTCTGGTTAAAAACCAAAGCAGAACCTGGAAGCCAGAAACCTAGGGGGGCCCCACAAGCAGGACCCCAGGTCTGCATTTGCAAGAACCTGGTCATTTGGTGCAGCAGCATCTACATTTTGGGACTCCCTGCCTCTTGATATTAAGTAGGTGCCTTCACTGTGTTCTTTTTGGTGCCTGCTAAAAACATTCTAGGGGACACAGGTGGCGCTGTGAGTTAAACCACAGAGCCTAGGTCTTGCCAATCAGAAGGTTGGCGGTTCGAATCCCCAGGATGGGGTGAGCTCCCGTTGCTCGGTCCCTGCTCCTGCCAACCTAGCAGTTCAAAAGCACATCAAAGTGCAAGTAGATAAATAGGTACCGCTCTGGTGGGAAGGTAAACGGCGTTTCCGTGCGCTGCTCTGGTTCGCCAGAAGCGGCTTAGTCATGCTGGCCACATGACCCGGAAGCTATACGCCAGCTTCCTTGGCCAATAAAGCAAGATGAGCGCCGCAACCCCAGAGTCAGCCACGACTGGACCTAATGGTCCTTTTACCTTTACTAAAAATATTCTGGTTTCGTCAAGCCTACCCAGATGCTTAGAAAATAAGTTTTAGTAGTTTAACTTCTGGTATATTTTATTCCCCCCCCCCCCCCGATTTTATCTTTCTGTAAACTACTTTGGTGTTGTTGGTTTTTTTGTTTTTGTTTTACAAAACAAGTGGTGTATACTTTTTTATGAAATAAATAAGCAAGTAAGTAAGAGCGCTTTCTCCTTCTTCTGCTCTGCAGAGACTGGAATTGGGAGGAATGGTTCCTTTGATCCTGGAGGTGATTTATAGCCATCATGAATCATAGCCATTTAAAGCTGTGTCCTCTATGACTTGGATGGAATGAATAAATAAATAAATAAATAATCACAGGCTCACCCTATTCACACACAAATATGCCCTTAAGAATGGATTTGTAAGCAAAAAGACAATGGGAAGGCTTTCCCAATTTTTCTCCCTTACTGCAGAGGAATATTTGGGGTCAAAATGGCTTCAGGATTGCTCTCCCGTACTATTTCAGACACATGGTTCATATATTCCTATATGTGTGCATTGATGAGTATTTATTCTATATCTGAGACCTTAAAATTCTTATATCAATATAATATTTCACTGACAAAGGGCTGCATTCATTGAGAAAATGGGGCTAAGTGAAAGCACCTGCTGTTAATAGGTGCCCTGCGGTGTGATTGGCAAATATCTGGATACCATTTAGCTGAGCTGTTTGCAAAGGCCGTTTGCAGAGTTGGTTCCAGAGGTTATTGCATATTACCAGACGCTGGCGATTTTGTAAAAACGACTCACTAAAAACTGGCACCAGGATGGAGGGTTGGGCTGTTTCTCCTCTGTATGTCTTGGCTACTAACTCGAAAGAGGAGTGTGAATGGAGGAGGGCGGGGGAGGGGGGCGGCAATTCATTCATTAGCTTGCAAAGTAGTCTGAGGCTGTCGTGCTGATAGTCAACAAAGCTACTACAAACTCCACCAGCTCCCTCGGAGAAATGGTTCCTTAAACGAGCAACCACCAAGGATGAGCACTCCATTTAAAATAAATAAAAATATATATTTCCACCATATCAAAGCGGCTCGGAGCTACAGCCAACTTCTGAAGTTCCTAAACGAAACACGCCCATTTGCTAAAAGGAAGAGATAAAAGGAAACCAGCTCTCTCTTCCTGGCGAGGCAGCAGCCATGGCTGCTTCTGGGGGTCCCGTGCAGGATCTCTGCGAGGAAGCCACTTGCCCCATCTGCCTGGAGTATTTCAGGGATCCAGTGATCATCCCGGAGTGCGGGCACAACTTCTGCCGATCCTGCCTGATCCAGTCCTGGGAGAAGTCCGAGGGAGAGGCTTCCTGCCCTCAGTGCAGGGATAGGGTGGAGCAAAGCAGCATCAGGAGAAACCAGCAGCTGGCAAATGTTGTGGAAATAGCCAAGAAATTCAGCCATCTGGGGGGGAAAGAGGAGGCAGAAGGAAAGGGGAAGATCTGTGAGAAGCACCAGGAGCCCCTGAAGCTCTTCTGCCAGGAGGAACAAAGCCCCATCTGTGTCTTGTGTAATGTATCTAAGGAGCACAAGGGCCACGAGGTGATTCCTCTGGAGGAGGCGTCCCAGGAGTACAAGGTGGGAAAAGGCAGTGGGTCTTTCTTGGGGGTGGAAGAGCTGCAGACAAGAGGGGCTTGCAAAAAAATAAATAAACCTTGTAATGTATTCTCTCCACTTGCGGCCCCAAAGGAGTTATAGAGCAAGAATCTTTTGCAGCCTGATAAGACTTAACTTCTGAAACTATAAATAATAAATATTTATTTTTCTATTTGAGGGATTTCAAGTGTGCCCAATGACCCCCTGAATGCAGGCTGCAGTAACTCCCCTGGGATGAAAGATTACAACATCTAGGATTAATTTAATAAAAAGGAGGGGAGACATGTTGGAGGTGTGTTCAGTGTGGGGGACAAATAGCAAAACCCCCATGTTTCTCAGCTCTGATATAGGGCAGCCCCATTTCTTCCTCATCTGGGATGAAAAAGGGGAACCTCTGCAAAAGACCCAGGGATGTGGGGCAGGGAGCAAACATACGGTTCAGCTTGCCTGTTAATGTGTAACGCAGCCCAACTTGGATTTTGTTTTCTTTTCAGGATCAGATCAGCAGCTGCCTAGACAATGTGAGGAAGGAGAGAGAGAAAATTCTAGTATTTAAAGCAAACACAGAAAAGGAAAGCGAAGACCTGCTTGTAAGCACCATTGTTACTACTTTAAGGAGAAAAAATGCTACAGTCTAGAATCAATATGGGGGGGGGGAATATGGAATACAGAGAGAGGTTTCTTTTTGAACAGCCTTATGTCTCACAGAACATGAAAGACCATTTAAAAAGGGGGGGTGGGCTTGTGTTTATGAAGCTCTTTCCCTGCTGAATATTGGTGTAATCACTCTAAAATGTCAGGCATGCCCTTCCAGGGGAATTTGGATAAGTCATGGGTAGGCAAACTAAGGCTCATGGGCCGGATTAGGCCCCAATCACCTTCTAAATCCGGCCCGTGGATGGTCTGGGAATCAGTTTGTTTTTACATGAGTAGAATGTGTGCTTTTATTTAAAATGCATCTCTGGGTTATTTGTGGGGCATAGGAATTCCTTCATATATATTTTTTAGTCCAGCCCCCCACAAGGTCTGACGGACAGTGGACCAGCCCCCTGCTGAAAAAGTTTGCTGACCCCTGGCCCTCTTCATCCTTCAAGAGCAGACTAGATGCCTGATATTGGCCCACTGTTCTCTTCTTTCAACCTCTTTGCTGCAGAAACAAACAGATGCAGAGAGGGAAAAGATGGTGGTTGAGTTCAGGCAACTGCACCAGTTTCTGGAAGAACAAGAGAAACATATCTTGGCCCAGATGGCAGAAGTGGAGAAGGAGATTGCAGCCCAAAGGGAGGAGCACCTGGCCAGACTCTCCAGGGAACTCTCCTCTCTTGACAGCCTCATCCGGGAGATGGAGGAGAAGCTTCAGGAACCAGCGAGTGAACTCCTGCAGGTGAGGCCTCATCCTGATGTGAGAGGGTGGAGTGTGCTGCTTCAAACTACAGGCAGGAGGATAACATGTCTTAGCCCCCATCCTAAAAAAAAGCTGCTGCAAAGAAAACAATTGGTACATGAAGGGTGAAAGGCCTGGGGTCACAAAAGGGTGCTGCTAGATCAAACCACAGGCTTCTTCACTTTAGCATTGTGTTCTCGCAAAATTGATAACAGTAGAATAGGTTCCACTGACATCTTTCTTTCTTTCTTTCTTTCTTTCTTTCTTTCTTTCCCTCCAGGATATAGGAAGCTTCTTGCAGAGGTAAGTGATGGGAAACCCCTGCCTTATTCTGATGCTATGAATTTTGCTGTTTAACAGGTGAGAAACTCACTCTCCACTTCTTCATTCCAGAGATAATTTAGGACTCCATTGTCCATTTTCACAAAATCACAGACAAAAATAGGGACACATTTTTGTGGTAGCTATTGATCCCATCTACACTCACAGAAGCTTTTTACTTTCTTACATTCCCACCACATATGATAAAAAGTTCCTTCTTTTTCTTTACATTTCCAACATTTATTACTTGTCTTATACAGTGGAGCCCCGCAAGACGAATGCCTCGCAAGACGAAAAACTCGCTAGACGAAAGGGTTTTGCGGTTTTTGAGCTGCTTCGCAAGACGAATTTCCCTATGGGCTTGCTTCGCAAGACGAAAACGTCTTGCGTTTTTTGCAAGTTTGTTTCCTTTTTCTTAACACCGTTAATACAGTTGCGACTCGACTTCGAGGAGCAACTCATAGAACGCGGTGTGGTAGCCTTTTATGAGGTTTTTGAAGACTTTGGTGATTTTTGAAGCTTTTCCAAAACTTTTCCGACACTGTGCTTCGCAAGACAAAAAATTCGCTAGACGAAAAAACTTGCGGAACGAATTAATTTCGTCTTGCGAGGCACCACTGTACATTTTAGCTAATTTCACGGGAGTAATATACCACCTATACATCATTTTCATCACATTCTCTTTCAGAGCATTACATGCTGTAAATTTTATTCTTTCTTTCCACAAGCTCTTTCATTCTTTTAGCTGTATATTATATCCAAAATCTTTGGCCCAGTGTATCATAACCGATTTTACTTCATCTTTCAAATGCCATTCCAGCAGCGCAAAAGCCATTCTAAAGCTTCCTGATTTTCCTTATGTTTCAGAAATGCACATACCAGATCAATATGTTTTGCTCATTGATCACTTGAAATGCTTCACTAAAACTGGTGTAGTCCTAAAATCTCCACATAAGGACCAGTGTTGCTCACTTTCCTAAAAAAAATAATTTGAAGGTAAAGAAGCTGATCTATGCAATCTCAAATTCCTATATTTCCTAAAGCATATTATGGAAGCAGGTGTGTGTCGGTTTTCCTTCAGCTTGTTAGGTGCTCTCTAGATGCTCCCTTTTGCCATTGGAAAAACCCTGCTCCCAAGTCTTCAGGATATATCCATCATGTCGTTTCATCAGGATGAGACAACTGTCTTCTCAGAAAGCTCCTTGCATTGGAAGGATGGTGGCTTGACTTTGTTCTTCTCCTCCCAGGTCTCAGGAGAAGGAGAACTTAGAGGATCCTCCTGTGGCTTTTCCTCCTGCCCTGAAGTGGAGGATCTGGGACTTCTGTGATATGAATCCCTTCCTGGAGGGAGTCATGGAAAAATTCAGAGGTAGCAAAGAAGGGCTGAAAGTATTTTATACTGGATGTTTAGAAGTGTTCATGAAAGGCTCCAGGTCATATGGAATATTAGCCATGCCAGGAAAATGGACGGTTTATTTGATTATTCTTTTTCAACATCTAGAAGCCACACTTTCATATGTAGATGATTCACAACTGATTTTACTTATGCAGTTGAAAGGGGACGGTAAACCCTTCTTGCTGGTCTCTGGAATCTCTCCAGCTGGCGTGGCCAGTGGTTAGGGATGATGGGACTTGTAGTCCACACACATGGCTACAATCTCATGAGCTCATACTGTTCTTTCCAGGTTTGTTATCTGCATGATGGTGGGATGCTAAATATCTGCTCCCTTTTCTCTTCCAGACACTGTGGAATATGGACTTCAGCTGCAAAAAGGTACATGTAATAATAATAATAATTTATTATTTATATCCTGCCCATCTGGCTGGGTTTTCCCAGCCATTTCCCCAGGCACAAATTCGGGAGAGATGGGATCCACTTATCAAAAGACCAGGCCACCGCAGCTCTTCCATCCATGCCATATTTCCCCTTATTTTCCAGAGGCATCTGTTCCGTGAGAGCAGCATGATGGGCTAGATGGGCCCTTGGCCTGATCCTGCAGACTCTTAGGAAGCCCCCAGCCCAGGATGGCTGGCTTTTCTGTGCCCAATCTCCATAAGACACAGGGGTGGTGTGAAGCCAAAGGCTCCCGGCACATGAGGGGGAAATATCCCTTTGAGCCATACAAGATCCCAATCCCTTTTAGGAGAGCTTATGTAAGAGTAAGGTTTACTCATACATAGGAAATGCATGAACAGAAATAGCTCAGAAAATGGCTGCAACAACCTTTGGGTACAAGAAGGTAAATGGGTGTCAGTGGTAGGAGCTGGGGGCTGCCTGACTGTGAACTCCAGTGGTCCAGCTTCCCTGCAAGATGGGGGTCTTCAGTCAGCGTATTGTATTGTATTGTATTGTATTGTATTGTATTGTATTGTATGACTTCTCTGCTGCAACATGATGGCGGACTAGAGAAACCTGAGTAAACTTAAAAGAGCAGGACAGAATTGCACCACAGACCAGGGGAAAAGGCTCAATGGGAAGACAAAAGTCCAGTCTGGCCTGATCCTGAAAACCACAAAAAGGGATTCATAAGAGCTGGAAAAGGTGCAGCAGATGGAAGCATAAAGGAAACTCCTACTTATCTTTAAAAGTACATTCTGTGATTCATTTAGAAAACAGTAAGTAAAATACATAAAGGCTAACCAGTACAACAATAAACTAGAAAAAACCATTACATTTAACAATTTTTTTTACTAATAGCAGCACTCGCAACATCCAATATCCCATATAATTTCCAAAGGCCACTGTACAAATGTGTGTCTTTAAAAAGAAATTGCTTCACAAACTTTCCGTAACGTGGGGAGCAGGTGAGAGGACTGCAGAGCAGATCTTCTTTCTAATGTCCACAAGCCTGACCAGTTTTTAAATGGACTTCTTATTGTGCTTCCACTGCCCACTTTTTCCATAAATGTGAGGAGCAGTGAAAAAAATGAATTGTCATATAGCCAATCAGGCCTGGGGAACCAGGATGGGGTCTTTGTGTTCAAGGTGACAGGTGGGAATGGCACTTCCTAGGTTTTATAAATCTTGCCTTTCATCTTGAGATTGCAGCAATAAATGCATTAACACAATTCATAGAAAAAGAAAGCCATTCATATCAACGATGTAATAGTTGTCAATTTAAAAGCTCCGCTTTAACCAAACCATAAGAGATAATCAAGTTTGTTCTTGGCTGACTTCTCATGCTTTGCCTGGGGGAAACAGACCAAAGGCCCACACTGCAGAACATGGAAGGGAGTCCCTCAGAAGGTGGCGGACGCTCCTTCCTTGGAGGTTTTTAAGCAGAGGTTAGGTGGCCCCCTGTCGTGGATGCTTTAGTTGGGATCCCTGCATTGCAGGGGGTTGGACTACATGACCCTTGGGGTCCCTTGCAGCTCTACAATTTTACAATGCGCTTTCAAGAATCCCAAGAAAGACATTTCACACAAGGGGGTCAGGGTAGCCTAACCACTTTCTTGCTTTTCATAAACTCTCTGGAAGGATGGTCTATAATATAATGTTAAATATATAACTGAAACTTGAATGGTGGTTACAAGGAGGGTGAGAGCACCTGCTACCAGTTTTACCTGACCTGTCAAGCATGGTCTGTCATGTGATGTGAGGTAAAAGATTAAGATGTGAATTAGAGTCCCTGCTTTAACTCCCTTCTGCCATGAATGGTGGGGGTGGGGGTGGCCTTAGACAAGCCACTGTCTCTCAGCCTCAGTCCTACCATCTGAAAAATGGGCATGCTAAGATTGACTTAACTTACAGGGTCAGGTTCTATATAGATAATGTGTGAACCCTTGAAAGAACTGCAAATGTTTCAAGAATCCTTATTAAGAACTTGATGAACATACCTCTCTCAAATGCAGAGCCATGGAGTCCCTGTTCATTTCAGAGGGGATGCTGTTTCTGTCATGTGCCTAAAAAAGAGTCAGCTTCCCCGTTGACGTCGTTTCTCTTCTCTTTCCTCATCTGCCCCCACAGAAAACATAACTTTGGATCCAGACACAGCAAATCCCTACCTCATCCTGTCCAAGGACCGAAAGAGAGTGAGAAAGGGAGAAGTCTATCAAGACCTGCCGGACAACCCTGAGAGATTTGACACACTAACCTATGTGCTGGGATGTGAGGGTTTCACAGCAGGCCGACATTTCTGGGAGGTCATTGTGAGAAGAGAGGAAGGGTGGGGGGTGGGGGTGGCCAGAAAGTCTGTGAAGAGGAAGGGTGTTTTCTCTTTTGGTCCTAGGGAAGGGATCTGGGGTTGGATCTGGGGCTTGGGGAAGTGGGGCAATGCGTACAGGTTATTCTCCCCCCATGAGTACCCTCTTCCAAGTGAGGAGCCCAAGAGGATCCGAGTGGCCCTGAACTGTGAAGGGAGACGGGTGTCCTTTTACGATGCAGACACGGCAGTCCTCCTCTACACATTCCTGGCAGCCTCCTTCTCAGGAGAGACCCTCCAGCCCTTCTTTTACATAAGCAGGAAAGCGAAGCTGAGACTCTATTGACTGATGTGCAGACAGACAAGCGTATATTCATTGCCATAATGGCATATCCAGTCTCCTCTACAGGACTGAGCTGACAAGCACTTGAGAAACCATATTTGCAGAACTGTGATTGGCCATCCCTTGTGTCAATCATGATGCAACCCTCCCTTCTCAGGCCAGCTTTGTAAATGACACTGATTAATTGGGACCCCTGTCAGTCCCCAAACTTGCCTGTTCTCTCTCCCTTGGGAACCGGCTATTTCTGTCAGTCAAGGAGGTGCAAAGGGGGAAAGAAGCAAGAAAATAATTTAGGAAACAACAACAAACCTCCCCGCATTCCTGTTTCGATGTAGTTCTCTCTCCAACCTCCAATTCTGACACATTTTCTATAGACATTCCTCGGCCTCAATCCTGAACTCAGATTGCCTTTACCTCCCCGCAAAACCTCCACTGTCATGGAGATGGAAGTTCCAAAATCCCTTTTTTTGCTACTACTCAGGGAAGCTTATGTGGCAATTCAGCAAAATCTCCATATCCAAAGATTGTTTGCTAGTTTGAGTACAGTCGGCCTAAAATTCATGCGCAACTTACTTGCGTGATCTCAGCCTTCGTCAAAACACAAATTAATAAATGGAAAGCGGATGAGGGACCAGGAAAAACTGTTGGAAGGGACTGTGTGAGATCTCACAAGAGTCTCCACAGCGCAGAAAGCATTTGGGGGGAGGGGGCTTTGGCAATGGTGGAAAGAGTTTCTAAGTCCACCTTGCTTACTGACCTCTAGAAAGGTCAAGATCTCTGGCTTCAGTCAAGCAGTATGGTTCCTTGGTGGGCGTTTTCGGGGGTCTTCCTGACTTACACTATATTGCCTTTGCATGCTGACCCCAGAGACGTAACCCCTGTGCAGGTTTTGGGTCTCGATGTAACAAAATCCCCTTCGACAGTGAAGAGCCTCTGTCAGAAGCTCTGAGGAGAAAACATTGGCAAACATTGAGAATTTTGGGTTATGTGTATGTGGTAAATTCCCATGTATAAAATTATTTTCACCAAGGTGGTTTGTAATGAAGAGTCAGATACTTACCTGTATTTTTAAAGATCCCCTCTTCTTATCTTTTTGTATAACGAGCCTAAAATAATTTGGGGATATGTTTCATGCGCTAACATGTTTGATTCTACTAAAGATTGTACTTCTTGTTGCTCCTGTGGTGTTTGGAACTCAACAGCATAATATCCATTCCCCATGACACTTCCTCCAGGGATTTTAGGAGGGTGATATCCTGTTTTACCCTCAGAGGAACCCTGTGAGGTAGAAGAGGCTGAGCTGAGAGACTTAGAAAAAGGAGACACATTAAAGTTTATGGTCAAAAGGGATTTGAACCTGGGCCTTGTCATCCCAAGTCCAACACACTCTGCACTCAGAATTTGAAATCTTAGCAAGGGTCCCTTCAGAGATGTGCTTCAAAGCCCTCCCTGCAAAGTTCCTCCACAGTGGTACCTTGGGTTACGAACGTAATTTGTTCCGGAGGTCCGTTCTTAAGCCGAAACTGTTCTTAACATGAGGCGTACTTTCGCTAAGGGGGCCTCCCACTGCCCAGTCACCCTATGAAGGGGGGAGGAGAACCCTGAACAATGGTGTGCAAGCCCCTTTATAGACGTTTGAAACTGCCCACCTGTAGCACAAGACCAAACCCCCAAAATATCAGACATACATCACAGAAGGAGGCAGTCTTCAGCAGAAATCCTTCTGTCAGGATACCTGTTAGAGGTCACTGATTGCATGGGCAGCTTGGCCATTATTTTGTGATAGTAAATACTTTAGTTCCTGAATGCAGGTCACAGGCTCACCCTATTCACACACAAATATGCCCTTAAGACAGGATTTGCAAGCAAAGAGAAAATGGGAAGGCTTTTCCTATTTGACTCCCTTACTGCAGAGGAATATTTGAGGTCAGTGGGAGACTCAAAATGGGTCTCCCAAACTATTTCAGACACATGGTTCATATATTGAGATATGTGTGCATTCATGAGTGTTTATTCTATATTTGAGACCTTAAAATTCTTATAACAAAGTGATGTTTCACTGACAAAGGGCTGCATTCATTGAGAAAATGGGGCTAAGTGAAAGCACCTGCTCTTAATAGGTGCCCTGCAGTGCAATTAGCAAATATCTGGATACCATTTAGCTGAGCTGTTTGCAAAGGCTGTTTGCAGAGTTGGTTCCAGAGATGCTGGTGATTTTGTCAAAACAACTCACTAAAAATTGGCACTGGGATGGAGGTCTGTTTCTCCTCTGTATGTGGTGGCTACTAACTCGAAAGTGGAGGAAGGAGGGGGAGGGGGACGGCAATTCATTCATCAGCTTGCAAAGTAGTCTGAGGCTGACATGCTGATAGTAAACAACTACAGTGGTGCCTCGCAAGACGAAATTAATCCGTTCCGCGAGTATCTTCGTCTAGCGGTTTTTTCGTCTTGCGAAGCAACCCTATTAGCGGCTTAGCGGATTAGCGCTATTAGCGGTTTAGCGGCTATTAAAGGCTTAGCGGCTTAGCTGCTAAAAGGCTATTAAAGGCTTAGCGGCTTAGAAAAAGGGGGGGAAGCGAAAAAAATCTCAAGACTCGCAAGACATTTTCGTCTTGCGAAGCAAGCCCATAGGGAAATTCATCCTGCGAAGCGCATTGAAAAACGGAAAACCCTTTCGTCTAGCGGGTTTTCCGTCTTGCGAGGCATTCGTCTTGCGGGGCACCACTGTACAACAAACTCCACCAGCTCCCACGGGAAAATGGTTCCATAAACGAGCAGCCACCAAGGATGAGCACTCCATTTAAAATAAATAAATATATTTATTTCCACCGTATCAAAGCTGCTCGGAGCTCCACCCAACTCCAAGGCAGCAGAGATCCTGAGTTTCCCGGAAATCCGAATTTCCTGGCAAGGGAACACGCCCATTTGCAGACGGAAAAGAGAGAAATCGAAACCAGCTCTCTCTTCCTGGCTAATAAAGCAAGCATGGCTGATTTTGAGGGTCCCGTCCGGGATCTCCGCAAGGAAGCCACTTGCTCTATTTGCCTGGATTATTTCAGGGATCCAGTGATCATTCATGAGTGCAGGCACAACTTCTGCCGATCCTGCCTGATCCAGTGCTGGGAGAAATCTGAGGGAGAGGCTTCCTGCCCTCAGTGCAGGGAAACAGTGGAGCAAAGCAGCATCAGGGTAAACCAGCAGCTGGCAAATGTTGTGGAAATAATTAAGAAATTCAACCATCTGCAGGGGAAAGAGGAGGGAGAAGGAAAGGGGATGGTCTGTGAGAAGCACCAGGAGCCCCTGAAGCTGTTGTGCAAGGAGGATGAAGCCCCCATCTGTGTGGTGTGTAATGTATCCAAGGAGCACAAAAGCCACGAGGTGATTCCTCTGGAGGAGGCGTCCCAGGAGTACAAGGTAGGAACAGGCAGTGGGTCTTTCTTGGGGGTGGAAGAGCTGCAGACAAGAGGGGCTTGTAATAATAATAATAATAATAATAATAATAATGTATTCGGGGGTCTACCTGACTTGCACAATATTGCCTTTGCATTCTGACCCCAGAGACGTAACCCCTGTGCAGGTTTTGGGCCTCAATGTAACAAAATCCCCTCTGACAGTGAAGAGCCTCTGTCAGAAGTTCTGAGGAAAAAACATTGGCAATCTTGAAAATTTTGGGGTATGTGTGTGTGGTAAATTCCCATGTATAAAATTATTTTCACCAAGGTGGTTTGTAATGAAGAGTCAGATACTTACCTTTATTTTTAGAGATCCCCTCCTCTTATCCTTTTGTATAACGGGCCTAAAATAATTCGGGGATATGTTTCATGCGCTAACATGTTTGATTCTATTAAAGATTGTACTTCTTGTTGCTCCTGTGTTGTTTTGAACTCAACAGCATAATATCCATTCCCCATGACATTTTTTTTTATTAAAGATTTTCTTGTTTTACAGAAGTATGTGTAATGTCTCTCATATTTTTTCCATGTAACATTTTTACAAATCAGTTTCATTTGTTGAGACATTAGGGGGAAATAAGGGGTGGAGGGGGGGAAGATGGGTGGGGTCGGGTGGCGATGTTTCTATTGTGCTTAATGTATGTAGGGTTTGGTGTCAGCGTCGCTTGTGCTGTTCACTTGTGTTCCTTTGGTGGTGAGAGAGGTTGGGGTTGGCCTAGGGTGTGGTTGTTCATTTGTGGTTGGCTGTGGTGGTTTTTGTTTTCATGTGTGAGTGGAGTGGGTGGGTGTTTTGGATCAGGTTAGCCATATTGATTTGTATGCTGTTGGTGGATTAATGTCATTGTGCTCAATCAGCCAAAGGCCTGGTTAAAGAGGAATGTTTTTGCCTAGCAAATGGTCTTTTGAAGGATATCAAAGCCAATGCATTTTTGTCCTATTTGAGTTTAATTATCAATATCAATAAGATGAGCAGAGCTTCAACATTCCCCGCAGGCAAGTCCACTGTTTGACAAATAGAGAGAGAGGCAGCCAGCACAACAAAGTGCTGTAAACTGACAGAGCCGAAACTCCCCTCCCTCTGTCTCCTCCTCTGCCATAGACTCAAACTACAGTTTTCCTTCATGCACAGACTTCTGGATAACGTTGTCTGTAGCTAGAATTTGGTGAGGGAATAAAGACATTCCGCTGGTCACCTTCCAGCTATTTCTTAGCCATTTAGCCAGAAATCTTCAGAATAACAATTAAAAGGCACCTGGGCACTTTGCCAAGCCTATGAAGAGGGTCTCCACTAGCTCTTCCGACTGCCCTGGTGCTCTCCTGCTCTGACTCCCAGTCTCACAACACCTCACAAGTTCTAAGGGAAAAGCTTTCCTCCTGTCCTCCTGTCCTGAATAGAGCAGCCATGCAAGGGAGTAGAAGTGAAATATGGTTGTGTGAAAGCAGGTGCTTGGGGAGCACCCAGCCCAAGGCAGCAGGATTTTCTGTGTTGAATCTCACTGAGGTACAAGGCTGGTGTGAAAGCCCAATGGTCTCTGCACACAAGGGGGAAATATCCCTTTGAGGCACGCAATAATAATAATTGATTATTTGTACCCCGCCAATCTGGCTGGGTTTTCCCAGCCACTCTGATATTTATTGAAAAAAGGATTTTTTAAAGAAAAATTTTATACAAAGAAGGGAAAAAAAGGAAATAAAAATAAAAAATAAAAATACAATCCTCATTCTCAAATTTTCCAATTTCAATACCTTCTTTCCTTGACCACCTCCTCCTCCCTTTCCCTGTATCTTATTTTGTAACAATAACAGCAAATCCTTTACATAATTCATAGTATTCTGTCATCACATTACCTTAATCTGTTTTCATCTTATCTTGTAAAAAACCCTAAAGTTTAAAACTTAGATCTTAATTTTTTATCAGCTTCTCCTAAACCCTAGCATTCTTGTCTAATTCTTTTAACATTTTTATAAGAGCCAAATAATTTCATTTCAACATTTTGCTAACATTCATCAATTTTGTAAAACAGTTCTAATAATGAAAATAAAAAGAAAAAATCCAGTCCTCATCCAACGTCCTTTTCTCCTGGTCCCGGGTTTGTCAGTCCTTTTTGTCCTATTAATCTAGCACATTAACCTGGGATTCTTATATCCGAGGCTCTTAGGTCACTTCCATGTCCCTTCCATAGCTCTTCTTTATATTTCCCTTTTATTCGTGAGAACTCCAGCTTAGTAGTGTTTTTGACCTTTTTCAACAAGACAGTCCCTTTTCCATAGTCCAATCCAAGCTCGATGTAAAGTTTACAAGCATATTCCAGATTCCCGTCAAGGTTAGGAGCCCACACAGTTCCAGGCATCTGACGGCCCCTTTCCAGACTTGAAAAGTCCAAATCTCCCTGTAGAGGGGGGTCTATCCAGCCCCCCATTTCCAAACCAAACCAGATATCTTTCCAAGTCTGGTTTTTCCCAAGTTCATTTACCAAGTCCAAAAGTTTGTAATCCTGCTGGGCCGCAGCCTCCGTCTCTGGCGCCCAAGATTCAGCTAAATCCTCTTCTCTCAGTTGTTCTGTCATGGCACACTCCTGTTTTAATTCCTGAGTGGGCTCCATATAGTTTCCAGCAACCTGCTCAGGGGAACTGGCCGCATTAATCATAAGATCCGTCTTCTGGCTTAACTGCTCTAATAGGGCATTTATTTTACAGAAAGCACCCAACAGTGCTTCTGAAGACATTGTTCTGCAAGGTCACCAAGTCCTTTCCCACAGCTGTAATCAGTGAAGTTCCCAGGAATTCCCAAGAGTTAATTACAATTTCACAATTCCCCACTAGGGGGAAAAGCTTCTAGTTGTTCTTTCACTTAAAAACAATAGCAACAAAGTTTCTTTTTCACGCTACTTTGTCCATATTTGTTCTTTTAAAAGATGAAAGGAAACAATGGAATAACTACGTTTCTCTTCTTTTAACTATCTGTCAAAAGCATTTGTTTCTGGTCAATGAGCTTCAAACGTCAATTCTGACACCCCGCTCCAGGGTCAGGGCGATGGAAAAATACCTTACTTTAACTTCATTTCTGCAGGTTTAAACAGCTCAGAAAGAGTCCCCCTTCTTCTCCTGCTACCGAAGGGTGGTTCAACAGTTTTAAGTGATGAAATTCGATCCTTTAAAAGTGATTTTTTAAGACTCTAGTTTGTGTTGTCTTTGCTTTGTTCTGGCTACAGGGAAACGGAAGGGTGACTTCCTGGTTGATCCTTTCCGTTTCAGTACCAAATTAGGGTAAAATTTTAAGTCCAGATTCCTTTCAGTTTCGCCAATTCTTTATTTATAATCCAAGTATTCAATGTTCCAGTACTCACGGTTGGTTGTTTTAAATGCCAAATTATCCCAGGAAAAAGGCAGCGCTCTCCGACAATGGCTATGCGGCTTCGCTCCGCAGAAAAAGCAGTTGACTCACAGCACAGCGCCACTCCCCCCTCTTCACTTCGGAGCCCGTTTATGGGTTCCTTAGTGAGTGGGGGGGGCGCTAAAGGTGCCCGCCGAGTCCCACGGTCACAGGCTTCATCCGCCTGTGATTTCCAGAAGGGTCCCCGCTACGCCGCAGCGGAAAAGACCCGTTTCATGCGGAGCTAATCCCTCCGGTCAGAGGGAAACCGCCATTGCCGGTGGCGCCACCCCGGAAGTCCTTTCCCAGCCACTCTGGGCGGCTTCCAACAAAGATTAAAAATACATTAAAATGTCACACATTAAAAACTTCCCTGAACACGACTGCCCTCAGATGTCTTCTAAATGTTAGGTAGTTATTTATCTCTTTGACATTTAATGTTAGGGTGTTCCACAGGGCGGGTGCCACTACCGAGAAGGCCCTCTGCCTGGTTCCCTGTAGCTTTGCTTCTTGCAATGAGGGAACCGCCAGAAGGCCCTCAGCGCTGGACCTCAGCGTCCAGGCAGAACGATGGGGATGGAGAGGCTCCTTCAGGTATACTGGGCCGAGGCCGTTTAGGGCTTTAAAGGCCAACACCAACGCAAGACCCTCTAACTCTCAATTTAAGAGAGTTGGTTAAGAGTAAGGTTTAAGGGAGCAAAAGTGGGGGACAAACTGGTATACGAGCAGAAATAGCTCAGAAAATGGCCATGACAACCTTTGAGGGCTAGAAGTTGAAGAGGTACTGATGTCAGTGGCAGGGAGGTGAGGGCTGCACAGCCCAGGCCTCAGATGTCAGGCTTTTATGGTTTAGTTGCAACAGGATGAGTTGCAACCCTCTTAGGGACAGGGAGCTTCCATGACTTTCTGCCCAATATGTCCAATCTCAGCCACTTAGCCAGACGTCTGCTCATCAAAACAGAACCCCCCTGATTCACTCTCGGAGCCCCAAGGAGGTCATTTCACACAGAGAGGGTCATGGGAGACTAGTCACTTTCATAAGCAGCAGAGCATAGAGACAGTTTTATGGGTGTCAGTGTTTTTTCTTTTTATAAACTGCCTGGAAAGGTGGGGTAAAACATCCTTTAAATACATAACTGAACTTGGGTGGTTGCCATGAGAAGGGTGTGTTCTCTGCTGTGGCCTGCTGCCAGATTTACCTGGCATTTCAAGCATAGTGTGTCGTGTGAGGGAAAAGATTGAGCTGTGAATCAGGGAGTCCCTGCTTTGACTGCACCTTCTGCCATGAGCTTTGGGGGTGAGTAAAGAGGCCACTCTCAGCCTCAGTCCTCCTGTATGAAAAATGGGCATAATAAAGTTGACCTTACTTACAGGGCTGGTGTAAGGTTTCTGTGCTCAGTGATTTCATTACCAGAAAATAGGAGGGTTCCTTTTGATGGCACGACTCCCCCAAAACCATACAGATGTTTCAATAATTATTATTAAGAACTTGTGGAGCATCCTAGCCCCGAACACCGTTAACTGAGTCCCTGTTCGTTTCATAGGGAATTACATTTCTGTCTAAAGAAAAGGTAGCTTCCCAGTTGATGTCGTATCTCTATTCTTTCCCCCCACAGAAATCGTAACTTTAGATCCAGACACAGCTCATCCCTGCCTCTCCAGGGAACTCTCCTCTCTTGACAGCCTCATCCAGGAGATGGAGGAGAAGCTTCAGGAACCAGCGAGTGAACTCCTGCAGGTGAGGCCTCATCCTGATGCGAGAGGGTGGAGTGTGCTGCTTCAGACTACAGGCATTTCTTAGTCCTTCCCCACATAAAAATACTGTTGTCAGAGAAAGAAGCAGTACATGAATGGAAGAAGGTGTCAGCCTTGGCATAGGAGCCAACTCTGAGGGGCTGAGGTCCCTTGACGCCCCAATAAAATATTTGAGGCCAGCCCCCCCAAAAAAATTAAGGGACATTTCTTTTGAATTGGAGTGTGTGTACTGCATCTTGTGATTGATTATGTGGGGCGAGGCTTACCTGCCCCCCCCCCCCAATATTTTGTTCAAGTCGTCACCCCTGAGTCCCTGGGATGTTCATCAAGTTCTTAATAATGATTCTTGAAACATTTGCAGTTCTTTCCTCACCCCACCGTTGTAATTTGTGGGTTTCCACTTAATTTTATTCTGATTTCAAATGTGATTTCGAACTGTATTTTAACCAATCATTTGATTTTGTGTTTTTAATGTATTCTATTTGGTTTTAGCTGCCCTGAGCCCGGTCTTGGCCAGGGATGGCAGGGTATAAATTTATTGTTATTGTTGTTATTATTATTATTGTTACTACTACTACAGTCATACCTCGGGTTGAACATGCTTCATGTTGAGCACGTTCAAGTTGCGCTCCGCGGCAACCCGGAAGTAACAGAGTGCGTTACTTCCGGGTTTCACCGCTTGCGCATGTGCAGACGCACAAAATGACGTCACGCGCATGCGCAGAAGTGGCGAAAAGCGACGCGTGCGTGCACGGACGTGCCGTCGCTAGTTACGTTTGCTTCTGGATGCAAACGGGGCTCTGGAACGGATCCCGTTCGTATCCAGAGGTAACACTGTATTATTATTGCAAGGGTTTGAAGTACTTAACACACATTATCTACACAGAACCCTTGCAACAACTCTGTAAGTTAAGTCAATCTTAGCATGCCCAATTTTCAGATGGGAGGACTGAGGCTGAGAGACAGTGGCTTGTCTAAGGCCACCCCCACCATTCATGGCAGAAGGGAGTCAAAGCAGGGACTCCGTAAGTCATATCAATCTTTTACCTCACATCACATGCCAGACCATGCTTGACAGGCCAGGTAAAACTGGCAGCAAGTGCTCTCACCCTCCTTGTAACCACCATTCAAGTTTCAGTTGCATATTTAATGTAATGTTATAGCCCATCCTTCCAGACAGATTATAAAAAGAACAACAATACCCAAAAAGGTATTTCTGTGCTCTGATTGACACTCCCTGTCTAAAATGTCCTGCTTGGACATTCTTGACATGAGCGGTCAAGCAAGAACAAACATGATTATCTCTTGTGTTTGGTTAGAGCAATGCAGAAAATAGATACGTTTTGTCCTTTAAATTGGCATCTATTACACAGTTGACATGAATGTCTTCCTTTTGCTATGACTTGTTTTAATGCATTTATTGTTGCAATCCCAAGACAAGGGGCCTTTATTAAAGCCAAACCCAGTTAAACCTAGGAAGTGCCATTCCCACCCGTCACCTTCGATGCAAAGACCCCATCTTGGCTCCACAGACCTGATTGGCTGTATGATTCTCTTTATCTTCACAGTTCCTCACATTTATGGAGTGGAAGCATCATGAGAAATTCATTTAAAAATTGGTCATTTAATGTGTCAACACAAATAGAAGTTATAAATATTCCAGCTGTTGTAGAAGGGATTATGATGATGACTGGAATGTAATTGAAATCAGTAAGATTTTGGAACACAGAAAAAAAGAAAATCATCAATTCTAGCACCTTAAATAAGTTATATAATTTGGTATTTGAATGATTTACATTAGAATTGTATTATAAATTGGTATTGTTATAATGAGGCTATTACTATAATTGAAATTTTTTTAAAAAAATGGTCAGGCTGATGGACATTAGAAAGAAGATCTGCTCTGCAGTCCTCCCCCCCTCCTCCGGCAACGTTAAGGAAAGTTAGTCAAGCGATTTCTTTTTAAAGACACACATTTCTACAGAGGCCTTTGGAAATTAAATGTGACATTGGATGTTGCCAGTGCTATTAGTCAATTTTTTTCTGTGAAACATAATGGGTTTTTCTAGTTCATTGTTGTATTTATAAGCCTTTATGCATTTTACTCACTGCTGTTATATTTAAAATTATAATCTGGGATTCTTTTAGACAAGTAAGAGTTTCCTTTATGCTGCCATCTGCTGCACAACTTCCAGCTCTTACGATTCCCTTTTTGTGGTGTCCAGGATCAGGCCGGACTGGACTCTCACTGCTCTCACTGAACAGATGCCTCTGGGAAATAAGGGAAAATAAGGCATGGATGGAAGAGGTGCGGTAGTCTGGTCTTTTGAGAAGCGGATCCCATCTCTCCCAAATTTGTGCCTGGGGAAATGGCTGGGGAAACCCAGCCAGATGGGCAGGGTATAAATATTATTATTATTATTATTATTATTATTATTATTTGTACCTCTTCGCAGCTGAAGTTCGTATTCCAGTGTCTGGAAAAGTAAAGGGATCAGAGATTTAGCATCACACCATCATTCAGACAACAAAGCTGGCAACAACAATATGAGCTCATGAGATTGTAGCCAGGTATTAAGGACTACAAGTCCCATCCTCCCTAACTACTGGCCACGCCAGCTGGAGATTATGGGAGTTGCAGTTAAAATTAAAACTTTTGACCATAAACTTTAACCTGTCCTTATTCTAAGTCTGTCAGCTCAGCCTCTTCTACCTTACAGGGTTTTTCTGAGGATAAAACAGGATATCACCCTCCTAAAACCCCTGGAGGAAGTGTCACGTGGAACAGAGATAGAAACAACACAGGAGCAACAAAAAGTACAATCTTTAATAAAATCAAACACGTTGGCACATGAAACATATCCCCCAATACTTTCAGGCCCGTTATACAAAAATATAAGAGGTGATCTCTAACAATACAGATAAGTATCTGACTGTTCACTAAAAAGCACCTTGGAGAAAATAATTGTATACATGGGAATTTACCCCCCACCCCCTGAAATTCTCTAGAAGATTGTCAATTCAGAACGTCTGACAGAGGCTCTTCATTGTCAGGGGGATTTTGTTACATCAAGGCCCAAGACCTACAGGGGGGTTACATTCCTGGGGTCAGCATTTTTGTTGTTGTTTAGTTGTATCTGACTCTTTGTGCATGCAAGGGCAATATTGCATAAGTTCGGAAGACCCTCGAAAATGCCCCCCAAGCAACCATCCTTACTTGTCAAAAGCCAGAGATCTTGACCTTTCTAGAGGCCGGGAAGCAAGGTGGACTTAGAAACTCTTTCTCCCACTGCCAATGCTCCCCCCCCCAATTGCTTTCTGGGCTCTGGAGACTCCTGTGAGATCTCACACAGTCCCTTTTGACTAAAGGCTCCAGGGTGCAATCTGTACTCAACTAGCAAACAGGTCTCTTCGGATATGGAGATTTTGCTGAATTGCCACATAAGCTTCCCTGAGTAGCAGCAAAAAAAGGGAGTTTGGAACTTCCTGGCCAGTGCAGAACTTGGGGGAGGAAAAGGGAATCTGAGAACAGGATTGAGGCAGAGGAAGGTTTTAAGTGATGCCCATGTATAATTCTGATTTTATTCAGAAAAGATGATGGTATTGTCTCTAGAAATCTTAAGTCAGAGTTGGGGGTTGGAGAGAGAACTACATTGAAACAGGAATGTGTGTAGGGTTAGTTTTTTCCTAACTTTGACAGAGGACCCAATCAATCAGTGTCATTTAAAAAGCTGGCCCAGGAACAGAGAGTTGCATCATGATTGACATAAGGAATGGCCAATCACAGTTCTGCAAATATAGTTCCTCAAGTCCCTGTCAGCTCAGTCCTGAAGAGGAGACTGAATACCTGTATGTCATGGTGGCAGTGAATATACGCTTGCCTGTCTGCACCCTCAGTCAAGAGAGTCTCAGGTTCTCGTTCTTCCTCACGTAAAACAAGGGCTGGAGGGTCTCTCCTGAGAAGGAGGCTGCTGGGAATGTGTAGAGGAGGACTGCTGTATCGGCATCGTAAAAGGACACCCGTCCCCCTTCACAGTTCAGGGCCACTCGGATCCTCTTGGGCTCCTCATTTGGAACAGGGGCCTTACGGGGGACGTACCCTCCGTCCCACTTCCCGAAACCCCAGATCCCGTCCGTAGGACCAAAAGAGGAACCACCCTTCCTCTTCACAGACTTTCTAGCAACCCCCACCCCCCATCTCTCCTCCCTTCCCACAGTGACCTCCCAGAAATGTCTGCCTGATGTGAAACCCTCAAATCCCAACACATAGAAGTATGTGTCAAATCTCTCAGGGTTGTCTGGCAGGTCTTGATAGACGTCTCCCCGTCTCACTCTCTTTCGATCCTCAGACAGGATGAGGTAGGGATTTGCTGTGTCTGGATCCAAAGTTACATTTTCTGTGGGGGCAGATGAGGAAAGAGAAGAGAAACGACGTCAACGGGGAAGCTGACTTTCCTTTAGGCACATGACAGAAAGAGCATCCTCTCTGAAATGAACAGGGACTCCATGGCTCTGCATTCGAGATAGGGATGTTCATCAAGTTCTTAATAAGGATTCTTGAAACATCCGCAGTTCTTTCAAGGGTTCACATATTATCTACATAGAACCCTTGCAATGACCCTGTAAGTTGATCAATCTTACTATGCCCATTTTTCAGATGGGAAAACTAAGGCTGAGAGACAGTGGCTTGTCTAAGGGCACCCCCACCGCCCACAGTTCATGGCAGAAGGGAGTCAAAGCAGGGACTCCCTAAATCACATCTTAATCTTCTACCTCACATCACAGACCATGCTTGACATACCAGGTAAAACTGGCAGCAAGTGCTCTCGCTCTTTTTCTAACCAGTTTAATGTTTAATGTAATGTTAGACCCCATCCTTCCAGGTAGTTTATAAAAAGCAAGAAAGTGGTTAGGCTACCACGACCCCATTGTGTGAAATGTCCTGCTTGGGATTCTTGAAAGAACATTGTGAAATCGTAGAGTTGGAAGGGACCCCAAGGGTCATCTAGTCCAACCCCCTGCAATGCAGAAATCTGAATTAAAGCATCTACCACAGGGGGCCACCCAACTCTGCTTAAAAACCTCCAAGGAAGCAGAGTCCACCACTTTCTGAGGGACTCTGTTCCACGTTCTGTAGTGTGGGCCTATGGTCTGTTTCCCCCAGGCAAACTATGAGAAGTCAGCCAAAAACAAACTTGATTATCACTTGTGGTTTGGTAAGAGCGATGCAGAAAATGGATAGTTCTATCTTTTGAATTGACGTCTATTACATTGTCTGTCTGTCTCTCTCTCTCTCTCTCTCTCTCTCTCTCTCTCTGTGTGTGTGTGTGTGTGTGTGTGTGTTAAAGCCAAACCCAGTAAAACCTAGGAAGTGCCATTCCCACCTGTCACCTTCAACACAAAGACCCCATCCTGGTTCCCCAGGCCTGATTGGCTATATGATTCATCTTTTTCTTCACTGTTCCTCACATTTATGGAAAAGGTGGGCAATGGAAGCAGAATGAGAAGCCCATTTAAACTTGGTCAGGCTAGTGGACATTAGGAAGAAGATCTGCTCTGCAGTCCTCTCACCTGCTCCCCATGTTACAGAAAGTTAGTCAAGTGATTTCTTTTTAAAGACACACATTTGTACAGCAGCCTTTGGAGATTAAGCGTGATGTGGGATGTTGCCAGTGCTGCTATTAGTCTTTTTTTAAAAAAAATGTAATTGGTTTTTCTAGTTTTTTATTGTCTTGATTAGCCTTTACGCATTTTATTCACTGCTGTTGTCTAAAAGAATCCTAGAATATAATTTTGAAGATAAGTAAGAGTTTCCTTTATGCTGCCACCTGATGCACCTTTCCCAGCTCTTATGATTCCCTTTTTGTGGTGTCCAGGATCAGGCCAGACTGGACTTCTGTCTTCCTATTGAGCCATTTCCCCTGGTATGTGCTGTAATTCTGTCCTGCTCTTTTAAGTTTACTCAAGTTTCTCTAGTTTAAGCAGAGAAGTCATGTCTCCCCTCCACCACAAAGGCTGAGGGAAGACCCCCAATCTTGCAGGGAAGCCGGACCCCTGGAGTTCACACTCAGGCAGCCCCCAGCTCCCTCCACTGACACCAGAACCCATTCACCTTCTAGCCCCCAAAAGTAGTGGCATCCATTTTCTGAGCTATTTGTGTTCATGTATTTCCCACTCTTACACCTTACTCTTACATAAACTCTCCTAAAAGGGGTGGGGATCTTGTATGGCTCAAAGGGATATTTCCCCCTCATGTGCCGGGAGCCTTTGGCTTCACACCACCCCTGTGTCTTAGTGAGATTCGGCACAGAAAAGCCAGCCATCCTGGGCTGGGGGCTTCCTAAGAGTCTGCAGGATCAGGCCAAGAGCCCATCTAGCCCAGCATGCTGCTCTCACTGAACAGATGCCTCTGGGAAATACAGTGGTACCTTGGGTTAAGAACTTAATTTGTTCTGGAGGTCCGTTCTTAACCTGAAACTATTCTTAACCTGAGGTACCACTTTAGCGAATAGGGTCTCCCGCTGCCGCCGCACGATTTCTGTTCTCATCCTGAAGCAAAGTTCTTAACCAGAAGCACTATTTCTGGGTTAGAGGAGTCTGTAACCTGAAGCGTCTGTAACCCGAGGTACCAGTGTAAGGGAAAATAAGGAATGGATGGAAGAGCTGCAGTGGCCTGGTCTTTTGAGAAGTAGATCTCATCTCTCCCGAATTTGTGCCTCTGTTTGACCCGGAAATGTACCTTTTTGCAGCTGAAGTCCATATTCCACAGTGTCTGGGAAAGAAAAGGAAACAGAGATTTAGCATCACACCTTCATTCAGAAAACAAATCTGGAAAGAACAATATGAGCTCATGAGCTTGTAGCCCCAACCACTGGCCACGCCAGCTGGAGATTATGGGAGTTGGCAGTTAAACCTACCTGAAACTACCTGAAACCTACCTTAAAATGAAACTCTCCATGCTGGCTTTCCCTGCATAACCAGGGCAGGGGTGATGTCAAGGTTCAGACCTGCCCAAATATTGGGGGGAGGAGCAGGGCCGCCGGAACATCTCCCCATCAACAACAAGGTCCAGACACCCCTGTTGCAGGACGGGAGGCCTCAACCCCAGTCCCCTCTGCTCCTGGACGGCTCCTGGACAGCCCCCCTCCTTCCCCCTTCTGCCCACCTTACATCAATCTCAGGGCCAAAGAAACAGAGGAGACGTCTGAAAAGCTGTAGGTGAGGCTACTTGGGAAAAGGGTGAGATGCGTGAAAGCACCCAAAGCCTGGCTGAGAGAAGTGAAGAGGTCAAGGACAAGTTTTTACAGACAACTCACAACTTAAGGGAGGGTTACATTCTTGGGGATTTTGCATGAAAGCAAATCGTGCAAAGTCGGAAAACCCCCAGAATCACCCCTGCCATCAGAGATCCCAAGACGGCCCCATGAGATCTCGCAGGAGCCTCTCAGAGCCCCGTAATCATGGTAGAGGTCTTAAAAGCGATTTGTGTGCTGGCCAGGCTCCCCCAAGATCTTGCAAGAGTTTCCGGAGTCCAGCAAGAAGGGTTTACCATCCCATCTCAATTGCATAAGAAAAATCAGTTGTGAGTCATCTACATATGAAAGTGTGACTTTTAGATATTGAAATGGAATAAATAAACCTTCTATTTTCCTGGATTGGCTAATATTCCCTATGACCTGGAGCTTGTTATGAACACTTCTAAACATCCAGCTAGCAATACTTTCAGCCCTTCTTTACTACCTCTGAATTTATTCATGAGACCCTCCAGGAAGGGATTTATATCGCTGAAGTCCCAAATCTTCCACTTCACATCAGGGGGAAAAGCCACAGGAGGATCCTCCAAGTTCTCCTTCTCCTGAGACCTGGGAGGAGGAGAACAAAGTCAAGCCACCATCCTTCCAATACAAGGAGCTTTCTGACAAGGCAGGTGTCTCATCCTGACAACAAAGCCATAATGAAGACTTGGGAGCAGGGTTTTCCTATGGCAAGAATGTGGTTGATTTTTGGAAGAATGGCAGATGAAGTTGATGGACTATATGGAACTGGCAGAAATGACCGGCAGAATCCGAGACCAGGCAAAAGAGTCGGCGGAAGAAGATTGGAAGAAGTTTAAAGATTACCTACAGAAATATTGCAAAATCAATGAATGTTAGAATGATGTTGGATAAGTAAATAAGTGGTTTCCAGCTGTAATGCTTTAAGGGAATAGGAGAAAAAAGGGTTTTAAATTGGCAAAAATTTAATATAATTAATTTTTTTAAAAAGGATTTGCTGAACCTACAGATTGAAGTGGAATACAAAAAGGGGAGGTATGAGGAGGTCCGGGAAAGAAGGCAAGGGAAAATAAGTAATTGAAAATATGTGTGTTTTTAATCATTTTTATGTTGTATGTTTTTTGTATTTTTGTTATTTTGCTTTTTTATTATTTTTATTTCTTTATTATTGTAACATTTTAAAAATCTTAATAAATATCTTATAAAAAAAAAGAATGTGGTTGATGTGTGGATCTAGAGAACACCTAACGAGTTGAAGGAAAACTAAAATATACTGAAGGAAATATATGAATATGAGATTGAAGGTAAAGAAGCTGATATATGCAAACTATTTTTTTGAAAAAAGTGAACAATACTGGGTCCTTACGCAGAGATGTTAGGACTACACCAGTTTTAGTGAAGCCTTAATGAGTAGAACAAAATAGATCTGGTATGTACATTTCTGAAATATAAGGAAGTGCAGAATGATTTAGAATGGTTTTTGCGATTAACATTAGAAATGTATTTTAGCACAGTGGCTACATTTAAAAATGGAGAAAATATTGGAAATTAAAGCAATATTTTCTAAACATGGAAGATTCTCAGAATTCAGGAATGTTTGAAGTTGTCTGGAGGACAAGGCTCTCAGCGGCTACTATTCACGATGACTAGGTCAAAGGCAGTGGTGCCTTTGAACTCCAGTTCCTGATACCACAAACTACCACAAAAATGTGTCGCTGTTGTTGTCTGTGATTTTGTGAAATTGACGATGAAGTTCTAAACTATCTCTGGAAGGAGGAAGTGGAGACTGAGTTTCCCACCTGTTAAACTGGAACTTTCATAGCATCAGAATAAGGCAGGGGTTTTCCATCACTTACCTCTGCAAGAAGCTTCCAATATCCTGGAAGGAAAGAAAGATGTCAGTGGAGCCATTTCTGCAGTCAGTTATAAATACTAAGCAGCTGAGTGGCAACTGCTGGGGATCACAGGTTTGGAGAGCACTACTGTTTTTTAGGCTTCTCAGAGACTTCTGGTTGGCCAATGAGAGAACATGATGCTAGAATGAAGGGGCCTGTGGTTTGATCTAGCAGGGGCCCTTCTGCGTCCCCAGGACTGACACCTTTCACCCTTCATGTACGGTTTACTTTTCAGCAACATTTTTATGTGACTAAAAAATGCCTGTGGTTTGAAGCATCACACTCCACCCTCTCACATCAGGATGAAGCCTGACCTGCAGGAGTTCACTCGCTGGTTCCTGAAGCTTCTCCTCCATCTCCCGGATGAGGCCTTCAAGAGAGGAGAGTTCCCTGGAGAGTCTGGCCAGGTGCTCCTCCCTTTTGGCTGCAATCTCCTTCTCTACTTCTGCCATCTGGGCCAGAATACGTTTCTCCTCTTCTTCCAGAAACTGGCGCAATCGCCTGAACTCAGCCACCATCTTTTCCCTCTCTGCACCTGTTTGTTTCTGCAGCAAAGAGGTTGAAAGAAGAGAAGAGTGGGCCAATATCAGGCATCTAGTCTGCTCTTGCAGGATGAAGAGGGCAGTTATCCGAATTCCCTTGGAAGGCCACTTCTGACATATTCAGCAGAGAAAGAGCTTCATAAAAACTTACAAGCCCACCCCCTCCTTTAAATGGCCTTTCATGCTCTGTAGGAGATCAGGCTGTTCAAAAAGAAACCCCTTTCTGTATTCCATATTCATTTCCGCGCCCCCCCCCCCATATTGATTCTAGACTATAGCATTTTTCATCTTGAAGCAGTAACAATGGTGCTTACAAGCAGGTCTTGGCTTTCCTTTTCTGTGTCTGCTTTAAATTTCAGAATTTTCTCTCTCTCCTTCTTCACATTGTCTAGGCAGCTGCTGATCTGATCCTGAAAAGAAAACAAAATCAAAGTTGGGCTGCGTTACACACTGACAGGCAAGCTGAATCCTATGTTTGCTCCCTGCCCCACATCCCTGGGTCTTTTGCAGAGGTTCCCCTTTTTCATCCCAGATGAGGCAGAAATGGGGCTGCCCTATATCAGAGCTGAGAAACATGGGGGTTTTGCTATTTGTCCCCCACACTGAACACACCTCCAACATCTCCCCCCTCCTTTTTATTAAATTAATCCTCGATGTTGCAATCTTTTCCTCCAGGGGAGTTAGTGCAGCCTGCATTCAGGCGGTGCACTTTAATCCCTCAAAAAGAAAAATGTTTATTGTATAAAGTTTCAGAAGTTTAGTCTTATCAGGCTGCACAAGATCTCTTGTTGGAGGATTCCTTTTGGGCTGCAAGAGGATTGAATATATTGGAACATTTTATATTTAATTTTTATTTTGCAAGCCCCTCTTGTCTGCAGCTATTCCACCCCCACCCCATCCCCCCAAGAAAAGACCCACTGCCTTTTCCTACCTTGTACTCCTGGGACGCCTCCTCCAGAGGAACCACCTCGTGGCCTTTGTGCTCCTTGGATCTGTCACACACCACACAGATGGGGCTTTGGTCCTCCTTGCAGAACAGCTTCAGGGGCTCCTGGTGCTTCTCGCAGACCCTTCCTTTTCCTTCTCCCTCCTCTCTCCCCCCCAGATGACTAAATTTCTTGGCTATTTCCACAACATTTGCCAGCTGCTGGTTTCGCCTGATGCTGCTTTGCTCCACTGTTTCCCTGCACTGAGGGCAGGAAGCCTCTCCCTCAGATTTCTCCCAGCACTGGATCAGGCAGGATCGGCAGAAGTTGTGCCCACATTCATGAATGATCACTGGATCCCTGAAATACTCCAGGCAGATGGGGCAAGTGGCTTCCTCGCAGAGATCCCGGACGGGATCCCGAGTGGCCGCCATGGCGGAGTCACCGGGAAGAGGGAGCTGGTTTCGTTTTCTCTCTTTTCCGTCAGCAAATGGGAGGGTTTCCTTTCCAGGAAATTCAGATGTGATTACTCAGGGTCTCTGTTGCCTTGGAGATGGCTGGAGCTCCGAGCTGCTTTGATTTGGTGGAAATATATTAAGCGATCCTTGGTGGCTTCTCGTTTAAATACCATTTCCCTGTGGGAGCTGATGGAGTTTGTTGTATTTTGTTTACTATCAGCACGTCAGGCTCAGACCACTTTGCAGGCTAATGAATGAATTGTCGCCCCCCTCCCCCGCCTTGCTCCATTCACAGCTTCTTCTTCTTCTTCTTCTTCTTCTTCTTCTTCTTCTTCTTCTTCTTCTTCTTCTTCTTCTTCTTTCTTCCTTGAATTTTTATACTGCCATATACCCGGAGGTCTCAGGGCGGTTCACAGAAAAAATCACAACATATATAATCAGAATAAAAACAACAACCCAATAACATTTTAAAAGGGTATAGCAGATTAACCAAAGGCTGGGTTAAAAAGGAACGTTTTTGCCTAGTGCCTAAAGGTCTATAATGTAGACGCTAGGCAAACTTCCCTGCTGGGGAGAGCATTCCACAGACACGGAGCCACTGCAGAGAAGGCCCTGTTCTCCTGCTGTCATAAGATGAATGCAGCCCTTTGTCACTTTATTCCAAGAGGACATGAACCAAACAAGTGACTCCATTGGGAAAGCTGCCTGGGGGAGGGACAAGAGGCGGGTTTCATCTCCTGAGTGACCCAACAGCAAGCCATTCAGTGCTGTGTAGAAAGCTGGTCTGAGAAGGGAGAGTTGCACCACGACTGACACAAGGGCCGGCCAATCTCTATCCTGCACATAGGGCCAGTGGCGTAGCATGGGTTGTCAGCACCCGGGGCAAGGCAAGTAATTTGCGCCCCCTAACCCGTGGATTTGCGCCCCCTAACGCTAACCCCCAGAAGTTGCGCCCGGTGCGGCCGGCCCCCCTTGCACCCCCCACGCTACGCCACTGCATAGGGCTTCTCTCTGGAGAGAAAGAAGGGTTGGAGGGTCTCTCCTGAGAAGGTGGATGCTGAGAATGCATGGAGAAGGGCTGCTGGATCTGCATCGTGAAAGGACAGATGAGAGTTCAGGGTCCCTCGGACCCTCTTGGGCTCCTCAAGCAGGGACAGAACAGGGTCGTCATCAGGTGGGAAGGAGGGCCCTATTCACCTTCCCATTCCCCACCTCCCAGGTCCCATCCTCAGGACAAGGAGCCAACTTGCCCCTCCTTCTCACAGACTTCCTGTGCCCCCTACACCCCAATGCCCCTAACTCCCTGCAATGACCTCCCAGAAATATCTGCCCGCTGTGATCCCCTCTCGCCTCAGCACATGGGGACGTGTGTGTCGAATCTCTCAGGATTGTTGGGGAGACCTTGATCTGCATCTCCATCTCTCACACTCTCCTGATCCTCAGACAGGATGAGGCAGGATCCAAAGTTGGCTGGATCCAAAGTTGTGTTTTCTGGGGGGCAAACAAGGAAAGAGAATAGAAACAGCACGAGCTCAGAGATGAACTTTTCTTTAGACACATGACAGAAATTCATTCCCGCTCAATGCCCTGCGTTCGGGATGCTCCACAAGTTCTCAATAATAATTCTTGAAACAATCTGATCTTTCAAGTGTTCCAAAGCACTTCAAGCACATTATCTGCACAGAATCCTTACATGGACCCTGTATGCTAAGTCACTTTTATCGTCTCCATTTTTCAAGTTGAAAGTTTGAGGCTGACAGAATGTGGCCACCTCACCTGTCGCTAAAGTTCATGGCAGAAGCAGGAGCCAAGGGCTGATTCACAGCTCAATATTTTACCTTGCATCTCATCAAAGACCACATTTGAAAGGTCAGGAAAAGCTGGCAGCAGGCCACAGCAGAGAAAATACCCTTTTTGTAGCTACCACACAAGTTTCTGTTATATATGTAAAGTAAGTTATTCTGCAACTTTCCAGGTAGTTTATATACATCAAAAACCATGACACCCATAAAACCACCTATACTCCGCTGCTTAGGAAAGTGGTTCGGCGCCTTACCCCCCCCCCCCCAGACCCCCACCCCATGTGAAACGACGTGCTTGGGACTCGGAGCAAATTGGGGCTGCATGTCTGGGTTAACAGACATTTGTTAAAGCGGCTGAAATTGGGCATATTGGGGAGAAAGCTATGGAAGTTCCCTGTCTGTCCCTGAGAGGGTTGGTGAATTTCCCTCATCCCGTTGCAACTGAACCATAACAGCCTGCCATCGGAGGCTTGGGCTGTGCAAATATTAAGCCGTTTGCAGCACAAAAATGTTCTTTTTCTCAAATTGAAATACTTCACGGTTGACCTCAACATGTTACTTTCAGGTGCAATTGATTCTAGATCAAACAACTACACAATGTTCTGAAGACATCTGATGGCAGCCCTGTATTGGGAAGTTCTTAATGTCTAACGTTATATGATGTTTTTATATGTGCTGTAAGCCGCCCACAGCGACTGGGGAAACCCAGCCAGAGGGGCAGGGTATAAACAATAAAATTATGATAAAATTAGTATTATTATTATTACAGTATTCTGAGACTGGAATAATGTGAGTCAGTGCCGGACATCTGAAGTTTCAATGGCTAATGTAAGTTAGGCAAACCATCTCCTGCCTGGTCCCATGGGAAGCCGTTCTCTCACGCTCCTTCTTCCATAAAGACGATGGCAAATGCAGACCCTTTTATGGATCTGTAACTGCTTAGCATTAGGCTTTCTGGCTTTCCTGCTCATTGCAGAGAGATCTGCCTGTTCACTACAGAGCACCTTGAAGAAAATAATTGCATACATGGGAATTTACCACACACAGACCCTGAAATTCCCTAGATTTGTCTCTGTTCTCTCCTCACAGCTTCTGTCGGTGGCTCCTCATTGTTTGTTACATGAGGCCTGAAACCTACATGGGGGTCAGCATGCAAAGGCAGGAAGACCCCCAGAAATGCCTTCTGCAACCTTCCAAGAGGGCAGTAAGGAAGGTGGAGGAAAACCCAGGGCCAAAATAGTTTTAAGCCCCCTCTGACTTGTTTTCTGGTCTCTGGAGGCTCTTGTGAGATCTCGCACGGCCCCTTCTGAGGGTTCCTTCCCAGCCTTGCACCCTTTACTGTTTATATATGTTTTGACGAAGCATGCAAGGCGGTGATCACGTAACTAACTTGTGTGCAAATTTTGGGCCTCTTTGGATCTAGGGATTTTACTGAAATGCCACAGAAGCTTCCCTGAGTTGCAGCAAAGAAGGGATTTTGGTTCTTGCATCTCCACAACTAGTGAAGGTCTTGGGGGAGGGAAAGAGAAACTGAAAACAGGATGGAGGCTGAGGGAGGTTTTAAGCGATGCCTTTTCAGAATTCTTATTTTATTCAGAAGTGATGAGGGTATTGTCTATAGAAAGCCGCATGTCAGACTTCACTGACTGGAAAAAGTACAACATCAGAACAGGCATGAGGGTAGGGTTCATTTTGTTTTTATTATTAGTCTGCTTCTTTCTCCCTTTGCCCCTCCTGCACCAACTGAAGCAGCTGATTCCCAAGGGAGACCATGAGGGAAAGACAACAGGCAGGTTTCAGGACTGACAGGAGACTCAACCATTCGGTGCTGTTTACAAAAGCAGCCTGAGAAAAGAGAGTTGCACCATGACGGGCACTCGAGTCAGCCAATCACTGTTCTGCCAATACGGCTTCCCCTTTAGTGCCTCTGAGAAAAGTCTCGAGAAGACTTAGATTGAAAATGTGGTGGCTTCTGATTCCACTCTGCCTTAATGGAGGCAGCTCCCATGACAGCAGGAGATTGTTAGCAAAGAAAGAACAAGGATGATTGAGGGTAATCATCCTTGAAAATTCTGCCCAGGGTCAGGGGGAAACAGCCTTTAGTACCTGGCTCTCGCTTTGGCATCGAATGTGAGAGGCTCTGAGTGCAAAAGCACTTCTCCTGCCGATAACCCTCCTACGCCACTATTAAGAAGCAGAGGTTCACCTGTTAATTAGAGATCAATTGGGACTAAAGTGCAGGCATGTGCTAGAAAAGATGAGATTATAAACTGAATGGGGTGCAAGGTCATTAAGGTCAGAACTTGACAGAAGTCTTCATTTGGTGTAAAAGATAGTGGGAGGGGAGGGGAGCAAACGGCTTCTTTATATAGTTTCTTCTCTACATTTATGATCTGGCAACCCTTCCTTGAAATGCTAGTTCAAATTATACATATACAGGTGAAAACGGATGAAATTGGATTGCAGATATGGAAGATAACATCAAATGGAACTGTGTGTATAAAAAGGAAAAAAGGAGGGAAGGCTTATTTGCAGGGTTTATGGACAATTTTTTTTTTTTAATAAATATTTATTAAAGTTTTCACAATATTACATAATGAAAAAGAAAAAAGAAAAAATACAAAAAAAGAGGGGGGAAAACAGTTAAAACCAATTCCATCTTTTCGTCACTTATCTTTCATTTACCTGTTTCCCGGACATCCTCATGCCTCCCTTTTTTGTATTCCAGTTCAATTTATTAGTTCCGCAATTCCTTTCCCTCCTTATTTTATCCTGATCTTTAATCTTAATATATTATAGCATTAAATTTTTACCTATTAAAAATCCAATTTTTCCATATTCTTTTATACCATTACAGCTAGAAACCACTTAACTTCAATCCAACATCATTCTAACATTCATTAATTTTGCAATATTTCTGTAAATAGTCTTTAAATTTCTTCCAATCTTCTTCCACCGACTCTTCTCCCTGGTCTCGGATTCTGCCAGTCATTTCCGCCAATTCCATGTAGTCCATCATTTTCATCTGCCATTCTTCCAGAGTGGGTAGGTCTTGTGTCTTCCAATACTTTGCAATAAGTATTCTTGCTGCTGTTGTAGCATACATAAAGAAAGTTCTATCCTTCTTTAACACCGATTGGCCGACTATGCCCAGGAGAAAGGCCTCTGGTTTCTTCAAGAAGGTATATTTAAATACCTTTTTTAATTCATTATAAATCATCTCCCAGAAAACCTTAATCCTTGGGCACGTCCACCAGAGGTGAAAAAATGTACCTTCAGTTTCTTTACATTTCCAACATTTATTATCAGGCAAATGGTAGATTTTTGCGAGCTTGACTGGGGTTATGTACCACCTGTATATCATTTTCATAATATTCTCTCTTAAGGCATTACATGCCGTAAACTTCATACCTGTGGTCCATAACTGTTCCCAGTCAGCGAACATGATGTTATGTCCAACATCTTGTGCCCATTTAATCATAGCTGATTTCACCGTTTCATCCTGAGTGTTCCATTTCAGCAACAAGTTATACATTCTTGACAAGTTCTTAGTATTGGGTTCTAACAATTCTCTTTCTAATTTTGATTTTTCCACCTGGAAACCAATTTTCTTATCCAAATTGTATGCCTCCATTAGCTGATAATAATGAAGCCAGTCTCGCACTTTGTTTTTTAATTTTTCAAAGCTCTGCAATTTCAATCTGTCTCCATCTTGTTCCAAAATTTCCCAATATTTTGGCCATCTGACCTCCATATTGAGCTTTTTCAAGGCTTTCGCTTCCATTGGTGACAGCCACCTTGGGGTCTTATTCTCTAGTAAATCCTTGTATCTTATCCAAACATTAAACAATGCTTTCCTGACTATATGGTTTTTAAATGCTTTATGCGCTTTGACCTTGTCATACCACAAATATGCATGCCATCCAAACACATTGTTAAAACCTTCTAAGTCCAAAATGTCAGTGTTCTCAAGAAGCAGCCAATCTTTCAACCAGCAAAAAGCTGCTGATTCATAATAAAGTTTAAGGTTTGGCAGGGCAAATCCACCTCTATCTTTTGCATCTGTTAGTATTTTAAATTTTATTCTAGGCTTCTTGCCCTGCCAGACAAATCTGGAAATGTCTCTCTGCCACCTCTTGTAACAGTCCATTTTGTCCACAATTTGCAATGTTTGAAACAAGAACAACATTCTAGGCAATACATTCATTTTTACAGCAGCAATATGACCCAGCAGTGAAAGCTTCAAGTTTGACCAAATTTCTAAATCTTTTTTCACTTCAGCCCAACATCTTTCATAATTATCTTTAAATAAATTCCCATTTTTTGCTGTCAAGTTAATCCCCAAATATTTAACTTTCTTGACCACTGTTAAACCTGTCTCATTCTGAAACCTCTCTCTCTCTATTGGTGTTAGATTTTTCTCTAAAACCTTAGTTTTTACTTTATTCAATTTAAATCCTGCAACTTGACCAAATTCTTGAATCAGTTCTAAAACCCTTTTGGTACTAGATTCTGGCTCCTGTAACGTCAATACTAAATCGTCTGCAAATGCTCTCAATTTGTACTGTTTGGCTCCAACCTGTATGCCCTTAACCAACTGATCCCTTCTAATCATGTTCAGCAAAACCTCCAGGACCGAAATAAAAAGCAATGGGGAGATTGGGCAACCTTGTCGTGTCCCTTTTTCGATCTTAAATTCTTCTGTCACTACATTATTTACAATTAATTTAGCTTTTTGTTCTGAATAAATTGCACTTATACCATTTTCAAAGCCTTGGCCTACCCCCATACCCTGTAGGTTCTTCTTCATAAAACTCCAAGAGATATTGTCAAAAGCTTTCTCCGCGTCCACAAATATCAGGACTGCTTTAGTGTTTATGTTCACTTCTAATTTCTCCAAAATGTCAATTATGTTCCTCATATTATCAGACAAATGCCTACCCGGGAGAAAGCCCGCTTGGTCTTTATGAATCTCTTCCAACAACACTTTTTTCAGTCTCTTAGCCAAAATGTCTGCAAAGATTTTGTAATCCACATTAAGTAATGATATGTGACGGTAGTTCTTAAGCTGCGTCTTCTCAGTCTCTGTTTTCGGTACAAGTGTAATATAAGCTTCTTTCCACGACTCTGGTGCCCTTTTCCCCTCCATTATTTCATTGCAGACCTCTTTCAAAGGTTGTATTAACCATTCTTTCAAAGATCTGTAATATCTTGAAGTCAGTCCATCTGGTCCTGGAGATTTGCCCAATTGCATATTTTGAATGGCACCTTCTATCTCCTGTTCAGTTATTTTGTTGTTCAACATTGATTTGTTTTCTTGAGAGATTTTTTGTAATCCATTTGTTTGCAAAAATCTGTCTACATCAGTTTCTTTCAATGGCCCTTGTGTATATAATTGTTTAAAGTACCTCTGGAAACAATTTCTATTCTCAGCTGGGTTCTGTATATTCCTTCCTTCCACTTCTAAATTTGTAACTGTATTTAGTTTTTGTCTTTTTTTCATTTGCCAAGCCAACAGTTTCCCACACTTATTAGCCAACTCAAATGTCTTTTGTCTCATTTGTTTAATTTTCCATTCTATCTCCTGATTCGTCATTTTCATATATTGTACTTGATATAACTTTAATTCTCTCAAAATCTCTTGAGATTTTGGTTTTATTCTCAATCTTTTTTCACTTTCCTTTATTTTCTCCAATATTTTGTCCTTCTTCTCATTCTGAGTTCTCTTCTTTAGTGCATTCTGTTGTATCAAGAACCCTCTCATAACCGCCTTACTTGCGTCCCAGATTACTCTTTTTTCCACATTGGTGCTCATATTTATCTCGAAATAGTCTCTCAAGGTTTTCTGGGCCTTCTTAAGCACTTCTTCATCTCTAAATAAGGTGTCATTCATCCTCCATCTAAAGGAACCAGTTGGCATTAGTTTCATTTCCATCTTGACAGCATTATGGTCGGAGCAAGTTTTCGGGCAGATTTCCACCTTTCTTGTCTTTGGTGCCATTCCTCTAGTTATCCATATTTGGTCAATTCTTGTCCATGTCATTTTGGCTTCAGAAAAGAAGGTTCCCTCTTTAGCCATGGGGTTTCTTATTCTCCAGATATCAACTAGATCCAAGTTGTCTGTCATCTCAAAAAAGGTTTTCGGTAGTCTACCATCCTTGGTGACTACCTGTCTTTGTGCCTTGTCCATATATGTAGATACCACTCCATTCATGTCTCCCATCAAAATCATGTTATAATCCATATAGTCCATCAAAGTCTCATGCAACTTCTTAAAAAAGTAAGATTTCCCCTCGTTTGGTGCGTAGATCCCTACTATCAAAAATTTTTCTCCTTGTATTTGAATTTCAATTGCCACAAATCTTCCTTGGTCATCTTTAAAAATAAATTTCGGTGATAATCTGTCCTTTGCATAAATCACAACTCCTCTTTTTTTTACTTTATCCGATGAGATAAACTCCTGACCAAGTCTTTTATTTATCAATAATTTCCTGTGTAACCTTGTTATATGTGTTTCTTGTAGACAAATCAAGTCCAATTGTTCCTTTTTTAATAAATGAAACACAGATTTCCTTTTCTGGGGAGAGTTCAAACCATTACAGTTCCAACTTAGTAGTTGCAGGGCCATGATGTAGTTATTTTGCTTCTCCTCCAACAGCACCCAGTGCCTGTTCCTGTTCCGTCGGTGGTATCAGCTTTCTCAGGCGGTCTTTTAGTTCCAGAGATAATTCTGGTGTGTCTAAAGTTTCTCTTACGGTTGCTCTTAACTCTCCAGTTACTTTCTTTTGTAGATCTTCTCCATGGTCTCTCCAAAATTTGTCTTTGTCGTCTTCTGATCTTATTTTTATCTTCTTTCCTTTATAGCTAAAGGATAGGCCTTGAGGGAATTCCCACCTAAAGATAATTTCGTTGCTTTTCAGCAAAATGACCAAATCTTTATAGTTAGACCTGAGGTCCAGAAGATATTTCGGAATATCCTTGAATATCTCTACTTTTGACTGTTGTATTTCCAAAGTCTTCTGGAAATGCAAACTCAAAATCTTGTCTCTCTCTTCTTTTGTTCGGAGGGTGATCAAACAGTCTCTCACCCTGTTCTTTCTCCCTCCTTTTCCAAGTCTGAAAGCACTCACAATCTTGAAACTGTCTTTCCCCAAATCTGGATTCCAACAATCTAGAAATTCCTGCGTGAGAAATTCTACCAGACTGCCTTTCTCCACTTCAGGTACAGCCCTGACTCCTAAGTTCACTTGTTTCTCCTTCAATTCGATCATAGACAGAATTGACTTATGATCTTCAATTTGTTTATGTAGCGGTGGTATCTTCTCTTCAACCACTGTAGCAGTAGCTGTATCAATTTCTTTAGCCTCCTCGGCAATCTTACGTGTCGAAGCAGATTCCTGTAATAATTTCTGAATAGTTTCTGTATTTGTGTTTACTTTTTGGCCCAAATTGTTGATGCTTGCCGTATTTTGATTAATACTTGTCGTATTTTGATCAATCTTATCCGATGCCTCGGCTACTTGTTTACTTATTCTATCCAAAGATTCATTAATTTTAGCTAGAGCCTGAGCCAAGGTGTCGTCAGTTGCCATACCTTTAGTTTTAGGTTGTGCCGATAGGGCTACTGGAATTCCAGGAGGGCCAGATGTCGAAGCCCTCCTTTGCAATCCACCGTCTGTACGATATACTCTGCCAGACCTTGTTGCTTGTGTCAAATCTATCTTCTCTTTCCCATCTGCCATAACCCTCAAGATAAAACTCAAGGTCAGTCACACAGTCAGAGTCAAAGTTGTTTTGAAATGGAAAGTTCCCAAGAAATTGTTGTGGAAAATTTCCTCAGGCCAATTGCAGTTGTAACTAGTTCCAATTCCACTAGGGGGACACTGTAACAGTCATAAAGTTCTTAAAGTAAACTGTTTCTTCCTTTAATCCCCCAATTCACCAAAAAGACGACATTCTATCTCAAACTGTTACTTTGAAACCAGGAGATACCTATCAGCAATATTGTTACCAAGTTGTATCTCAGATGCAGAGCTAGCTGTCAAAATACGTTCAGAGACAATGCAGTCTCTGACAAGGCTTCTTACTGACACTGGGAGCCCGTTCCAGGGGATTTTGAGCGGTGGGTTTTATCTTCTCCTCCTCTCTTTTTTGTAGGGGAATAACGTTCAGTCCTTCTCCCCCCTCCTTCCCCAAATTGAGGGGGGGGAATTCCAGTTTGGTGATCGGATTGTAATCCTTTTACGCGTCTTTTAGAGCTTCCGCTTTCAAATTCAATGCTTTGTTCTGTTTACAAGAGCGGGAGGCAGACTTCCTATTTATACCTCTCCGCTTCGGTAGCCAATTGTCTCAGATTTGTAAAGTCCCTTTTGTTAGGAAGATTTCCTACTCATGGATCGTTGTTTTCAAAGCCAAATTGTCACAGGAAGAAAGGCAGAGCTCTCCGGCAACAGCTGCGCGGCTTCACTCCACAGAAGAAGCAGATGACTCACAGCACAGCGCCACTTCCCCGCTCTGTTCCGGAGCCCATTGTCGGGTTCCTTTGCAGATTGGGGGGGCGCAGACAGTGCCCGCCGAGTCCCAGGGTCACAGGCTTCCCCCGCCTGTGATTTAAAGGGTCCCCGCTGCGCCGTAGCGGTGTAGACCCGATTTCTGTGGAGCAAATTCCCTCAGAGAGTCAGAGGGAATTCACCATTACCGATGGCTCCGCCTCCGGAAGACACATTTCCAACATTTGTTATCGGGCAAATGGTAGATTTTTGCAAGCTTGACTGGGGTTATGTACCACCTGTATATCATTTTCATAATATTCTCTCTTAAGGCATTGCATGCCGTAAACTTCATACCTGTGGTCCATAACTGTTCCCAGTCAGCCATCATTATGTTATGTCCAACGTCTTGTGCCCATTTAATCATAGCAGATTTCACCATTTCATCCTGATTATTCCATTTCAACAGCAAGTTATACATCTTTGACAAAATCTTGGTTTTGGGTTCTAACAATTCTGTTTCTAATTTTGATTTTTCCACCTGGAAACCAATTTTCTTATCCAAATTGTATGCCTCCATTAGCTGATAATAATGAAGCCAGTCTCGCACTTTGTTTTTTAGTTTTTCAAAACTCTGCAATTTCAATCTATCTCCATCTTGTTCCAAAATTTCCCAATATTTCGGCCATTTGACCTCCATATTGAGCTTTTCTGAGCTTTCGCTCCATCGGTGACAGCCACCTTGGGATTTTATTTTCCAATAAGTCCTTATATCTTATCCAAACATTAAACAATGCTTTCCTGACAATATGGTTTTTAAATGCTTTATGTGCTTTGACCTTATCATACCACAGATATGCATGCCATCCAAATACATTGTTAAAACCTTCTAGATCCAAAATGTCAGTGTTTTCAAGAAGCAGCCATTCTTTCAACCAGCAAAAAGCTGCTGATTCATAATAAAGTTTAAGGTCTGGCAGGGCAAATCCACCTCTTTCCTTTGCATCTGTTAGTATTTTAAATTTTATTCTAGGCTTCTTGCCCTGCCAAACGAATCTAGAAATATCTCTCTGCCACCTCTTGAAACAGTCCATTTTGTCCACAATTTGCAATGTTTGAAACAAAAACAACATTCTAGGCAATACATTCATTTTACCGCAGCAATACGACCCAGCAGTGAAAGCTTCAAATTTGACCAAATTTCTAAATCTTTTTTCACTTCAGCCCAGCATTTTTCATAGTTGTCTTTAAATAGATTCCCATTTTTTGCTGTCATGTTAATCCCCAGGTATTTAACTTTCTTAACCACTGTTAAACCTGTCTCATTCTGAAACCTCTCTCTCTCCATTGGTGTAAAGTTTTTCTCTAAAACCTTGGTTTTTAACTTATTCAATTTAAATCCTGCAACTTGACCAAATTCTTGAATCAGTTCTAAAACCCTTTTGGTACTAGATTCTGGCTCCTGTAACGTCAATACTAAGTCATCTGCAAATGCTCTCAATTTGTACTGTTTAGCTCCGACCTGTATACCTTTAACCAACTGGTCCCTTCTTATGATATTCAGCAGAACCTCCAGGACCGATATAAAAAGCAATGGGGAGATTGGGCAACCTTGTCGTGTCCCTTTTTCTATCTTAAATTCTTCCATCACCACATTATTTACAATTAATTTAGACTTTTGTTCAGAATATATTGCACTCATACCATTTTCAAAACCTTGGCCTACCCCCATACCCTGTAGGTTTTTTTTCATAAAAGTCCAAGAAATATTGTCAAAAGCTTTCTCCGCGTCCACAAATATTAAAACTGCCTTAGTATTTATATTCACTTGTAATTTTTCTAAAATATTAATTATGTTTCTCACATTATCAGATAGATGTCTTCCTGGGAGAAAGCCTGCTTGGTCCTTATGTATCTCTTCCACTAACACTCTTTTTAGTCTTTTAGCCAAAATATCTGCAAAAATTTTGTAATCCACATTAAGGGGTTTATGGACAATTGGATTTCTTCCCTATCTTTTATTATCTATGGACTGAACTGGATCATGCTAAAAGGACTTCAAGATTAATTTAATTGGAAGTATTTATCTTTGGCTGAATGGAGGGTTGAAAGGAATCTACTTGCGGGCTTGCTGAGAAGTTGATACGGTTCATTAATGAGGTTTTTTATAAGTATTTTTATTAAACAGTTTCAATATAACAAATTATCAATCCAAGTCATCAAATAGATTATTTTCCCCCTTTCCCCCCTCCATCCCTCCCTCTCCCCCCCCACCAATGACTTCCCTCAGCTCCCCTTTCTGATTTCTCTGCCCGTATTGTTCTCTGCATGTTATAAATTTGTACATATCCTTGCCTTATCTATCGTGTATTAAAGCAATAAATTGGTGGATGTTTATTCAAAACCTGCCAAGGACTCCAGTTCATTTTGTTGTCCTTTTAGGTAATTTGTAAAAAGTTCCCATTCTTCCTTAAAGTCACAGTTGTCCTTATCACACAGTTTATATATCAATTTAGCCAATCCCGCATAACTCATCAGTTTTTCTTGCCACTGTTCTTTTGTTGGGATTTCCTCATTCTTCCATCCTTGTGCTAGCAAGACTCTTGCCGCTGTTGTAGCATACGTAAATAAGTTCTTTGTTTTTCTTGGCAGGTCTTGTCCTACAATCCCTAACAAAAATGCGTCTGGGTTTTTTTACAAATGTCATTTTAAACATTTTTTTCAATTCATTATATATCATTTCCTAAAATTTTTTAACTTCTCTACATTCCCACATTTGATAAAAAGTCCATTAATGAGTTATTTGAAGTTCGACAGATCACTCTCCTTCCCAGGCCGAGAGGGAAAATGGCAAACCCAGGATATTTCTTGAGTCAGTGTGATTTTTGCAGTTGCTGTTAAAGTTGCAAAACAATGAAGCACGGGACAGAACAATGGAGAACTTCTGAAACAACAATGGGATATTAGCTCCGCCCAAGGCAGAAAAGATAGACATAATATTGTACAAGGACAGGAAAAGACATCACAGACATCAATTCTTGCATGCAGGGGACCACCTAAATTATATAGTTTGGCATCTGAATGATAATTGTATTCTAATTTAGCACTCGTTTCATTCCCCTTGAAAGAGTGCAATCCAAATTCCTCAGAGCCCTTCTACAAGTTCCTAGATGCGTTTCAAATGCATGGGTCAGACTAGAAACAGGGATGATGAAAGTCAGAAACAGGGATGATGAAAGTCAAAGTATGAGCTGATATGTCTGACATCAATATATAAGTGGCTAACTCTGAAACTGCTTCCCCGAGGAATAGCCCAAGTTTCAGTCTGGCTGGCAGACAGCAGTCTTAAACACTCTTCAGAAACTGGGCCTTGCTCCCCAAACCCTCATAACTGTGGGCCTGAGCCAAGCTAGATCTGTGGTTAGGCAAAGAATCATGGACATAGAGAGACAACAGGACTGTACAAGGGTCCCCGATTATAAAATCATAGAAAACGGGAAATACGTAGCCGCTCCAGCAACATATCTCTATTTCCTCGCATCCACAAACGCAAGAAGGGCTTTCACTCTTGCTATTAGGGGAAATAGGAAGCCTTGAACATATTTTTTTTAATGTCCTTTTTATGTTGAGATTTGTAGAGACACCATTGATCCTTTCCTGAAGAAGCTCGCCAATCTTTCAGACAAGTCTAAACTTAATTCTCTCCTCTTAGGCAAAGATCATAAGACGACCTGGCTGGTGGCCAGATTCTGCGCCCAGATTTGTAGGCACAGATCATCCTCTAGAATAAAATAGCTTACTAGGGAAATGCTGAAGTCGCCCTTTGAGGTGCCTCAGGGTCAATTTTTTTATGGTAGCTCAAATCTCAGTTGTACTGTGTATGTATATATCTCAATTTTAACTCATGAGCTATTGCTGCAATCTGCTCCGATTGCATGTTTTATCTTTATGAACGCTGTTTTTATTGTGTTGTGTTGTGTTATGTTATGTTATGTGAGCTGGTCTTTGACCGTAATAAATTATTTATCTATCTATCTATCTTCTAGATGCCGGGAACCAAGGTGGACTTAGAAACTCTTTCCACCACTGATAGATAGATAAATAATTTATTACGGTCAAAGACCAGCTCACATAATATAACATAACAAACACAATAAAAAGAGCGGAGTGCTTTCGTTGCCAGAAAATAGGAGGGTGCCTTTTGATGGCACAACTCTCCCAAAACCACACAGATGTTTCAAGAAGTGTTATTAAGAATTTGTGGAGCATCCTAGTCCCGAATGCAGTTAACAAAGTCCCTGTTCATTTCAAAGGGAATTACATTTCTGTCTAAAGAAAAGTTAGCTTCCCAATTGACGTCGTTTCTCTTCTCTTTCCTTCTCTGTCCCCACAGAAAACGTAACTTTGGATCCAGACACAGCTCAACCCTACCTCTACCTTTCTGTGGATTAAAAGAGTGTGAGACAGGGAGAAGTACGTCAATACCTGCCAGACAAACCTGAGAGATTTGACATACAAACCTATGTGCTGGGATGTGAGGGTTTCACATCAGGCAGACATTTCTGGGAGGTCACTGTGGGAAGAGAGGAAGAATGGAGGGTGGGGGTGGCCAGAAAGTCTGTGAAGAAGAAGGGCGATTTCTCTTTTGATCCTACAGAAGGGATCTGGGGTTTGGGAAAGTGGGGCGGTGGGTACAAGTTCCGCTCTCCCTGTAAGACCCTTGTTCCAGGTGAAGAGCCCGAGAGGATCCGAGTGGCCCTGAACTGTGAAGGGGGACGGGTGTCCTTTTATGATGCTGATAGAGCTGTCCTCCTCCACTCATTCTCAGCAGCCTCCTTCTCAGGAGAGACCCTCCAGCCCTTGTTTTATGTGTCTGCCAAAGGTCACTTGACAATCTCTGAGTGTAGAGACCGACAAGCAGATACTCATCACCAGATTTCCTATTATTATTATTATTATTATTATTATTATATTTGGAATAATCTTATTTTGGATGGTTTTTATTAGTTTTCATTTACAATAATCCAATAATAGCCTCATTATAACAGTGCTAAATTATAATACAATTATTAACACCAATCATTCAGAAAGGTGGGTGTGAGACAGTGGCGTTAGATCAAGGATTTCGTGTTTAGCGTGCAAACTATGACCTTTGAGTGGGGCACACTTTTTAAATATTATTATAATAATACCCCACCCACCTGCTGGGTTTCCTCAGCCATTCTAGGTGGCTTACAACATATCTAGAAACATCATAAAAAACATCAAGTATTACAAAACCTCCCAAAACAGGAGTTTTTTCCTATGGAAAGGACCTAAAATTAGGAGCATTGCAGCATTTGGCACATGGCAAAATTAATCGGAATCCCACAAAATCCAGTGTGAAGAGAAGTCCTTCCTTTTGTCTGCCCTGACTCTCCCTCCTTTCAACTTCACTGGGTCTTCACAGCCGATTAAAAAGGACCCAGTCATGGTTTTGATTATGAAGGACCCAATTTTCTCATATTGCTAAAAAAGTGTTCACCTAGGGTGGGTCCCAGTGTTTTTTCACATTATCAGTGAGGCTGGCGATTTTGTCCAAACTCACTAAAAATAGGCACCGTGATGGAGAGTTGGGCTGCTTCTCCTCTTTACATTGAGGCTAAGAGCTGGAAATGGAGCAATTTGTGGGGGAAATGGAGTTAGGATTCATTCATCAGTTTTCAAAGTAGTCTGAGGCTCACATGAAGTTGGGAAAACACAACCTCACTTCCCTCCAGCTCTCACTGGAAATGGTTCCTTAAACGAGCAGCCGCCGAGCATTCCTTTTAAAATAAATTAATTAATTTCCTGTATACGAAAGAGGCTCTCTGCTCCAGCTAACTCCACAGCTCCATATCAGCAGACATCTGGACGCATTGAGTCTGAATTTCCTGGAAAGGAAACACACCCATTTGCAGAAGGAAAAGCGAAAACGAGACCAACTCTCTCTCCCTGGGGCGGTGGCCGTGGCTGCTTCTGGGAGTCCCGTCCGGGATCTCTGCGAGGAAGCCACTTGCTCCATCTGCCTGGAGTATTTCAGGGATCCAGTGATCATCCCGGAGTGTGGGCACAACTTCTGCAGGTCCTGCCTGACCCAGTATTGGGGGAAATCCGAGGGAGAGGCTTCCTGCCCTCAGTGCAGGAAAACAGTGAAGCAAGGCAGCGTCAGGCCAAACCAGCAGCTGGCAAGTTTTGTGGAAATAACCCAGAAATTCAGCCTTCTGGGCGGAAAAATGGAGGCCAAAGGAAAGGGGAGAGTTTGTGAGAAGCACCAGGAGCCCCTGAAGCTGTTCTGCAAGGAGGAAGAAGCCCCCATCTGTGTTGTGTGTGACAGATCCAAGGAGCACAAAAGCCACGAGGTGGTTCCTATAGAGGAGGCGTCCCTGGAGTATAAGGTAGGAAAACACTCTGGATCAGTGGCGGAGCGTTCCTTGCTGGTGCCTTGGGCGTGCTGCATCCCATGGGGACACATTGTGCCGGTGGAGCTATCCCAAGTAACTGGAGCTAAGAGGGGGGGCATTACACCGCCTGCTCGGCCATGCAGTGGGGAGCTCGGCCAGCCAACGTGGCGGATGCTGCCCTGCTTTGAGGGGTGCAAGTCTCACGGTGCACTGCGAACCTAACACCGCTTTCGGAGATTTGCAAAAGCTGTGTGCGGCTGGCAGGGTGCCAGCCTGTTAGTCCTTCAGATGGAAGACGTTGCGCGAAGGACACAACAGCTCACGACAGGCGCCCCCCAGGCTGGCCCATGCTACGCCTCTGCTCTGGATTTGCTTGGGGGATGGAATAGCCAGGCCTGCAAGATCATAGAATCTTAGAGGTGGAAGGGACCCAAGGGTCATCTAGTCCAACCCCCTGCAAGGCAGGAAGGATGCCAAGATACTCTTGAAATAATGTATTCTCCCCACCCCCTCTAGCAGGAGCGTTTGTGCAGCCCTGTGAAACTTAAAACTTCTGAAAGCATATGATTCAGTTGCCTGACATTATGTATACTAAAATGCCGAAAAAAGATAGAGAAAAAGCAACCTAGTTGGAATTTTCTTTTCTTTTCAGGATCAGATCAGCAGCTGCCTGGACAATGTGAGGAAGGAGAGAGAGAAAATTCTGGTGTTTAAAGCAGATGCAGAAAAGGAAAGCCAAGACCTGCTTGTAAGCATCACTGTTACTTGGAAGTGAATAAGTGCTGTAGTCTAGAATCCATATCTGGGGGGGAATGAATATGGAATATAGAAACAGGTGTTTTTTTTAACAACCTGATCACCCACAGGGCATGAAAGACCATTTGAAGGTGGGGGTGGGCTTGTAAATTTTTATGAAACCCTTTTCCTGCTGGAGTGATCTCTCTAAAATGGCAGACTTGCCCTTCCAAGTGAATTCTGATAACTGGTCTCTTCATCCTGCAACATTGGACTATATGCCTGATATGTTCTCTTTCTTTTTCTGTTTTTTTCTGGTGCAGAAGCAAATGAAAGCAGAGAGGGGAAAGATGGTGGCTGAGATCAGGCGACTGCATCAGTTTCTGGAAGAACAGGAGAAACTTCTTTTGGTTCAGATGGCAGAAGTGGAGAAGGAGATTGCAGCCAAAAGGGAGGAGCAGCTGGCCAGACTCTCCAGGGAACTCTCCTCTCTTGAATGCGCCATCTGGGAGATGGAGGAGAAGCTTCAGGAACCAGCCAGTGAACTCCTGCAGGTGAGGCCTCATCCTGATGCGAGAGGGTGGAGTGGGCTGCTTCAGACTACAGGCATTTCTTAGTCCTTCCCCACATAAAAATACTGTTGTCAGAGAAACAAGCAGTATATGAATGGTTAAAGGTGTCAGCATAGGAGCCAACTCTGAGGGGCTGAGGTCCCTTGGACACCCCAATAAAATATTTGAGGAGGCCAGCCCCCCCCAAACTAATGGACATTTCTTTTGAATTGGAGTGTGGTTCTGCATCTTGTGATTGATTATGTGGGGCGTGGCTTACCTTCTCCTCCCCCCCAATATTTTGTTCACGTCGTCACCCCTGTGTTGCAAATTCTTTGCGGCGCTTTAGCAAAAATGCTCAGAGTTCCAGGTTCTTCAGTGCAGTGTTATTTATTGTGAGCTTTATATACAAAGATCTACAGAAGCAGTTCATACAGTCAGACAGAGTACCTGGCTGCACCTCAAGGCAAATAGGAAGACTCTTTCTCTCTGACTACACTCCTCTACACCACCAACATTACTGCTGGACAGGCTTCCCTTTTAAACCGATGACAGCCAATCAGCTGTCAGCACATTACTGCTGAGTCATTCTGACTCAGCACCTCCATAGAAAGTATTGCATCAACTAGCAAAATCAAGCCTGCAGACTTACTTACACAGCATTCTGTGAATCCGGACACCCTGAGCCCCCAGGGTAGGCAAGAAGGGCCCTGCTAAGTCAAACCTCAGGCCCTTTCCATCCAGCATCCTGTTCTCACATTGGCCAACCAGAGGTCTCTGGGAAGCCCACAAGCCAATAGAACGCTGTAATAATGATGTTGTTGTTAAAAAAATAAATTATTTTATTTTATTTTAATTCAATTCCAATAGAGGCCACATTATCATAATGCCAATTAAAAAACAACAACCAATTATTCATAAGCCAAATTAAAACAGTTTTTCATGACTTCCCATGCTCTGGATTTCAGGATGCAAATGATCTTATTTCTTACTGCTTTCATAATCTTGATTAATCCAATTACCACCATTCCTATCTTAGTCCATTATTTGACAGCCACAGGTTTCTTGACTTTCATTCATTGTTACAAACTTACTAACTTTTATGTTTACAAAGAGGAGTTTATGTCCAGTAAGTTCCCTGTGTGAGATATTAATCTTCCAGCTATTCTTTTTCCTGATGTATTCCAGTCTTAAAACACACCTTCATTTCCACAGTTTCTCTTTCTCTTCTGGTCTTACTCTCCGAGGTTAATTTCCTCTGCGTCAGTCAGGGCTACGGTAGATTAAAGGGCACTAACTTTAATTGCGCTTCAGTGGAAATTCGGTGCAGTCAATCATATATACATTCTCACACAGAATAGAGCTCTGTATTCAATTAACCTTTACTCAGAGTAGACTGATTGAAATTAATGGCTTAATTAGCTTCATTAATTTCAGTGTATCTGAGTAAAAGTGAGTTGGATACAACCGATAACCTTCTGCCTCCAACACAGGCATTCCAAATTGGCACTTTGTAGCGAATAACATAAAGGGTTGAATTTTTGTGTGTATTTTGTTGGTGTGTAAGCATAATAAAGCAAAATAATAATAAACAAAAACAAATTGGTGTTACATGACGTTTTCATTCAGATGCTGTCTTGGGTCCAGCCAGAGAGAGGGTGACCTATTATTATTATTATTATTATTATTATTATTATTATTATTTTGTATACCGCCCTATACCCACAGGTCTCAGGGTGGTTCATAGGATATGATTAGGTGTGGGATGTACAAACCAGTGAACTGACTGGTCGCAGGTGAACATGGAACCAGCATGCATTGCAGGGCAAAATGGCAGATCAGGGAGGTGGGATTGAATCTCTCAGGTGTTTGGGGGACTTGGTCAAAGGGAAGAAAGGGACCTTTTATTAGTCATCACTGGAGTGGCTGACTTTTGTCATCTGATGGTTATTCCAAAATTATGTGGCACTGTGTATTTTATTGGGGGTCTTTTGTTTTGTGCTTGGCTAACCTCTCTCTGCTTCAGCTGCTTAGTATTTATAACTGACTGCAAGGCTCTGTGCAGAAATGGCTCCACGGATATCTTTTTCTTTCCTTCCTTCCAGGATATCAGAAGCTTCTTGCAGAGGTAAGTGATGGAAAAGTGCTTTAAGATACTGTATTGGAAAAGTTCCTGTTTTACGGGTGAGAACCTCACCTTCCAGTTCCTCCTTTCAGAGATTGCTTAGGACTCCATCGTCCATTCACAAAATCACAGACAAAAGTAGGGACACATTTTTGTGGTAGTTTGTAGCTACAAACACAGACAGGAAGCCGTTCCCATTGCATATCTCTGAAGGCCCTTCTCTGTGATAGATTCATTTACTCTGCAATTGATATAAAAAGGGGAGACATCACAAAGGGGCTTGTAAACATATTCACTATAACTTACCCTTAAATATCCAGTGTATTTCAGGCTCTTGCTGGTTCTTTCCCAGACATAAGAACATGAGAAAGGGCCCTGCTGGATCCGGCCAGTGGACCATCTCATCCAGCATCCTGTTTTCACAATGATTAACCAGATGCCAGTGGGAAACCAATGGGCAGGATCTGAGCCCCAGAGGACACTCCCCTCCTGAGGTTTCAGAGGCACCACTGCCTTTGACCCAGCCATCGTGAAGAGTAGCCGCTGAGAGCCTTGTCCCCAAACAACTTTATATTTTGAAAATCTTCCATGTTTAGAAAATACTGCTTTAATTTCTAATATTTTCTGCATTTAAAAAATATAACCACTGTGCTACAACACATTTTGGACGCAGGTGGCGCTGTGGTTTAAACCACAGAGCCTTGGGCTTGCCGATCAGGTCTGCAGTTTGAATCCCCACAACGGGGTGAGCTCCCATTGCTCAGTCCCTGCTCCTGCCAACCTAGCAGTTCGAAAACACGTCAAAAGTGCAAGTAGATAAATAGGTACCGCTCCAGCGGGAAGGTAAATGGCGTTTCTGTGCACTGCTCTGGTTCACCAGAAGTGGCTTAGTCATGCTAGCTACATGACCCGGAAGCTGTATGCTGGCTCCCTCGGCCAATAAAGTGAGATGAGTGCCGCAACCTCAGAGTCGTCCGCGACTGGAGTAAACGATCAGGGGTCCCTTTACCTTTACAATACATTTATAATGTTAATTGCAAAAGCCATTCTAAAGCATTCTGCACTTCCTTTTATTTCAGAAATGCACATACCAGATGTATTTTGTTTTGCCCTTAATCACTTGAAATGCTTCACTAAAACTGATGTAGTCCTAAAATCTCTGCGTAAGGACCCATTATTGTTCACTTTTTTCAAAAAAATAGTTTGCATATATCAGCTTCTTTACCTTCAATCTCATATTCCTATATTTCCTTCAGTATATTTTAGTTTTCCTTCAACTCGTTAGGTCTCTAGATCCACACATCATCCACATTCTTGCCATAGGAAAACCCTGCTTCCCAAGTCTTCATTATGCGTTTATCATCAGGATGAGACATCTGCCTTGTCAGAAAGCTCCTTGCATTGGAAGGATGGTGGCTTGACTTTGTTCTCCTCCTCCCAGGTCTCAGGAGAAGGAGAACTTAGAGGATCCTCCTGTGGCTTTTCCTCCTTTCCTGAAGTGGAGGAACTGGGACTTCTGTGATATGAATCTCTTCCTGGAAAGTGTCATGAAGAAATTCAGAGGTAGTAAAGAAGGGCTGAAAGTATTTTATACTGGATGTTTAGAAGTGTTCATGACAAACTCCAAGTCATAGGGAATATTAGCCAAGCCAGGAAAATAGAAGGTTTATTTATTTATTCTCTTTCAATATCTAGAAGCCGCACTTTCATATGTAGATGATTGATTTTACTGAAAGGGGATGGTAAACACTTCTTGCTGGGCTCTGGAAGCTCCTGCGAGATCTTTGGGGAGCCTCCCACATTCCAGTCAGCAAGGTAAAGGGCTTGAAAGCTCCTGCCACGAAGTGTTTAGCCACCACGCAAATCACTTTTAAGCCATCCTCCTTGCTTACTGGGCTCTGAGAGTCTCCTGCGAGATCTCAAGGGACCGTTTTGAGATCTCTGGTGGCAGGGGTGATTCCGGTGGTCATTCTAACTTTGCACGATCTGCCTTTATGCACAATCCCCAAGAATGTAACCCTCCCTTAAGTTGCGGGTTGCCTGTAAAAAGTTGTCCTTGACCTCTTCACATCTCTCAGCCAGGCTTTGGGTGCTTTCACGCATCTCACCCATTTCCCAGGTAGCCTCACCTACAGATTTTTGGGCATCTCCTCTGTTCCTTTGGCCCTGGGATTGATGTAAGGGGGGCAGAAGGAGGGAAGGAGGGGGGCTGTCCAGGAGCCAGCCAGGAGCAGAGGGGGCTGGGGCTGAGGCCTCCCATCCTGGAACAGGGGTGTCTGGATCTTGTTGTTGATGGGGAGATCTTCTGAGGATCCTGCTCCTCCTCCCAAGATTTGGGCAGGCCTGAACCTTCACATCACCCCTGCCCTGTTCATGCAGGGATAGTTTTAACTGCAAATCCCATAATCTCCGGCTGGCATGGCCAGTGGTTAGGGATGATGGGACTTGCAGTCCACAATACCTGGCTGCTATCTAATGAGCTCATATTGTTTTTTCTAGGTTTGTTATCTGAATGATGGTGTGATGCTAAATCTCTGTTCCTCTTTCTTTTCCAGACACTGTGGAATATGGACTGCAGCTGCGAAAAGGTAAATATAATAATAATAATAATAATAATAATAATAATAATAATAATATAATAATAATAATAATAATAATAATAATAATAATAATAATAATAATATAATATTCATACCCTGCCCATCTGGCTGGGTTTGCCAAGCCATTTCCGCAGGCACGAATTTGGGAGAGATGGGATCTGCTTCTCAAAAGACCAGGCCACTGCAGCTCTTCCATCCATATCGTATTTTCCCTTAGGGCTAGAGGGGCTCTTGGCCTGATCCTGCAGACTCTTAGGAAGCCCCCAGCCCAGGATGGCTGGCTTTTCTGTGCTGAATCTCACTAAGACACAGGGGTGGTGTGAAGCCAAAGGCTCCCGGCACATGAGTGGGAAATATCCTGAAATATACTCAGAGTCGCAAAGTGATTTCATGCTCTTTATTCAGCTCATAGTGGTGAGGAGGAATGAATTAATGTCCCCTCAAAGTATCTGCTTTATATACATTATTTACACAATGGGCTGCACATGATTGGCTAATTCCGGAATTCCACTGTACGCCAATCAGGTTGTGGATTCACTTCTATCTGGAGCATGATTGGGTGGTTCCTGCCAACCAATCATACTACTGCATTGTTCTAGGACCAATCAGACTGCTGCATTCTGAATCCTATTGTTCTAGGACCAATCAGACTGCTGCATTTTGGATCCTATTGTTCTAGGACCAATCAGACTGCTGCAGTTTGGATCCTATTCAACTCAGTACATAACAATCCCTTTGAGCCATACAAGATCCCCACCCCTTTTAGGAGAGTTTATGTAAGAGTAAGGTGTAAGAGTGGGAAAATTAAGATACGGATACACTCATACCCCTTCCAATCTGCGCCCCATGCCGAGGGACGAGGGTAGGGTGAGCAAGGATTACTCACCTCCGTTACTGGTGTTGTGCAATGCCAGGTCTATAGGCAACAAAACCGCCACCCTGTGAAATTTCTTTACCTCGCAGGGGGTCGACCTGGCTTGTGTGACGGAGACCTGGGTGTGCGAAGGGGAAACAGTTACCTTACGAGAGATGGTGCCCCTGGGTTTCTCCATCCTCCACCAGTTGTGGACCGTGGGCCAGGGGGAAGGGGTGGCATTGTTAATCCAGGAAGATTGTTCTTTCAGGGCTCTGCCATCACCATCGGTCCCTGGCTTTGAATGTGTCGGCCTAGGGTGGGGTTCTGAGGAGAGCTTGGCTGTCTGGCTGGTGTACTGGCCACCTAGTGCACCAGCAGCCACCCTGTCAGGCACAGTTTGACCCCCTCTCTCCTTCTGTAATCCTCATAGAACTCTAGTCCAATGGTTGCCATTAATTTGATTCTGATTTGATTTTAGAATGTATTTCAATTAATTGACTGTGATTTTATGTAAACTGTGCTATTTTTACTGTTGTTAGCCGCTCTGAGCCCGGCTTTGGCTGGGGAGGGCGGGATATAAATAAAATTTTATTTGTTTATTATTTATTTAAATGCATGAATACAAATAGCTCTGAAAATGGCTGCAACAACCTTTGGGAGCTAGAAGGTAAGTGGGTTCTGGTGTCAGTGGAGGGAGCTGGGGGCTGCCTGAGTGTGGACTGCTGAGATAAGATGGCGCCCAGCACACTTCCCCTGTGCCTTTGGACGCTTGTGCCGATAGGAAAAACTTGAACTCTTAGCAGAGTTCTGCAGCGGTAGAAAGTGTTGCCTTGTGTGTGGATAATAAATCAGACTGAACGCAGGCTTCTTGCTAATCTCTAACAGCCTTTAATGAGAAGAAAAACATGATAAATCAGCCCGGCGAGAGAGCGGACATTCTTTCGTCTCTCAGCCAAAAACGAAAGGAAACTCACACACAAAGAAAGATTCCTGTATGTGAACATAACCATGCCTCAGAATGTGAGACGTCACACAGAACTGTTTAACCCTGTAAGTTCTGATTCTCCTCACATGGACTCCAGGGGTCCGGCTTCCCTGCAAGATGGGGGTCTTCCCTCGGCTTTTGTATTGGAGGGGAGACATGATGTCTCTGCTTCAACATGTTGGCAGACTAGAGAAACCTGAGTAAACTTAAAAGAGCAGGGCAGAATTGCACCACAGACCAGGGGAAAAGGCTCAATGGGAAGACAGAAGTCCAGTCCGGCCTGATCCTGGACACCACAAAAATGGAATCGTAAGAGCTGGAAATGGTGCAGCAGATGGCAGCATAAAGGAAACTCTTACTTGTCTAAAAGAACCCTAGAATATAATTTTAAATATAACAGCAGTGAGTAAAATGCATAAAGGCTTATAAATACAACAATGAACTAGAAAAACCCCTTACGTTTCACAGAAAAAAATTGACTAATAGCACTGGCAACATCCAACGTCACATTTAATTTCCAAAGGCCTCTGTACAAATGTGTGTCTTTAAAAAGAAATCACATGACTAACTTTCCATAACGGGGGGGGGGGGGGCTGCAGAGCAGATCTTCTTTCTAATGTCCGTCAGCCTGACCAATTAAAAAAAAAAAATCAATTATAATAATAGCCTCATTATAACAATACCAAATTATTATACAATTCTAATGTAAGTCACTCAAATACCAAACTATATAACTTATTTGAGGTGCTAGAATTGATGATTTTCTTTATTTCTGTGTTCCAAAATCTTATTGATTTCAATGACATTCCAGTCATCATCATAATCCCTTCTACAACAGCTGGAATATTTATAACTTCTATTCGTGTTGACACATTAAATGACCAATTTTTAAATGAATTTCTCATGATGCTTCCACTCCATAAATGGGAGGAACAGTGAAGAAAAAGAGAATCATACAACCAATCAGGTCTGTGGAGCCAGGATGGGGTCTTTGCATTGAAGGTGACGGGTGGGAATGGCACTTCCTAGGTTTAACTGGGTTTGGCTTTAATAAAGGCCCCTTGTCTTGGGATTGCAATAATAAATGCATTAAAACAAGTCATAGCGAAAGGAAGCAACTATGTAATAGATGCCAATTTAAAGGACAGAACTATCAATTTTCTGCATTGCTCTAACCAAACACAAGAGATAATCATGTTTGTTCTTGCTTGACCGCTCATGTCAAGAATCCCAAGCAAGACATTTTAGACAGGGAGTGTCAATCAGAGCACAGAAATACCTTTTTAGGTATTGTTGTTCTTTTTATAATCTATCTACATTAAATATGCAACCAAATCTTGAATGGTGGTTACAAGGAGGCTGAGAGCACCTGCTGCCAGTTTTACCTGATCTCAGTGAGCATGGGCAGGAGGAGCAGCTACGCTAAGACCAGACCATGTCATTATCGCGGAGGCAGGTTTAGTCGTTGTCTGAGGACTATCCCTGCCTCTGGGTCTGGTCCTGACCGGAAGGATACTGGAATCAGCAAGGGAAACCCACATGGCCTGAAAGTGTTTCTGTGCAATGCCAGGTCAATGATGAATAAGACCACTGCCATCCACGACCTGATTGTGGATGGAGGATTTGACCTGGCATGTGTGACAGAGACTTGGTTGGATGAAGCAGATGGGCCTGTCCTTGCCGCTGCTTGCCCACCAGGTTTCTCTTATGCACAGCAACCCAGGCCTTGTGGGCGGGGGGGTTGCAGTGATTTTTAGGAAGTCATTAGTTTGCACCAGGCGTCCTATTGGGAAGACCCAGTTCTCTGAGTGCATGTTCTGGAAGGTGGGCAATAGGGGCAGTACAGGATTCCTTTTGGTGTACCGACCTCCCCGCTGCACCAAGGATTCCCTGCCCAAGCTGCTTCAGGTCGTGGCGGATGTTCTCCTGGAGACACCTAGCTTGGTCGTCCTAGGGGATTTTAACATCCATGCCGACACGACCTTACAAGGGGCCGCTCGGGACTTCGTGGAAAGCATGGCCTCCATGGGGCTGTCCCTGAATAAGTTTGGCCCAGCTCATAGCCGTGGACATGCCTTGGACCTGGTGTTCACCTCTATGGATGTTGGTGATCTGACATTAAGTAAAAGTGAAACAAAAGAAGTGCCATGGTCAGATCACTTCCTGGTGCAACTGGACTTCTCTGTGACCCTTCCCCTCTGCAGGGAGGTGGGACCGATTCGGATGGTCCGCTCCCGCCACTTAATGGATCCAAATGGTTTCCAGAGAGTGGTAGGGGATGCTTTATCCCATGTTGATGGCCTTTCAGCTGATTCCCTGGTGACCCGCTGGAATACGGAGTTAACCAGGGCTATTGACTGACTGGCTCCGAAGCGCCCTCTCCGATTGCATGGAGCCTGGACAGCCCCATGGTTTCCCCCGGAGCTGAGGGTGATGAAACAATCGCAGAGACGGCTAGAGCACTGGTGGCAGAAAACTCACTCTGAATCAGACCGGACATGGGTTAGAGCTCAACGTCGAGCCTACCAAGTGGCGATGGCAACAGCGAAAAGGACCTTCTTCGCCGCTTCTATTGTATCTGCAGAAAACAGCAGCAGGAGACTCTTTCAGGTGGTTCGTAATCTATCTGAACCACCTTCGTCATCGGGGCCAGGTAGGGACCCCAAGATCTCCTGCAATGCTTTTGCAAAGTTTTTTGCAGATAAAGTCCCTCAGATTCGGAAGGAGGTAGACTCCACCGTGGGAGCAGGGCGGGGGCGAGTGAGTGCTAGAGTCCTGTCTAGTCATGTTATATGGGATCAATTTCAATCTGTTACCTCCGAGGATGTGGACAGGCTGCTTGGACAAGTGAAACCGACCACCTGTCTCCTTGATCCTTGCCCATCCTGGCTGATAAAAGCTAGCCGGGAAGGGCTGGACGATGGGCTCCGTGGGGTGGTGAATGCTTCCCTCTGCGAGGGAGCCTTCCCAGACCTGCTGAAAGAGGCGCTCATTAAACCGCTTCTTAAAAAAACATCCTTAGACCCAGCCATTATGGCCAACTATCGCCCAGTCTCAAATCTTCCATTCTTGGGCAAGGTGATTGAGCGTGTGGTTGCTGAACAACTCCAAGCACGCCTGGAGGATGCGAACCATTTGGATCCCTTCCAATCGGGATTCAGGCCTCACCATGGGACTGAAACTGCCTTGGTTGTGCTGGTCGATGATCTCCGGCAGGCTAGGGACAAAGGTGAGAGCTGTTTCCTAGTTCTGCTGGATCTCTCAGTGGCCTTTGACACCATCGACCTTAACATCCTTCTGGACCGTCTAGAGGGGCTGGGAGCTGGGCGCACTGCTATACGGTGGTTACACTCCTTTCTCCTGGGCCGTGTCCAGAAAGTGGTGTTGGGGAATGAGTGTTCAGACCCCTGGGCTCTCACTTGTGGGGTGCCTCAGGGTTCTGTCCTCTCCCCCATGCTTTTTAATATCTATATGAAGCTGCTGGGAGAGATCATCAGGGGGTTTGGGCTGGGTGTTCATCAGTATGCAGATGATACCCAGCTCTACCTCTCTTTTAAATCAGAACCAGTGAAGGCGGTGAAGGTCCTGTGTGAGTGCCTGGAGGCAGTTGGAGGATGGATGGCAGCTAACAGATTGAGGTTGAATCCTGACAAGACAGAAGTACTGTTTTTGGGGGACAGGGGGCAGGTGGGTGTGGGGGACTCCCTGGTCCTGAATGGGGTAACTGTGCCCCTGAAGGACAAGGTGTGCAGCCTGGGAGTCATTTTGGACTCACAGCTGTCCATGGAGGCGCAGGTCAATTCTGTGTCCAGGGCAGCTGTCTACCAGCTCCTTCTGGGACGCAGGCTGAGACCCTACCTGCCTGCAGACTGTCTTGCCAGAGTGGTGCATGCTCTGGTTATCTCCCGCTTGGACTACTGCAATGCGCTCTACGTGGGGCTACCTTTGAAGGTGAACCGGAAACTGCAATTAATCCAGAATGCGGCAGCTAGACTGGTGACTGGGAGTGGCCACCGGGACCACATAACACCGGTCCTGAGAGATCTGCATTGGCTCCCAGTATGTTTCCGAGCACAATTCAAAGTGTTGGTGCTGACCTTTAAAGCCCTAAACGGCCTCGGTCCTGTATACCTGAAGGAGCGTCTCGACCCCCATCGTTCAGCCTGGACACTGAGGTCCAGCACCGAGGGCCTTCTGGCAGTTCCCTCATTGCGAGAAGTAAGGTTACAGGGAACCAGACAGAGGGCCTTCTCGGTAGTGGCCAAGGAAATAAGTAGCTATCTTCTCTTTAAAAGACATCTGAAGGCAGCCCTGTTTAGGGAAATTTTTAATATTTAATGCTGTATTATTTTTAACACTTGATTGGAAGCCACCCAGAGTGGCTGGGGAAACTCAGCCAGATGGGCGGGGTATAAATAAATTATTATTATTATTATTATTATTATTATTATTATTATTATTATTTATTCTGCTGATAGAGAGTGACGAGTCTCTAAACGTATCTGAGGTTTGTGTCACTGTTTGATGCTGTTCCAAGGGAAACCAGTGATCGCCTGGCTGCCAGCCAGTGGCTGGAGCCAGCTGGGGGCCTGCCTGATGCCGCCATCTCCCCAGCAGTATCCCAACAGTCCCTGCTTTGACTCCCTTCTGCCATGAATGGTGGGAGTGGGGGTGGCCTTAGACAAGCCACTGTCTCTCAGCCTCAGTCCTCCCATCTGAAAAATGGGCATATTAAGATTGACTTAACTTACAAGGTTGTTGCAAGGGTTCCATGTAGATAATGTGTGTTAAGTACTTCGAACCCTTGAAACAACAACAACAACAAATTTTATTCATACCTCGCCATCCCCGGCCAACACCGAGCTCAGGGCGGCTAACACCAAATATATAATACAATAAAAACACAAAATCAAATGATTGGTTAAAATACAGTTCTAAATCACATTTGAAATCAAAGTAAACTTAAGTGGAAACCCACGAATCACAACCGTAGGGGTAAGGAAAGAACTGCAATTGTTTCAAGAATCCTTATTAAGAACTTGGTGAACATCCCTGTCTCGAATGCAGAGCCATGGAGTCCCTGTTCATTTCAGAGGGAATTACATTTCTGTCTAAAGAAAAGTCAGCTTCCCAGTTGACGTCGTTTCTCTTCTCTTTCCTCATCTGCCCCCACAGAAAAGGTAACTTTGGATCCAGACACAGCACATCCCCAGCTTATCCTGTCCAAGGATCGAAAGAGTGTGAGTTGGGAAGGAGTGCCTCAAGACCTGCCAGACAACCCTGAGAGATTTGACACAAATCTTTATGTGCTGGGACGTGAGGCATTCAAGGAAGGCAGACATTTCTGGGAAGTTGCTGTGGGGAGCGAGGAGGAGTGGGCCGTGGGGGTGGCCAGAGAGTCCGTGAAGAGGAAAGGCAAGTTCACCGTTGGCCCTAAGGAAGGGTTCTGGCGCATAGGGAAGTGGGGTGATCAATACAGGGTCTCCACCCGCAATGGGCCCCCTGTTTCAATGCTGGTTGGGGAGCCTAAGAGGATCCGAGTGGCCCTGAACTGTGAAGGGGGACGGGTGTCCTTTCACGATGCAGATACAGCAGCCCTTCTCCACTCATTCTCAGAAGCCTCCTTCTCAGGAGAGACCCTCCAGCCCTTCTTTTACGTGAGGAAGAAAGAGATCCTGAGACTCTCTTGACTGAGGGTGCAGCCAGACAAGTGCATATTCATTGCCATCATGGCACATTCAGTCTCCAGGACTGAGCTGACAAGCACTTGAGAAACCATATTTGCAGAACTGTGATTGGCCATCCCTTATGTCAATCATGATGCAACTCTCTTCCTGGGCCAGCTTTTTAAATTACACTGATGAAAAAGCAGAATTAGAAAAAATAATACAAATTAAAATCTACCCAAAAATCAAGTATTTAGGATTATGGATAACACCAAAGAATATTAACTTGTATGAAGATAATTATATTAATTGTTGGAAAGATATCAAAAGATAGTTGGAGACATGGACAAGCTTAAATTTATCATTCCTGGGCCGTATTTCGGTAATTAAAATGATAGTCTTACCGAAGCTACTCTTTTTATTCCAAACGATTCCAATTGTAGGAAAGACCAGCAGTATTGACAAGTGGCAAAAAGAAATTTCTAAATTTTTGTGGAAGGGTAAAAGACCAAGAGTAAAGCGGACTTCCGGGTTGGTGCCTCCGGTAATGGCGGAATTCCTCTGATCGGGAGGAATTTGCCCCGTGGGAATCTGGGTCTGGCCGCCACGGCGAAGGCGGAGACCCGCAAAAAAATCACAGGTGGGAGAAGCCTGTGAGCGTGGGATTTGGCGGGCACCTTTTGCGCCTCCCCTACTCGCGGGGAAACCCAGTTTCGGGGGTCCGGAGCGATGTGGGGTGAGCGGCGCGGTGCTTCGAGTCGTCTGCTTTTTCCACGGAGCAAAGCCACATAGCTGTTGCCGGAGAGCGCTGACTTTTTCCTGTGGACAATTTGACTTTAAAGTAATTACCCGTGAGTAGAGCTGAAGCGGGAGAATTGGATTTTTAAACGTTTAATTTGGTATCGTAACGGGGAGGTTCAATACAGGAAGTCCGCCTTCCCCTTTTGTAAATAGACTGAAGCAATGAGGCTGCAAGCTGAAGTCTTGGAAAGCCTTTTGTAAAAGACTAAATTTCCATCGGTAAAGAACATTTAACACCCCCCCCCTGGAGGCAGGAGAAGAGGGGGGGAAGTCGTGGACTGAGTATGCCTGCAGGAGAGAGTGAGGAGAGCTAGAATACCGCCGCTCTGACCCTGGAAACGGGCTGCTAGCAGGACTGACGTCTTTTGGAATGTTCATTGCCAGCGTTTAGAACGTTCATTGACAACTAGCTAAATAAGAGAAATACATTGTTTCTACTGTCTCCGGCTGTTTCTAAAAAGAAGTAAAAGTAACTGAAAACTGAAACTAACTTTGGATTGTTTGAACTGTGTTTAAGAGAGGACATTACTGACTAATATAAATAGAAACTGTTTCCCCCTAGTGGAAGCCTTTGAAACTGGTTGCTTTACAAGAGCTGGGTTAGGGGAATTTCCAGCTGTAAGATAAAAAATTGTGAGACTCTGGGACTGACCTTGAATCTTTTAAGTGTTATGGCAAATGGAAAGGACAAAACAGACCAGTCAACTGCTGAAAAAACATTAAGGTCTGGGAGGACTTGGCACCAACCCAGGAGAGGCTCAACATCAGGCCTCCCTGCTTCTTCTGCTGCTGCTTCTGCACCAGTACATTCAAAACCAAGAGGAATGTCGACAGAAGAGGCTTTAGCGGTTGCATTAAATAAGATAAATGACTCACTGGAACAGCTTAACAAGAAAGCAGACGCGACAAATGCGAAAGTGGATGTTGCAACTATTAAAATTGACTTAAATACAGAAAGCATAAATAATTTGGGACAAAAGGTGAATACCAATACAGAAACCATCCAGAAATTGATACAGGAATCTACTTTGATATGGCAGACTGCGGAGGAAGCCAGGGAGAAAGCCGTTGCTGCTGAATCTAAAGTAACACAACTGGAGAGAGAGAGAGTCCCAGCCCTACAGAGGCAACTTGATGAACATAAGCTGATGCTTGCTATGATTGAACTTAAAGAAAAACACATGAATTTGAGGATCAGAGCTCTACGTGAATTGGAGAAGGAAAGCTTGACAGACTTTCTCACACAGGAATTTGCGGACTTTTGGGACTTGGACTTGGGTCAAGAAGAGTTTAGAATCGTGAGGGCCTTCAGACTTGGAAGAGGAGGGAAAAAAGAGAAGAATAGAATAAGAGACTGCTTGATCACCCTTCGAACTAAAGAAGAGAGAGATAGAATCTTGGGTTGGCATTACCAGAAGAACCTAGAAGTACAACAGTCAAGAGTGGAAATTTTTAAAGACGTCCCGAAATATCTTTTGGATCTTAGGCCTAACTACGGAGATATTGTTGCCCTGCTGAGAAGGAACAAAATCACCTTTAGGTGGGAGTTCCCCCAAGGCTATCCTTCAGTTTCAAAGGAAGGAAAATAAAAATAAGATCAGTAGAAGATAAAGTTTTTGTATAAATACGAAGAAGATCTGCAGAAGGGACTTGGAAAAGAACCAAGAGCATCGGATAGAAGATCATCAGATAGAGGACTAGAGCAAAGAGCATTGGATAGAAGATCACCAAACAGGGAAATATTGGATATATCAGCATTATCCTTTGGATTGGACCTTCCAGTGAACGTGACACCACTACCACCAACAGAAGAAGAGCAAGCATTGGGTGCAGTTGGAGGAATATCAGCGTAATTACATGATGGCGTTGCAGGTTTTGAGCTGGAATGTGAATGGATTAAATTCTCCAGGAAAAAGGCGGAGAGTCTTTCATTTATTGAAAAAAGAACATTTGGACTTGATTTGTTTACAAGAAACACATGTGATAAGGCTACACAGGAAGATATTGAGTAATAAAAGACTGGGCCAAGAATTTATCTCATCAGATAAAGTTAAAAAAAGAGGAGTGGTCCTTTATGCAAAGGAGAGCCTATCACCGAAATTCATATTCAAAGATGACCAAGGAAGATTTGTTGCAATTGAAATTCAATCACAATGAGAGAAATTCCTGATTGTAGGTATTTATGCACCAAATGAAGGAAAATAGGAGTTCTTTAAGAAGCTACATGAGACTCTGATGGATTATATGGACTATAATATGATCTTGATGGGAGATATGAATGGAGTGGTGTCTACAAATATGGACAAGGCACAGAGACAGGTAGTCACCAAAGATGGTAGACTACCAAAAACCTTTTTTGACATGACTGAAAATATGGACTTAGTTGACATTTGGAGAATGAAGAACCCTCTGGGAAGAGAGGGAACTTTCTTCTCTGAGGCTAAAATGACATGGACAAGAATTGACCAAATCTGGGTAACCAGGGGATTGGCTCCGAAGATCAGCAAAGTGGAGATTTGCTCCAAAACTTGTTCGGACCATAATGCTGTGAAGATGGAAATGAAATTGACGCCAATTGGTTCCTTTAGATGGAGGATGAACGATACTTTGTTCAGGAATGAAGAGGTGACCAAGAAGGCCCAAAAAACTCTAAGAGACTATTCTGAGATAAACATGAATACTACAGTGGAAAAAAGAGTAATTTGGGACGCAAGCAAAGCGGCTATGAGAGGATTTCTAATACAACAGAATGCAATTAAGAAGAGAACTCAGAATGAAAAAAGGACAAAATCCTGGGGAAAATAAAAGAAGGAGAGAAGAAACTGAGAGCAAAACCAAAGTCACAGGAGATCCTGAAAGAGAGAAAGTTATATCAAGTACAATATACGAAGCTGATCAATCAGGAAATAGAATGGAAGATTAAACAGATGAGGCAAAAGACATTTGAATCGGCAAATAAGTGTGGAAAATTGTTGGCCTGGCAAATGAAAAAAAGACAAAAACTCAATACTATTACGAATTTGGAAGTGGAAGGAAAGAATATACAGAACCCAGTGGAGATCAGGAAGTATTTTCAGAGGTATTTCAAACAACTTTATACACAGGAGAAGCAGAAAGAAATGGACATTGATCGATTTTTGAAAATAAATGGACTACACAAAATCTCCCAGGAAAAACAGCTAATGTTGAATTACAAAATAACGGATCAGGAGGTGGAAGGGGCCATCCAGAACATGCAATTAGGTAAATCTCCAGGACCAGATGGTTTGACTTCAAGATATTACAGATCTTTGAAAGAATGGCTAATACAACCATTGAAGGAAGTCTGCAATGAAATATTGGAAGGGAGAAAGGCACCAGAGTCATGGAAGGAAGCTTACATTACACTTATACTGAAAACAGAGACTGAAAAGACACAGCTCAAGAACTACCGCCCTATATCACTGCTTAATGTGGATTACAAATTTTTGGCAGATATTTTGGCTAAAAGATTAAAAAAGGTGTTAGTAGAAGAAATTCATAAAGACCAAGCGGGTGGGATTTAGAGGGGGACCCAGTACAAGCGATATTTAAAAATGGACTTAATCCAGAAATTAAGGACGAGCTGGCAAGGGGGCCACGACCTAAAAATATGGACGAATTAACAAAGGCTGCTCTTGGGGTGGGTTTGAGACAAGAAGCCAGATGGAGGGAAAGGAAGCAAGGCAGAGAGCGGAGTTTCCATGGTGACCGCATTCTTGAGATGCCTGCAGCTGCCTCGGAATGTCAACAAGCGCCGGAGCCTATGGAGATAGGCACAGCCAGGGCGCGGGAGAGTTTGAAAGCCCAACGGTCTGGCGGTAAGGAAAAAAAAGACTGGCAAGCAGGAAAAAGATGTTTTGTGTGTCAGAAGACTGGGCACTTTGCCAGAGTGTGCCCAGAGCGTCGTAACTGGCAGGGAATGGTGGGGGCCACCCAGCAGGCAGAGGGAGAGGAGCCCCAGCATTCGGGAAACGAAGAGGCCTGGCTGGTGGGGAACTGGGGCAACAGCCAGGCGGGAGCAACACAGAAAGGCCCCGGCTTGGACACCCCAAAGCAAGCATAATGTTGAAGGTGGTGCTAGAACTCCCAAATGGACAGACGGTGGAGGAGTTGGCGCTAATTGATTCTGGGGCCTCAGCATCCTTTTTCAGCAAGGAGTTTGCGGTGCGACACCAACTGAACCTGAGGCCTTTGGATTTTCC